CTGCAAGAGGAGCCATTGCTCCTTCGCCCATGAGTATTTTTAGTTTTTCCTCTGGGTTTAATAAGTTAAAATTTGGAATAAATGTAGTCATTTCTGTGAATAATTAATCTCTTTGTGAGGAATATTTATCACAGTAAAGGAGAAAGTGCATTTCTGTTTCTACCTCCCCTGTCGTGCAGTGACCACATATACGCTCCTCTTTGGGTAGCCATGTCTTTTTATGTCTGCCGGTTTCTATTGCCAATTGATGGTCAATCAGCCTGTACTTGGTAAGGATCTGTCTCTGCTTCGTATCTCTGACAGAGTAGAGATAATCAGCCAATTCATATTCTCTGTTTAGGGTCAGATAGCAATTTAGTCGGCTTTGGGATTTTGTTTTGTTTTTCCAATGTTGTAAATATGAGTCCTTTGATTGGTTCATGATTTTGTTCATTGGAATTCTTTCTTTTGAAGCAGTGCTGGTGTCAGCTTGGTTGGTTAGGTCCAACACCAGCTGACTGAGAGTGCTCGTTTCTGGGCTCAGCTCTTGGGTTTGAAGTGCTTTAAATTGCAGACTTGAATTTGGACTTTAATTTAGATGTAGCCAAAATTGTAATGATCTTTTCTGTATTTTCATTACTACTGGAAAGCGGCTAATTCTGCCCTACATGCATTAGTTGGTGTATTTCTCTGGACTTGTAGAATTTTCCGACAGAATTCTGCATGTAGGGCTTCAATTGGATGTTTGTCCCATATTTTAAAGTCCAGTTTATTGAGTGGCCCCCAAACCTCACTTCCGTAAAGACCTATTGGTAGCATTACACTGTCAGATATTTTGGTCCAAATTCTAATTGGGATGTTGATTTTGAATAATTTCATTTTTATTGCATACAATGCTCTGCAAGCTTTTTCTTTGAGTGCATTCACTGCCATATTAAAGTTTCCTGATGCAGATATGGTCAGACCAAGGTATGTGTAATTTTTAGTGTGTTCAATTATGGTGTTGTTCAGGGTGAATTTATATTTATATCTGGGGGTTTTTTGGAAAATCATGATTTTAGTTTTTTTGAAATGTACTGCCAGGGCCCAATTATTGCAATATTGCTCTAGAATGTTAAGGTTCTACCAGACCAGGCCCATCACAACACAGCTCTACAAGACCAGGCCCAACACAGCACAGATTTACCAGACCAGGCCCACCACAACACAGCTCTACAAGACTGGGCCCAACACAGCACAGATTTACCAGACCAGACCCGCCTCAGGACAGCACGACCAGACCAGGACCACCTCAGGACAGCATGACCAGACCCGTCCCATCACAACACAGCTCTACCAGACCCGGCCCATCACAACACAGCTCTACTAGACCCGGCCCATCCAACACAGCTCTACTAGACCCGGCCCATCACAACACAGTTCTACTGGACCCGGCCCATCACAACACAGCACTGACCACTACTCCAGGGTCGGGCAGAACACTGTCCTTCAGAGAAGTACACCACATGATGCAGTCCACACCATGTATCATTCAGATCATCAGCCTACATATGCTGAGGTAACCTCTGGCAAAAGACACCTAGAACTATCAGAGATAGGAGAGGTGCGCCAACTACTGCATCTAATATGCAGACTACTGGGCTAGACAGACCCTTTAATTCACACGCACGCACACGCGCACACACACAGGGTTGCAGATTGCATTGCATTGTACTTATTTTTTGGGCCATTCTTATTAATTTGTTTACAACTATCCTTTATTTTATTGGCACTGGTATTATAATAATAGTGATGTGTAATGGTGTGTGTGTGTGTGTGTATGTGTATGTATATACTGTACATACCCCAACCAGAAGCCATGGACCCAGTCTGTAATACCAACTTGTTTCAAGCAGACCACCATAGTCCCCGTGCCCAAGAACGCTAAGGTAACCTACCTAAATGACTATCGCCCTGTAGCACTCACATCTATTGCCATGACATTTTTTTAAAGGCTGGTCATTGCTCACATCAACAGCATCATCACAGACACCCTGGACCCACTCCAATTCGCATACCACCCCAACAGATCCACAGATGATGCAATATCTATTGCACGCCCTCACCCACCTGGACAAAAGGAATACCTATGTAAGAATGCTGTTCATTGACTACAGCTCAGCATTCAACACCATAGTCCTCTCCAAGCTCATCACTAAGCTCGGGACTGGATTCAAAAACAGTGCTACTGTTGTAGTATTATATTACTCATTCATGCAGAATGATTTAATAGAGACTGGCTGAGTTTTATTTGTGCTCCAGTAGGTTGATTAATAGCCACACATTTTTCAATTTATAAACAACATAATATCAATGTCAGAACCGCATGAGTAGCTACAAATATGTTATTTTGGTGAAGGAGTACTTGGGCTTAGTATTTGCTCTCAATTCTGGAGAGAGCTTGTTGAGGTCCTTTAACCCTTTAGGGTTCACCGCTCCTCATGGCGAGCAAGGCCCACACATACAGATGGACAGACAGAGAGAGAGAGACAGACCGACAGAGAGAGAGAGAGGGGGGGGGGGGGGGGGGGGGGAGGGAGCGACAGAGAGAGACAGAAACATAGACAGACAGACAAACCCCCACCCCCCCTTCTACACTCACCCGGAGGTCTCCATTGGCCAGGTGTGGGTTGTGGTGTCCGGGGTAGGTGCCGTAGACAGGCTCCTTACAGTAGATCTTGATGACACAGTGGTCCTGGACGTCTCGTGGGTCCTCCAGCTCATAGAAGACGTTACGGGCCTCATCCTTAATCAGCAGGGCCGTGCTGGGGCACCTGAACATGGGCATTGACACCTGATCACTTACAATTCAACAGGCCACTTATTGTTTGGTAATTACCTAATAACAATTGTTTTTGTTTTATTTCATATAATTAATCTTTGGCTTGTCAGCTAATAATCTGATTTTATCTTAGCTAAAAGTCAGCTGCCATATGGTGACACCAGTTGTCATATGGTGACACCAGTTGTCTTGACTGTTTATGACTTTACTTAAAAATCATACAATGTGATTTTCTGGATTTTTGTTTTAGATTCAGTCTCTCACAGTTGAAGTGTACCTATGATAAAAATTACAGACCTCTACATGCTTTGTAAGTAGGAAAACCTGCAAATACTTGTTCTCCCCACTGTATATGTATGTATGTATGTATGTATGTATGTATGTATGTATGTATGTATGTATGTATGTATGTATGTATGTATGTAGATGTATATATATTACTATTATTATTATTATTATTATTATTATTTTTGGGTTTTTTTTCAATGTACTTTACTCAAACCAGTGAATATCACTTATTATAAATGAGATCATTAACTATCAGCTCTTGGAATATCCAGGGCCTGTACTCTTCACATTTTGGTTATAAAACAACAAATCCAGAATTGATTAAAAACATCAAGGGACAGGACATCATAATCCTACTGGAAACATGGGGTCGTGGAGACATAGATACTCAGTGTCCCTCAGGCTATAGAGAAAGTTTACTACCATCAATCAAACATACATTTTTTAAACGGGGCCGAGACTCAGGTGGAATCATCATTTGGCATAAGCAGGACTTAGCACTGAATGAAATGAAAAAAGGTACTAATCATATTTGGTTAAAACTTAACAAAGGTACAATCTATTGTGACAATGATGTATACATATGTGCTCTGTTGAAGACCTTCTTTGGTTGGTGATAGAAGTACCAAGTCATCAGCATATAGCAGGTATTTTACCTCTGTATCAAATAGTGTGAGTCCTGGGGCTGGAGAATGGTCCAACATGTCTGCTAATTAATTGATATAAATGTTGAAAAGATTTGGACTCAAACTGCAGCCTTGTCTCACACCTCGACATTGTGAAAATTATTCTGTTCTTTGGTTTTTGATTTTTATTGCACACTTGTTTTCTGTATACATACATTTTATTAAGTCATACACCTTACCATCAAGCCCACTTTGGAGAATGTTGTAGAATAGCCCTTCATGCCAAATAGAATCAAATGCTTTTTTAAAGTCAATAAAGCAAGCAAAGATTTTGCCCTCTTTTTTTTGGTGGACGTGTTTATTAATGAGTGTGTGTAAGGTGTATATATGGTCAGTAGTGCGATGGTTAGGGAGAAAGCCAATTTGACATTTACTTATTACATTTTTCTCTTGAAGAAAGGTTTGAATTCTTGAATTCAAAATGCTACAGAAAACCTTTCCCAAGTTGCTGTTTACGCAAATTCCCCTGTAATTATTGGGGTCTGATTTGTCTCCACTTTTGTGGATAGGGGAGATGAGCCCCTGGTTCCAGACATCAGGGAAGCAGCCAGAAGTTAAAACTATGTTGAACAACTTAAGCACAGCATTTTGCAACTCAGGTGTGCTGTTGTTATCTAGACCACAAGTCTTCTTTGATTTTATAGATTTTAGCTTTTCATTTAGTTCGTGTTGGATTATTGGGTCATCTAATGGATTTTGGTTGTTTTTAATGACCGATTCAAGGATGTTCAATTTTTCTTGAATTTCTAATTGGTTCTGTTGCAAGTCTTTTTGTGGGATGTTTTTGTATAGATTATCAAAATAAGTTTTCCAAATTCCTTCATCTTGTATGGCTAATTCTTGTGGCTTTGTCATGCTTAAATTGTTCCACATGTCCCAGAACTGATTTTGGTCAATTGCACTTTCAATTTCATCAACTGTCTTGTTGGTATAATTCAATTTCTTGCGTCTTAGTGTATGTTTATACTGTTTCAGAGTTTCAAAGTATTCATAGCGTAGATCTGGGTTGTTTTGCTGCTTATGTTTTTCATTTGAAATTTGCCTTAGGTGTTTTCTAATTGTTTTACATTCGTTATCAAACAATTTTTCAGAAACATTGCATTTCTTTGGTTTTTTCAAATTTGCTTTCGATGCTGCTTTTTGGAAAATGCAATTTACGTTTTGAGTAGCCGAATTGACACCTTCTTTATTGTTTTGGTATTGTGAGTAATTGGAAAACTGTATAGAGTTCATCATTTCATTTGAGTTCAATGTTTCAATGAATCTCTCTGCACTGTTTTGAGCCCATCTGTACGATTGGTTCATGTTGTAGAGTTTATTTGGCAGTTTTTTTGAATGAATGTTGGTGGTTAATTTCTTCAGAAACACGTTGCTGTGTTGTGATGGGCCTGGTCTGGTAGAGCTGTGTTGTGATGGGCCTGGTCTAGTAGAGCTGTGTTGTGATGGGCCTGGTCTAGTAGAGCTGTGTTGTGATGGGACGGGTCTGGTCGTGCTGTCCTGAGGCGGGCCGGGTCTGGTCGTGCTGTCCTGAGGCGGGTCTGGTCTGGTAAATCTGTGCTGTGTTGGGCCCGGTCTTGTAGAGCTGTAATAAGCCGTGTCTGGCTCTTCTCTCCTGGGGATGGTGGGGGTACTGTTGTTTCAGAAGGTGGGGCAGGGGGGCTCTGCTGCTGGGGTGATGGGTGTGTGGGTCCCTGCCAAGTGTTGCATCCTTTAGGTCCTTAGCAAAAGTTCTGACACTGACCTGATCAAGATGTACATTATCGTATAAGTGTTCACATGTCAGAGTGGGATGGTGAGCCATTCTAATGTTGAGCAGTGAGGCACAGTCCACAGTGATCTGTTGTTTTATTTTGTCGATCAACTGTCCTGGGAAGTCTTTTCTTGGTAGGAGGGTGGACACAACTATATTGGTTGTTGGGAACATAGCCTGTGCCCGTTCTGCTACTCTTCTCACTGCCCCAGATACATTTTCACCTTTGGCATGAAGGTCGTTTGTGCCAATGTGGATGATGATGTTGTCGGGGGTGTCAATCCTGGTCTGACTGAGTAGCTGCATTGCACTGTCAGTTGTAGGACACCAGAACTTAGAACTTGGTGTCTAGGGAATAATCTTTCCTGGACTAAGAACTTCCCATTTGAATCAATAAGGATTGCAGTTGTGGGTGACTGTCTGGGTGGAGCAGACTGGGAGACTGGTATTCTGACCTGGGCTGGAGCAGACTGGGAGGCTGGTTGGCTGACCTGGGCTGGAGAAGACTGGGTGGCTGGTTGGCTGACCTGGGCTGGAGCAGACTTAGAGGCTGGTAGGTTGACCTGGGCTGGAGCACACTGTGCTGGAGCAGACTGGGAAGCAGGTAGGCTGACCTGGTCTAGAGCAGACTGGGACGCTGGTTGGCTGATCTGGGCTGGAGCAGACTGGTAGGCGGGTGCAGTGTCATCAGGCTGTGTGGTGGAGGCCATGCTGGTCTCAGGTTCTGCTTGTGTTGTACCAGGCTGGTGGACATGTTCTCTAGATGCAGAGGACATATTGACTAGCTGCTGGTTGAGGGTGTCAATGTACCTCTCTCTTTGTTCTAGCTCCTTTCTTGTTGTGCTCAGATGGTCTCTGAGGTCATCATTTGTCTGACTCAGTTTGTCCATTCTGCTTTCTAATTTAGCAATAGATGCTCTGCTCTCCTCCCGGAACTGTTTCATCTCTTCTTTTAGTTTCTGGACAGTGTCCTCCTCTTGAAGCTTGTTCTCTCTGAGTTCTATGACCTCTGCTTCGACGAGAGAGAGGGTGTTGTGGAAACGTTGCACAGCAGGTGTTCTTGGTGTTGTAGGCATGTCCTTGGCTTTGTCTGCTGCAGGAGAGGTAGGTAGAGGGACACTTAGGGCTTCTTGCTGGGTTACAGAGACCGTTGGGGCCTGCTTTTTTCCATCTCCCTCCTTGACTTGTTCCTCAGTTTCTGAGATGAGTTCAGCTTCTGCTTTTAGGGTAGCAAACATATTCTCAAAAGCCTGGAGGCTTGAATCATTGCCTTGTATCAATACAGTTCCATTATTATATAAGTTTACTGTTTGATACGTGTTGCTCTGGTCAGCTTCTTCAAAAATGCTGATCTGACATCCTTGGCTGATGCCTCTCTTTTTTGAGAAAGGGAAATTGTTGCAAATAACTATTTTCCATATGTGCCCTCGTTTGGTATTAAATATTAAATTTGTTCTTGTTTTGCAACTGGTAAGATCTGCAAACAGGCATTCATGGTTCTGTCCCATCATCAAACCTTTTAAACTTTTCTTAGCTTTCTCCGTCTGGATGCCTGGTGGGTAAACAATTTCCATAGCAACGCTGTACACAATGTTGCAATAGAAACGGTGTTTCTTGTATTGTTCTCTCTTGTGTCTTTTAGAGGACTGTTTTACTTTGATGTCCTTTGTCTTCTGTCCTTAGTTTGTCTTATTTTGTCTTTCTTTTCTTCTGTTAACTAGATATTATTTGTTAGCTAGCTAGCTTCTTCCAGGAGAGTCCCTAGCAACTGCTTAGCAACTTGGTAAACAATTCAGCTAGCTAAGATAACTGTACAATTTTATGAAAATAGTTACTTTTTCTAAAGCCTTTCTTCTTTGTTTGTTGCTTGTTTTGTCTCTTATTCAGTCTTGCAGTTTTCTTTTGTTTTTTTTCCGATGTACTTCACTCTAAAAACCATATAAATCTCAATATTTGTAGGAGCTCATTTTTTCAGCAGCTGCTGCTCTATTTGGAATTCTGAGATTCTCTCTCTCTCTCTCTCTCTCGCTCTCGCTCTCGCTCTCTCTCTCTCTCTCTCTCTCTCTCTCTCTCTCTCTCTCTCTCTCTCTCTCTCTCTCTCTCTCTCTCTCTCTCTCTCTCTCTCTCTCTCTCTCTCTCTCTCTCTCTCTCTCTCTCTCTCTCTCCAGCTGACTAACCACAAACTTTGTAATTCCCTCGTGCCACCAACCTCTCTCCTCAACAGCTTGATGCTTGTGGGATGTTAGAAGCAGAAGGTGCACTGTTTCTGGTTGACGCACACACCATAAATCTCGACACAAATGAGGGGCACTACTCACAATATGTCACCCTGCTCAATTCGTGTGTGTGTATGTACATTTGTGTGTGAGTATGTGTGTGCATTTGTGTGTGTGTGTGTGTGTGTGTGAGCATACCCCCATGTGCAGTTTGGGTGTGCCTATTGCAGGCACAACAAATCAAAGCAAGCCCAACGGTGGCGGTTGGGGAGACAACAGATGCATAAGTGAACGTGAGCAGTGTTCACAGGGCACTGTGAGAGCTCATTACTGTAGTCTTTGGGCTGGAAAATATTTGTCTGTGGGGATTCATTATAAACATCCTGCTCTAGCAGCTCCTGCCACGCACTGCTGTAATGAGAGATCCTCTTCCTCATCCTCACTTTTCCTCACATCTTCATCATCTTATCTTCTCTCAGTGGTTTAAATTGGGCAGGTGAAGTCTGAAGCCTCAGTGGTCACCTGCATTGCAGTGGAAGTCTGTCTAGCTAGTGTTCTGCTAGCTTCGTTCGTTATCATTAGCATAACTAGTGTTATGTTAGTTAGTCTAATTCTCTGTGGAGTGGATACTGGTGAATCTGGCACTAAACCACTTAAGACCACATGATTTACATAGCATTCATATTAGATAGGCCTATTTATATCGCTCCATTTCTTAGTGTAAAATGTTTCTTGGCTAGTGTGCACTCAAAATGAATTCAACATGTTTAACTCATCAGCTCACACTTAAATACATTAGTTTGAAGCTTTGTAAAAGATGTTCATTGCAACAGTTTTGGTGGCTGCTGTGTTGTTATGTTTTATGCAGTTGTCTCATCCTGAGGAAACAGCTGTGCTGTTTTATCTTTGTCTGGGATTGTTTTAGAGACATTAAACACTGGACCGTTTATTTTATACTGTTTTTTCACACTGTGTTTTCATATACTTTATTCTTCACAAAGCTGTATTCTTTATAAAGCTCATTCTAATATACAGATCTACTACTGCACATTGCATTGGTTGACTTGTTTTGTCTGATTTTGTGGTTGTCTTTTTGCAGTGGTTGACTTGTTTTGTCTGATTTTGTGCTTGTCTTTTTGCAGTGGTTGACTTGTTTGGTCTGATTTTGTGGTTGACTTTTTGAAGTGCTTGACTTGTTTTGTCTGTGGTTATTTCACAGCAGCTGTGTGGTTTTGCTGTGGTGTTAGTGTTGTTTTAAGTGTTGATTGTATCAAGCTGTCTCTCCCTCTATCCCATAGGCCCGTACCCCCCGTGTAATCCGACGCAACCCCGACCAGCCGGCTCTAGCCGACCAGGCCAGCAGGGTGTCATTTGCCTCGGCTGAGAGTCTGGAAACCATGTCTGAGGCCGACGTTCCCCTCGGGTTCAACCGCATGAACCGCCTCCGCCAGAGCCTGCCCCTGGCACGCTCATCCAGCCAGGCCAAGCTTCGTGCGCCAGGTCAGAACAACATGGTCACATCATGGACATATCACGGTCATATTGACCACAGTCATAACAACCATCATCTGCACCAACTTTGTGGTTGCAGACAGGTTCACTCTAAAGAGAATTTTATTCATATTCATAAGGAGAATGAGGATCACATTCGTGAGGAAGTTTCTCAAGTGTGTACGTGATTCTATTTCAAATTCGTAACTGATTGTCCCAAATTAATTTTGAAAAAGCCCCAGTAGACAAATTAGATTATTGTGATTGTGCCCTCTCTGCCCTCTGTCCTGTGTGTGTGTGTGTATGTTTGTTGATTTATTACAGTCAAATGAATCTCAATTTTCTCCTCTCCTCTCCTCTCCTCTCCTCTCCTCTCCTCTCCCCCTTCCTCCCTCTTTCTCCTCAGGCATTCTTTTCCTCCAGCTGGGCGAGGAGACGAGGCGGGTGCACCTGACCCACGAGCTGACCAGCCTGGACACCCTGAGAGCCCTCATTGTCCACATGTTTCCCCAGAGGCTCACCATGGCAATGCTCAGGTGGCTTTATCACACTTTACTAGAACGCTCTGTTATAAAGGCTGCATAACGCTGTCATAACAAAGACATAACAATGACATAGCCGGTGTCATAAACAGTCAAGACAACTGGTGTCACCATATGACAACTGGTGTCACCATATGGCAGCTGACTTTTAGCTAAAATAAAATCAGATTATTAGCTGACAAGCCAAAGACTAATTATATGAAATAAAACAAAAACAATTGTTATTAGGTAATTACCAAACAAAAAGTGGCCTGTTGAATTGTAAGTGATCAGGTGTCAATGCCCATGTTCAGGTGCCCCAGCACGGCCCCTGCGATTAAGGATGAGGCCCGTAACGTCTTCTATGAGCTGGAGGACCCACGAGACGTCCAGGACCACTGTGGTCATCAAGATCTACTGTAAGGAGCCTGTCTACGGCAACCTACCCCGGACACCACAACCCACACCTGGCCAATGGAGACCTCCGGGTGAGTGTAGAAGGGGGGGTGGGGGTTGTTGTCGTCTCTGTCTCTGTCATCTGTCGCTCTCCTCTCTCTCTACTAAAAAAAACCAACCAAAAACAAAAAAACAAAAACAAAACAAAAAAAAACAAAAACAAAAAAAAAAAACAAAAACACAAAAACACCTCTCTCGAAAAAAAAAAACCCAAAAACAACCAAAAAACCAAAAAAAAAAAAAAAAAAAAAAAAAAAAAAAAAAAAAAAACAAAAAAAAAAACCACCAAAAACCCAAAAACCCATCCTCTCTGTCGCCACCCCCCCCCCCCCCCCCCATCTGGTCTGTCTCTCTCTCTCTGTCTGTCCATCTGTATGTGTGGGCCTTGCTCGCCATGAGGAGCGGTGAACCCTAAAGGGTTAAAGGACCTCAACAAGCTCTCTCCAGAATTGAGAGCAAATACTAAGCCCAAGTACTCCTTCACCAAAATAACATATTTGTAGCTACTCATGCGGTTCTGACATTGATATTATGTTGTTTATAAATGGAAAAATGTGTGGCTATTAATCAACCTACTGGAGCACAAATAAAACTCAGCCAGTCTCTATTAAATCATTCTGCATGAATGAGTAATATGATACTACAACAGTAGCACTGTTTTTGAATCCAGTCCCAAGCTTAGTGATGAGCTTGGAGAGGACTATGGTGTTGAATGCTGAGCTGTAGTCAATGAACAGCATTCTTACATAGGTATTCCTTTTGTCCAGGTGGGTGAGGGCGTGCAATAGATATTGCATCATCTGTGGATCTGTTGGGGCGGTATGCGAATTGGAGTGGGTCCAGGGTGTCTGTGATGATGCTGTTGATGTGAGCAATGAACAGCCTTTAAAAAAATGTCATGGCAATAGATGTGAGTGCTACAGGGCGATAGTCATTTAGGTAGGTTACCTTAGCGTTCTTGGGCACGGGGACTATGGTGGTCTGCTTGAAACAAGTTGGTATTACAGACTGGGTCCATTGCTTCTGGTTGGGGTATGTACAGTGGGGAGAACAAGTATTTGATACACTGCCGATTTTGCAGGTTTTCCAACTTACAAAGCATGTAGAGGTCTGTAATTTTTATCATAGGTACACTTCAACTGTGAGAGACGGAATCTAAAACAAAAATCCAGAAAATCACATTGTATGATTTTTAAGTAATTAATTTGCATTTTATTGCATGACATAAGTATTTGATACATCAGAAAAGCAGAACTTAATATTTGGTACAGAAACCTTTGTTTGCAATTACAGAGATCATACGTTTCCTGTAGGTCTTGACCAGGTTTGCACACACTGCAGCAGGGATTTTGGCCCACTCCTCCATACAGACCTTCTCCAGATCCTTCAGGTTTCCGGGCTGTCGCTGGGCAATACGGACTTTCAGCTCCCTCCAAAGATGTTCTATTGGGTTCAGGTCTGGAGACTGGCTAGGCCACTGCAGGACCTTGAGATGCTTCATGAGGCCATGAGAAATGCCGCCTCTGAATTGTGCATTTTCTTGATTGCGTATGGCCCTATACAGCTCGTTGAGTGCGGCCTTAGTGCCGGGATAGATTTGTAGTGGTAAATAGACAGCTACGAAAAACATAGATGAAAACTCTTGGTAAATAATATGGGCTGCAGCTTATCATGAGGTATTCTAACTCAGGAGAGCAAAAACTCTCAACTTCCTTAACATTAGAGCTCACACACCAGCTGTTGTTAACAAAGAGACACACCCCTCATCCATTCATCTTACCCGAGTCTGCCATCCGGTCTTGATGACACATAGAAAAACCAGCAAGATGTGTATCCATGTCCTCATTCAGCCACGACTCTGTGAAACAAAGGATATTACATAAGATCCCTCCTATCCCCCAGCAAATAAAACCCAAGGTGAAGTGGGCTGTACATGAGCCAGCAGAGCAGATTACAGACTGTAAACCATGACGGGACCACCGAGTAGCACTGCACAGAGACAGAGAGGAAGGAGGGACAAAATGGATGGATGACAGGGCTCAGTGGAGATTGATCGGCAGGTTGGTTGGTGGTGAGGAGACGGGTTAGAGTAGTGTGAGGAGATGCAGTAAAACTGTGCTGTGTCTGAGATGTCATGCTTCGCCCCTCGCTCGTCGGTCACATTTAGTGGGATTATTTTCTTGTAGATATGGAGGCAGTGGCTAAACTACAGGATGTAGATGGTGGAGATGAAGGTGCTCCAGTCATTACTCCAGTGTGTGTGTGTAGAGCACAGGGGGTTCTAAGGTGCCACTAACCTCCTGTGGTGTGGAGTCCATGGGGGGCTGCTATTATACTTTAAGAGCCCAGGGGGTCATTATCTCAGGTTGGTTTTCAAGCTGCATCCAACTTGCTACAGTCTGGTAAATGACGAACATACACCTGGTGGGATATACACTGTATCGGCAGTATAGAACAGCAGCCTCTGGTAAGACAAGGGGTGGCGGTCCATGTATATTTGTAAACAACAGCTGGTGCACGATATCTAAGGAAGTCTCAAGGTTTTGCTCGCCAGAGGTAGAGTATCTCATGATAAGCTGTTAACCACACTATATACCAAGAGAGTTTTCATCTATATTCTTCGTAGCTGTCTATTTACCGCCACAAACCGATGCTGGCACTAAGACTGCACTCAATGAACTGTATACGGCCATAAGCAAACAGGAAAACGCTCATCCAAAGGCGGCACTCCTAGTGGCCGGGGACTTTAATGCAGGGAAACTTAAATCAGTTTTTCCTACCAGCATGTTAAATATGCAACCAGAGGGGGAAAAAAACTTTAGACCACCCTTACTCCACACACAGAGATGCGTACAAAGCTCTCCCTTGCCCTCCATTTAGCAAATCTGACCATAATTCTATCCACCTGATTGCTGCTTACATGCAAAAACTAAAACAGGAAGCACCAGTGACTCGGTCAATACAAAAGTGGTCGGATGAAGCAGATGCTAAGCTACAGGACTGTTTTGCTAGCACAGACTGGAATATGTTCCGGGATTCTTCCGATGGCATTGAGGAGTACACCACATCAGTCACTGGCTTCATCAATAAGTGCATTGATGATGTCGTCCCCACAGTGACTGTACGTACATACCCCAACCAGAAGCCATGGATTACAGGCAACATTCGCACTGAGCTAAAGGGTAGAGCTGCCGCTTTCAAGGAGCGGGACTCTAACCTGGAAGCTTATAAGAAATACCGCTATGCCCTCCGACGAACCATCAAACAGGCAAAGCGTCAATACAGGACTAAGATCGAATCGTACTACACCGGCTCCAATGCTCGTCGGATTTGGCAGGGCTTGCAAACTATTACAGACTACAAAGGGAAGCACAGCCGTGAGCTGCCCATTGACACGAGCCTACCAGACAAGCTAAATTACTTCTATGCTCGCTTCGATGCAAGTAACACTGAAACATGCATGAGAGCATCAGCTGTTCCGGACGACTGTGTGATCATGCTCTCCGTAGCCGATGTGAGTAAGACCTTTAAACAGGTCAACATTCACAAGGCCGGATTACCAGGACGTGTTATCCGAGCATGCGCTGACCAACTGCCAAGTGTCTTCACTGACATTTTCAACCTCTCCCTGTCTGAGTCTGTAATACCAAAATGTTTCAAGCACACAACAATAGTCCCTGTGCCCAAGAACACTAAGGTAACCTGCCTAAATGACTACCGACCCGTAGCACTCACATCTGTAGCCATGAAGTGCTTTGAAAGGCTGGTCATGGCTCACATCAACACCAATGTCCCAGAAACCTTAGACCCACTCCAATTTGCATACCGCCCCAACAGATCCACAGATGATGCAATCTCTATTGCGCTCCAAACTGCCCTTTCACACCTGGACAAAGGGAACACCTATGTGATAATGCTATTCATTGACTACAGCTTAGTGTTCAACACCATAGTGCCCTCAAAGCTCATCACTAAGCTAAGGACCCTGGGACTGAACACCTCCCTCTGCAACTGGATCCTGGACTTCCTGACGGGCCGCCCCCAGGTGGGAAGAATAGGTAACAACACATCCGCCATGCTGATCCTTAACCCGGGGGCCCCTAAGGGGTGCGTGCTCAGTCCCCTCCTGTACTCCCTGTTCACTCATGATTGTATGGCCAGGCACGACTCCAACACCATCATTAAGTTTGCCGATGACACAACAGTGGTAGGCCTGATCACTGACAACGACGAGACAGCCTATTGGGAGGAGGTCAGAGACCTGGCGCCAGGACAACAACCTCTCCCTCAACATGATCAAGACAAAGGAGATGATTGTGGACTACAGGAAAAAGAGGAGGACCGAGCACGCCCCCATTCTCATCGACGGGGCTGTAGTGGAGCAGGTTGAGAGCTTCAAGTTCCTTGGTGTCCACATCACCAACAAACTAACATGGTCCAAGCACACCAAGACAGTCGTGAAGAGGGCACGACAAAACCTATTCCTCCTAAGGAGGCTGAAAAGATTTGACATAGGTCCTCAGATCCTCAAAAGGTTCTACAGCTGCACCATCGAGAGCATCCTGACTGGTTGCATCACTGCCTGGTATGGCAACTGCTCGGCCTCCGACTGCAAGGCACTACAGAGGGTAGTGCGTACGGCCCAGTACATCACTGGGACCAAGCTTCCTGCCATCCAGGTCCTCTATACCAGGCGGTGTCAGAGGAAGGCCCTAAAAATTGTCAAAGACTCCAGCAATCCTAGTCATAGACTGTTCTCTCTGCCTCTGCACGGCAAGCGGTACCGGAGCACCAAGTCTAGGTCCAAGAGGCTTCTAAACAGCTTCTATCCCCAAGCCATAAGACTCCTGAACATCTAATGAAATGGCTACACAGACTTGCATTGTAAGGTATTCTATTCTATTCAACTTCACTCTATTCTATTCTGAGTATATCTATTCTTCCTCTCTTCCTCCAATGACAGAGGGAGATGGTGTACACGCCCCAGCAGGATTCTCCGCCCAACCGTCGCCTCAGCAATGCCCCCGCCTCCTCTTCCGCCTCGCCCCCCTCCAGCTCCCCGTCCCGCGTCCGTCTCCTCTACAGTGGCGGTGGCCGTCCATCCTCCTATGCCGGGCAACCTCACCTCCAGCATCATCCCCACACCCACTCTCTCCCCCACCCCCACCACCCCTCGCCCGGGGGCCAGAGTGCGGCCCACCTCCACCCGCAGCAGCATCACCCCCAGCAGCTCCAGCCCCAGCACCACCAGCTCCAGCACCATGCCCAGGCAAGCTTCTCCCCCAGTGCAATCCTGGAGCGGAGGGACGTGAAGCCCGATGAGGAGGTCCACGGTAGTGGCTCCAGGAGCATGGTGCTCCTGCGGGGCGATGGAGGGGGGATCTATGCCGACCCCTATTCCCTGGGCCAGGAAGGGGGTCGCCTTAGTCTGGCCGGCCCCCACACCCCTCTACCCCCGAGGGGGGATCCCTATGGCTCTCTCTACCGGCGAGGAGGAGGTGGCGGTGGAGGGGGCGGAGGAGGGTTGGGACCCGGCTCCGTGCGCTCCCTCACTTCCTACTCGGCGGCGGCTCTGCAGGGAGAGCTGATGGACAGCGGCATCCTATACAGGACTGGAGGCCCGCTGTACAATGATGCTGCCTACGCCGCGTCCATGTTGGCCATGGGCTTCCGGGTGCCACCCCCCTCATCCCCGCAGAAGATCCCTGACATGAGGGACTCGTATTCTGGCACCATGCCCGGCCGGGGCTCCCCTGGGAGGCAGACCCTGCGGAGGGACTCGGTGTCCTCCTCCGTGTTTGGGGAGAGTGCCAAAGCTAGAGGTCAGGGGTCAGGGTCAGATCAACTGTGTCTGATGGCTGGACCTGGAGGGGAGGGCGGCGGTTTCAGTTCAGCACCAGGTTTTAGTTCACCTCTACCAGGCAACGAGACCGAGACCAGGTGAGAGTGCCAATGTGTGTGTGTCTGTGTGTGTGTGTGTGTGTGTGTATGTATGTTTTGTGTGTCTGTGTTGGGTATTTTGTGAGTATCTAAACTGACTCATACCCTATGTGTATCACTGCTAAGGGGCCGCATGGAGGCCATGGAGAAACAGATAGCCAGTCTGACTGGTCTACTGCAGACTGTTCTGACCAGGGGACCAGAGGCAGATAGCCCGTAAGGCACACACACACACACACACACACACACACACACACACACACACACACACAACATACACACAGAGTGGGGACCTTTAAGTTATTTTGTTTTTTTCAGGGACAAGATTGAGACGGCCAGTGACTGCTCAGGGACAGACAGTAAGTATCAACTGAAAACAGAACAAATATACATTCACTTTCACTTTGTCCCATTGACTTGGCAATGTAAAGGGTAAGGGTTGCAGAGAATTGTAAATGTTCTGTAACTGAACTGCTCATTTGTGACCAAAGTGTGTATTCGCTTTTGTTAGTAATGGGTGCCATGCTTCTTGTACCTTATTTTAGCTGGACGGTTAAAAAAAAAGAAAGGTATCTTCTTATCCAAAGTCCTCATCTTCTTTCCCCTCTGTGTCCCTATGACAAATCCCTTCCCTTACAGTTGATGTCTCACGTGTGATGCACTTTGAGTTTTGTGAGGATTCTGTTTTGATTCTCCTATTCTTTATGTCTGCCTTCAGTGTCTGGATTCAGGACTGGGCTCAGAATATGTTTCCCACTCCCTACTGTTCATGCTGGACTGTCATTTTGCTTGTCTTGTTACAATCAGTAGTGGTACGGTTGCATATTTGGTGTTTTGGGTAGATCAATATGTATTTCTACTCCTGATACCATTCACACAGACCTGCAAAAAAGATGGTTAATTGCTGGAAGTCGTCTGTGTAAAGGGGATTTTGTGTTGTCAGATGAAAATACGGCTTTCCCTTTTTGAGCTATCTCTGCTCCAGACAGGCATTAAAAGGCAAGCCTTTAGTTAGACAATGCACTTAGAAACACACCGTAACTGTCACAAGCCATATCCCAAAACAAGGTGTTCTTCTATAATTAGTTTGCCAAGCTCCAATTTCTCTGTCTCACAGGTTAGAAGTCTTCAAGGATGTCAGTTGAGCAGTATACTGCAATACATCTGCTCTTCCGTTTAAACTGTTACATTCTGTATGAACTTGTTTTTTAACCATCTCCTCTAAAAGGATAGCTAGTTCACATAAATTACAAAATCAATTTGAAGTTTCTTTGCCTGGGAAGTTATCAATACTAATGGCCTTATTTTGAGTCTTTTCAAAGCAATTTGATTATTTTCAACGTAAAGTAATACGTGATTTTGTAGTTTGGGTGAACTCCAAGTTTGTGAGTGCCTTAGTCTTATCAAACCAGTCCCTTTGATTTGTTATGCATGATAAAATGTGCCTGAGAAAATGCCATATAAACAAAGCCATATGTTCATTGTCATTTCAATGGACCCTTGTATCATTTCAACTCAAGCGTCAAAGAATTGCTTGCTCCAGGCTTGCTGTGGATGATCTGTTGTTACCCCTGAAATCTAGATGTATGTAAAGAAATACAGCTTTGTGTGTCCTAAAAACCTTCCCCACTCTGTTAATCATCATTACACCTGTTGTTCAATCCTTTAATTCCTCCCCCCTTTACGATGGATGATATAATTGGCTTCAGTGACAGTAGAATGCACAGTCATGAGACACTAATCCTGCTTTCTGATTGGCCAGCTCTGACGCCATCGGCTCCGTTGGCCCTGATGCCGCCCCCGCCCACAGGGTCCACCCAGTCACCGATAGTGTCGCGGCTGCAGATGCAGACCCACCTGCATGGCCTGCAGCAGAACACCAGCAGGCTGCGCATACAGCTGTCCCAGCTGCGCGACATCCAGGTACACACACACACGCACACACACACACACACATTCCTCAAGGCTCTAGTTGTTTATATATCAATGTGTAGATTGTGTATGTGTTTTTGTTTAACTATCCTTGTGGGTACCAGAAGTCCTTACAAGGATAGTAAAATAAGGAATATTCGAAGAAGTGGGGACATTTTGCTATTTTAGGCTTAGGGGTTAGGTTTAGGTTAGTGTTACAATTAGGGTTAGGGTTAGTGGTTACGAATAGGTTTAGGGTTAGGAGTGAGGCTTAGGTAAAGTTTTAGGGTTAAGGTTAGGGGTTTGGGTTTAAGGTTAGGCTTAAGGTTAAGGTTAGGGTTATGGTTAGGTTAAGGGTTAAGGTTAGGGTTAGGGTTAGATTTAGGGTTAGGGGATAGAGAAAATAGGATTTTAGATGGGAATCAATTATTTGGTCCCCACAAGGATAGCAATACAAAACTGTTTGTGTGTGTGTGTGAAAGTTTGCATTTGGCCTGCCTTTTGGTCTGTGTGTGTTTCATGTTTTGTGTGTGTAGACTTCTCGTTGTGCTTGTTTGACTTATGTTTGTTTGACGTATTGTCTAAGTGTGTATGTCCCAATAACATGTCTTTGTGTCGGTCCATGCCTCCCTCCCAGCTGGAGAACCAGGACTCGGTGCAGTCCCTGCTGAGGCAGACAGAGTCGGAGCTGAGCCTGATGATGCTGGACGCCATGCGGACCCAGGAGGACCCTCTGCAGAGGCAGCGCCTCCTAGTGGAGGAGGAGAGACTCAAGTACCTCAACCAGGAAGAGCTGCTCATCCAGCAGCTGCAGTGAGTTCAGCCTTTAAGTCAGGCTCAAGCTAGGGTCAGTGTGAATGAATAAATAATGCAGACTGATTCAGATAGTAAAAAGCTGAATGGTATATTTAGTGTTGAGCTGGAACCATGCAGTGGCTGCGTAACATGGCTACAAGACAAGTGACCACTGATTTTGGTCTTCACAGTGATCTGGAGAAGTCAGTGGAGGAACTCCAGAGGAACTCGTCAGTCAACCATGGCCTGGTGACAGAGCAGGACGTGGAGCAGAAGAGCATGGAGCTTAGGTCTTTGGGAGAGACCCTCACAGAACTCAAGAGTAAGTATATCAATAGGAGATAATGATACAGGAAGATACAACAGTAAGGCACTGTTTGGATGGAATAAAATTAACCCTTCGTATAATTACCTTACTAGATAATTGCAACAAGGACCAAATCTGTTGCAGGTGATTAGGCAGGTGTACGTGCATAATATGAGTGTGTCTCATTAAGGAAGAGGTGCTAAACATGCAGATGTTGTCACGTCTAGCATCATAGCAGAAAACCACACAGTGGAACGAGATGCTTGTTTACCAACTTGTGATACCAGACTGGTTATGCACCTAAATACCCTGAAATCTTTCTCCATGTGGTAGCAGAACCACAGGGGTCAGAGAGTACAGTAAGCCCCGGCAGGGAGCATGACAGGAGACACAAAGACACTACATGCATGTTTTACATACAAACATGGATATACAGTATGCACCTTCCCTCTCTCATTGATTTAATGGTACTTTCCTCTCCTTCTCTGTCTCCGTCTCCGTCTCCGTCTCTGTCTTTCCCTCCCTCCCTCCCTCCCTTCCTTCCTTCCTTCCTTCCTTCCTTCCTTCCTTCCTTCCTTCCTTCCTTCCTTCCTTCCTTCCTTCCTTCCTTCCTTCCTTCCTTCCTTCCTTCCTTCCTTCCTTCCTTCCTTCCTTCCTTCCTTCCTTCCTTCCTTCCTTCCTTCCCTCCCCTCCCTCCCTCCCTCCCTCCCTCCCTCCCTCCCTCCCTCCAGACCAGTTCCCCAGTCTGCAGAGTAAGATGCGGGTGGTGTTGAGGGTGGAGGTGGAGGCTGTCAAGTTCCTGAAAGAGGAGCCACACAGACTGGACACACTGCTGAAACGCTGTAACACCATGACCGACACACTGACCACACTACGAAGGTATGGTTCAACACAACAACTATGCTATATAAACATTGTTGTTATGTTGTTGTTATGTTGTTATAACATCATTGTTACGAGGGCTCCATTCAACTTGTGACTTGTTTTTTAAAGATAAGTACAAATTATACTCTTTCAATACAACGAGAAAGCATGTTCATATGAACAACTTTTTGCAGCAGATGGAAAATACAAATGTTTGATTGATTCCAGAAAGCAGGTCACCAGGTTTGATGCAATAGGGCCCTGACAATGCTGTGTGTGTTGTTAGTGTATTGTATACCGCCTGTACGTACAGAAAAGTGACCGAGGGCCTGTGGAAGGGCCAGGACGACATCTGCAGCCAGTCAGCCAAGCGAACTGAGGACAAAGGAAAGAACTCGGACCTCGACATCCTGACCAGTCCACCGCTCAGCCTCAATGACCTGGGTGGCAGTGCCAGCCATGCCAACTGGATGCCCATATCAGGCAGTGACCCGGACACCTCTGGACCTGAGCAGGATCCCCACCCTACGTCCAGCTACAGAAGCCGGGTCCTGGACGAGCTGCCGAGCCGTCGCGGTGCTGACAAATCAGTGTCCGTGGAGGTCAGACTGGTACGGAACATTCCTCCTGTGCTTTATTCATTCTATAAACTCCCCCTCACAATGCTAAATGTACAGATTTACGGGGGAATCTGTACATTTACCAGTGTGACCATTTTCTGGAAAATTTATAGATTTTCTGATTTTACACATTTCCTTTATCATGTACAGTATATCTGTGTACATGATATTCGCAATATATTTCCAAAATACAATAATATTTGGGTTGACAAATATGTGTGCTTGTATAGGCTGCAGAGCGGGACTGGGAGGAGAAGCGGGCCAGTCTGACCCAGTTCAGTGCCCAGGACATCAACCGTCTGCTGGAGGAGACGCAAGCTGAGCTGATGAAGGCCATCCCAGACCTGGACTTCGCTGCCAGGCAGATCAACAAGCCCGCGGTGCCCCCCAAACCCCACCCCAAACCTCAGTTTACCATCCCTGTCACTACCTCCACCACCGCCTTTACAACCTCTAGTACCCTCACTACTATCAGTACTGAGCACCAGCTCAACAAGGTCCAGATCACTGCCCAGAAGCTGGAGGGGGGCTCACGTCGCGGATCTGGTGAGACTGAATACCACATCCACGTTGTGATATTTGTGTTTGAGTTATGACTGAGCTGTCCTATAAAGATATGATGCCATTGTCTGTTTTAGCGGAGCTGACCGTAACCAGGTATCGCACTGAGAAACCCTCTAAGTCTCCGCCTCCACCCCCTCCTCGCCGCAGCTTCCCATCAGCCCATGGGCTCACCACCAATCGCACTGGAGAAGTGATCGTCAACACCAAGAAGGTACAGTAAGAGAGAGATGGCTGGGAAAGATATACCTGCAAACCACATGAGGCTGCTGAGGGGAGGACGGCTCATGATAATGGCTGGAATGGAGTGACACATACGTTCCATTTATTCCATTCCAGCCATTACTATGAGCCCGTCCTCCCCAATTAAGGTGTCACCGGCCACCTGTGGTTCAAAGTATGAAAATACACAATCTGAATGTTTCTGAAGATACTTTGAGTTAGGCTATTTGGATGTATGGATGTTAAAAAGATGCGTCACATAGACAAGTCGCCAACCATGTTTTGTTTTTATAAGAAGCTGGAGCCAGAAGATGGAGAGGCTCCGAAGACTCTGGTCAAGCTGAGAAGGACACCGTCTGACACCCCCCGCCCCGCCTCCACTCCCCCTGTCATCGCCACCTCAGCGATGAAAGACGAGGATGACGAAGAGAGGATCATTGCTGAACTAGAGGTAGGATTCCTTTTTTTCCTGAAGGTCAATTACAGTGTGTTACACTGCTGCAAAATGGTATGCCTTGAGTAGCTGCATTCGAAATGAGAATATGACATACAGTATTTATTGTGTTCATTGCAGTCGACGTTCGGTGTGCCTTAGCAATATGATAACATTGTCTCTGCGACACTCTCCCACACCACACCCCTCACCACCCACCTTCCACCACACATCACCTGCCAGATATTTCAGCGAACCCCTGTCAAAGTGTCCCCTTCCCACTCACTGCCCAGCACACTACCGAGGCCCACCCCTGCAGCCCGTACCCTTCTATGCACCTCAGGCTCCTTGGGAAGAAAGGTAAACCTTAAGCCCCCCACAAGGCCCTCTCGTTTTGCAGTTCTAACTCTGCCTCCTGTCCCATCCCCCTCCTTCAGTCACTGCTGTTTCCTAGATGGCCACTAACATGCCTGTTCATCCTGGAGATTCTCCTCTAATTCTGCTTGATGCAGCAGTTCGCTGGGCTGAAAACATGACAGAACGTAGTGCTTCTCTTGTCGAATTCAACCATCAATTGTCTAATTCCATTCTATCTAACTCCCCTGTCTAACTTCGCTAATTACTTCTTCCCTTGCTAATTCCACTGACTGCATTCTACACTCTGATCTGCATTCAGTATTCTAACTAAGCTGTGCTCTAATTCTCTAACAAACTAACTGTTATGAGAACTGACAGTTCTATTTGCTGGAGTGCCTATTGGAAGTAAATGTATACTGCATGGAGTGTGTTATGGTGGAATAATGTACAGATGTCGGATCTTAATTTGATCACTCTTTTCCCTGCGCAACAAGAAATTGAAATTTGCACAAAAAAAAACGATTTCTCTTTCTCTCCATGCGTGGACAGTCAAGTCATTTGGACCAGTGCCAGCTATCAGAATCCTCCTCCCTCTCTCGCTCGCTCAAAGACTATGTCCTACTGCTACTGTAGGCGTATAGGTCCTATTACTGCAACATTAAAATGTACAAACATTTATCTGAAATGCATCCAGAGACATCAACAACTGTCATTTTTTATAGCTTAATAACACAATATACAGTTGAAGTCGGAAGTTTACATACACCTTAGCCAAATACATTTCAACTCAGTTTTTCACAATTCCTGACATTTAATCCTAGTAGAAATTCCCTGTCTTAGGTCAGTTGGGATCACCACTTTATTTTAAGAACGTGAAATGTCAGAATAATAGTAGAGAGAATGATTTATTTTATATTTTATTTATTTCATCACATTCCCAGTGGGTCAGAAGTTTACAGACACTCAATTAGTATTTGGTAGTATTACCTTTAAATTGTTTAACTTGGGTCAAACGTTTCGGGTAGCCTTCCACAAGCTTCCCACAATAAGTTGGGTGAATTTTGGCCCATTCCTCCTGACAGAGCTGGTGTAACTGAGTCAGGTTTGTAGGCCTCCTTGCTCGCCATGCTTTTTCAGTTCTGCCCACACCTTTTCTATAGGATTGAGGTCAGGGCTTTGTGTTGGCCACTCCAATACCTTGACTTTGTTGTCCTTAAGCCATTTTGCCACAACTTTGGAAGTATGCTTGGGGTCATTGTCCATTTGGAAGACCCATTTGCGACCAAGCTTTAACTTCCTGACTGATGTCTTGAGATGTTGCTTCAATATATCCACATAATTTTCCTTTCTCATGATGCCATCTATTTTGTAATGTGCACAAGTCCCTCCTGCAGCAAAGCACCCCCACAGCATGATGCTGCCACCCCCGTGCTTCACGGTTGGGATGGTGTTCTTCGGCTTACAAGCATCCCCCTTTTTCCTCCAAACATAACGATTGTCATTATGGCCAAACAGTTCTATTTTTGTTTCATCAGACCAGAGGACATTTCTCCAAAAAGTACGATCTTTGTCCCCATGTGCAGTTGCAAACCATAGTCTGGCTTTTTTTATGGCGGTTTTGGAGCAGTGGCTTCTTCTTTGCTGAGCGGCCTTTCAGGTTATGTCGATATAGGACTTGTTTTACTGTGGATATAGATACTTTTGTACCTGTTTCCTCCAGCATCTTCACAAGGTCCTTTGCTGTTGTTCTGGGATTGATTTGCACTTTTCTCACCAAAGTACGTTCATGGAGACAGAACGCGTCTCCTTCCTGAGCGGTATGACGGCTGTGTGGTTCCATGGTGTTTATACTTGCGTACTATTGTTTGTACAGATGAATGTGGTACCTTCAGGCGTTTGGAAATTGCTCCCAAGGATGAACCAGACTTGTGGAGGTCTACAATTCTTTTTCTGAGGTCTTGGCCGATTTCTTTAGATTTTCCCATGATGTCAAGCAAAGAGGCACTGAGTTTGAAGGTAGGCCTTGAAATACATCCACAGGTACACCTCCAATTGACTCAAATTATGTAAATTAGCCTATCAGAAGCTTGTAAGACCATGACATCATTTTCTGAAAATTTCCAAGCTGTTTAAAGGCACAGTCAACTTAGTGTACGTAAACTTCTGACCCACTGGAATTGTGATACAGTGAATTATAAGCCTTCTGCATGCACATATAGGCCTACCGTGTCGGTGTAGGTTCGATTCCAGCCCACGCCCTTCTGGCACAAATAACTCAATCCCCCCGATTTACTTGATTTAGTTACACATATCAAATATGGACAGTCCAGGGATATTTTACCCCCGATCTTGATAAGAAATGACAATACCAGACACTTATGTCCATTTTATTATAATCCACATAAGAATTCACACGAGACGCAATGTAGCCTACATAGGCTACTTGAACTGGCACCCAGTGGACCTGCAGTCTTAGGTACAATGTATATACGGTACTGCATTTTACGCAAACACCGCTTCCAGCTGCCCGCTGGCAGCTTTCTAAATATTTCTTCAGATATTAAAATCCTCCTGCTGCAGTATTATTTTCCTCCTGCGACAAAACGGGTCAAATTAAGATCCAACATTCAAGGTTCGCTGACAGACTAAGAAAAATGTCAGAACTCTCTTACTGCTCAAGTGATACATTTAGCTCTGTCAAGGTCTTGTTTGATACAAGTCTCAGCTCACTAGGGAAGCTGTCAAAACAGCTCACAGCCGGTTTCAGGTTAACAACTCTGTACTACCTGATCTGGTGGATTTGGAGCAGCTTACAAAACCCAAACCCTAACATGAAACTGAGGCAAAACTGATCAGCACGTAGGGATAGTTCTATATGACTATGTCTGCACCCAAAATGGCCATCCTATTTCCTATATTGTGCACTACTTAAGGCTCTAATCAAAAGAACTGCACTATATTGGGAATTGGGTGTCATCTCAGATTTGACCATAGCGCAAATAAGACTTAATGCTTTTGTCCTACCATAGAATGCCAGCAACTCACCAGGGGCATCCAAGGGACCCCAGTCGACTGTAGCGGCCAGACTGAAGCACCTCCAGCAGGGCAGCCTGGAGAGGCCCAAGACCAGGAAGCAGAAAGATGACTTCCCCAAGATCCAGGGCCAGCAGCAGGTATTCCACTTCTAGAAGGCCCCTCCTCAGAGGAGTTTTCCTCCTCAGAACAGCTCTGGTGGCCTCCTGTGTCATTGACAACTGCCCCCTCTCACAGCTGTCTGGGGAAACTACTGGGCAATTTCAAGACTATACTGGGATACAATATGTTATCAGTGGACAATGTCAGGTGACAAAAAAAGGGGTGGGCTCATCCGAAATCACCAGTGTTGGGTGTTACATGCTTTGAATTTGAGCTGTGCCAAGTGGTTGGATCCAAAATGGATTGTGTACAGAGCGTGCTCTTTCCCAATGGCAGGCATTGATGTTTCTGAGGAGGCTAAAGTGGTGAGGATATTGTGCCCTAAATTAGCTGAGTGACACCTAAAACTGTACTCCTTGATAATGCCACGGAATAGTTTTACATCTCAATGTCGAACAGTGTTAATTTTGTCAGCCATTTTAGATGTAGTTTTATTCTTAGTATTTTGACTAAAATACCTTTTAGTCTTAGTCCCATTCATTTTAGTCATTTCATCCTTTGTAGTTTTAGTTATTATCAGTCGACTAAAACTCTGGAAATGTTTTGTCTAGTTTTAGTCACTGTCATTTTAGTCACATTTTAGTCTGTGAATTTCCATTAAATCATTCATATTTACCTCCAACAATCATGTCCACATTAAGATAGCCTTGTCCAACTGGGCCTAATATCCCCTCATATAGCTGTCACATTGCTATTGTGGTGGATTGTAACCAATTCCAGCCATGGTTTACCATATAGGCTACAAAGCCTTGGCTTCAGGTTAAACAATTTAGACCTACAACTCTGATTTTCTCCCCGTCATAACCTTGTGATGTGGGTAAATGACAGTGATTCCCTTAAAACAGGAATCGGAACTTTCCAACAATGCCAGAATTATTACTGTACTCCTAATATTCAGCAAATAGCATTAGTAGTTCCAATCGGGAAAAAGCAACGGCATTTGCCGATCGTGAGAGCGGCAACACAGATTAATAACAGACCACGTGGTAATAGAGCTTCTGATGTGATCAAAGCAAAATTATACACTGGGTGGTTCGATCCCTGAATGCTGATTGGCTGACAGCCATCAGACCGTATACCACAGGTATGACAAAACATGTATTTCTACTGCTCTAATTACGTTGGTAACCAGTTTATAATAGCATATACCATATACCACACCTCCTCAGGCCTTATTGCTTAAATATCATATATGAAAGTAAGAGAGAGTAAAACATTATTGGTACAATTGAAGTGTTCTGGCTATGCATCAGTTCAAAAGAAAGACGAGTGACTGAAGTGACCGCCTGATAGCTGTGTGTGTGGGAGAGCCGGGCAGATCAGCTCAATCAGCCAGCGCAACTGAAAGACCAATGAGAGGATTGCATTAAATTCTGCAAAGACATGCATGCTTATTGATTGGACAAAACAGAGCAAAGGGAGAGAAAAAGGAGTTTCATGTCAAATTGAAAGTCCATTAGTCCCACGTGGAATTCTCATCTCGTTACATTTCCTTAAACTAAAATGAAAAGTCATTTGTGACAGTAATCGTTTTTTACAGGGCAGCTCGTCTCGTTATCGTCATTGGTTTTTCGTCAGGAAAAATAGGTTGTTGACTAATATTTTTTGTCATTGTTATTGCTGATGAAACTAACACTGACGTAGAACCGCTGACTTTTCTCCAAGCACATTATGATCCTACAGTACCACTGTTCTATAGCGCTGCTTCCTTTCCTCAAATCACTGAATCATTCTGTCTCCAGCTGAGTCATTTAAAACCACAGTCCAAAAGTGAGATGGTCAGGAGATGAAAAAGTATTTATACTCAGAATATTTGCCCTTGTTTCTCAGTGGAGATGAGAGTGTGGAAAAGGTAGGATAAGAAAAAGAAAGAAAGAAAGAAAGTGAGAATGAAAGTGAGAAAGACATAAGGAAAGAGAAGGACAGACTGACAGAAATAATGAAAGGCAAAGTAGAGCACACTGCCAATGTTTCTCTGGAGCAAATAAGACTGAAGCCCTCCTTTCTGAAGCCCCAGTCTTATCTGGTTCAGCAGGCACTCCAACCCAGTAGGCTAAGCTGAGCAACCCTGTCCCACCTCAGCCTACACTGTCCCTCTCAAAAGACCTTCTGGCAGCTCTGAAAGTCAGGTAGAGATAACACAGCCAACCACTCCGTCCCAGCTAGCACCTGTCCTGAGCCAGTCACCCCAATCCTCTCATTACCCTAACGGTGATAATCCACACTCCATTAGCTAACTCCAAGATAGAGGCCACTTCATTAACTCTAAGAAACAGGGCCCTTCATTTGGTGCTCTTTAGGCCTTAGGGGTTCTATTCACTGGTTATTGGAGTTTAAAAGGCTGCCTTTCGGACTGAAAAAACGCCCCCCAAATTTAGCCTTGGTTCAACTTGCTTAGGATGGCTGGATTGATGCACCTGTACATGCATCTTTGATCAGATCTTGAAGGATTTTACCTTATGTGGGGCAAATTAATCTCATCCACCACCAAAGCTGTAACCGCATCCATTTTGGTGAGGCACAATGTTTTCACCAGAGCACAAACCACACCTCACTCTTTGGGGTGAAGGCGAAAGAAGTCAGAAACCACTTGGTTGTCATACAAGTACAGAATACGGCCTCCCAGAGAGGTCAGTGATCTTCACAACAAGACCCATTAGTGAATACAGCAGTTAGCACACAGCTAACATGTCAACTAGGGTGACCACATTTAAAATACCCAAATGCGGGACAACAATACTATTTTGTGGGACATTCGCGGGACAGTGTAGCCTACGTTAATAAAAAAAATTACAAATATTGACACAATCATTTATTTATTTTTTTCATACCCTCAAACACTAAGTTAGGCATACTTAATTTAGGCATACCGGATTTCAAAATAGGCCATGTCATCATCACTGTCAATCATGAAAGATAATTCTTCACGTTTTACTAGTGAAATGTCCAAACTGTGTCTGCATGCCAATCATTTGATCTCAATTAGTTTCATGGGAATATGCTTTTAGATCTTCTTGAATTCTGTTTCGTGTGCAAATTAAAGCAGTTGGGGTTAACAAAATATATAGCCTTCCTGTATTGTGCTTCAATCATTCAGTCAAAGCACATTCTGCCTAGTAGCCTACATTCACACGCTGTTGTGTTTTGGCCACATGACAACATTTGTTTTACTATTCAGCTAACCATCCTAAAATCGCATAAGAAATGAGGTGGTGTTTTTGGTGTAACAGTAATGTTATACTTAAGTCATAACGCCTGACAAGCCAGTGTTTGGAGGATATATTGCCATGGGTGTTGTTAGGCCTGAGGGCATTATCACTTTTATACAGTGCCTAGCAAAAGTATTCATCCCCCTTGGCGTTTTTCCTATTTTGGTGCATTACAACCTGTAATTTAAATTGATTTTATTTGGATTTCATGTAATGGACATACACAAAATAGTCCAAATAGGTGAAGTGAAATGAAAAAAATTCTTAAAAATAAATAACCCAACCCTGATCTGTACTTCCCCACAACTTTGTCCCTGACCTGTTTGGAGAGCTCATTGGTCTTCATGGTGCCGCTTGCTTGGTGGTGCCCCTTGCTTAGTGGTATTGCAGACTCTGGGGCCTTTCAGAACAGGTGTATATATACTGAGATCATGTGACAGATCATGTGACACTTAGATTGCACACAGGTGGACTTTAATTAACTAATTATGTGACTTCTGAAGGTAATTGGTTGCACCAGATCTTATTTAGGGGCTTCATAGCAAAGGTGGTGAATACAAATGCACGCACCACTTTTCCATTATTTATTCTTTAGAATCTTTTGAAACAAGTAATTTTTTTCATTTCACTTCACCAATTTGGTCTATTTTCACCCAAAAAATAAATGTAAATTACCGGTTGTAATGCAATAAAATAGGAAAAACGCCAAGGGGGATGCAAGGCACTGTATATTAAATGTCTGACCTGACATTTAGTTCAATGTATGGGGTTTGTAGCATACAGTAAAAAATAAATAAATAGGCAACTGGGTCAGTAAAATATAGTAAACTGTCTGTGCTCAAACAAACAAAAGACCTGTTCAATTTAAACTGTATGTTTAACATATGCAAATAATATGAATGAATATATGTTGGAGTCAGCTGAATATATTGGACAAACATTAATCTACTGTATGTGACCTGTATGTACAGTGTGGGTAAAATAAAACCACATGGGTAGGCTATTTTGTGTACTGTAATGCATCATGTTAGGTTAATTATTTCAACAATACATGACTGCTTCAGACATGAAACAACGAGGTCATTTTGAACCAATAGGATTTAACCAAGACCGTATCACAACGTAAACTTGTTTTTTCCTGATGGGATAATGTGCACAAGTTGAAAAATCACCAATGTTAAGATCAACAAGAAGTGAAGTCTGTGTGTGCACAACATATGAATGCCTTGGGGTTATCTGATCAAAAAGGCTTAGTTGGCATTATACTATTTGATACCTGAGGACATTGTGTGGACATGCACGCTACACAGCGCTAGCTACATTCACTGTTCCAATAGCTGTCCAGAAAGACTGTCAACAGGAAATGACCAGGCGCTATCCTCTTTATCTCTATTGAACAGGTGGACTTTTTGTGTGTCCCTGAATGGATGATTTTGGCATTAATGCAGATAAATATGAATTATCTGGGGAATGGAGGCTCTTGTGGGAGGTTCCCTTAATCTCTTGCGAGCGATGGCGCACCTGTCTCTTCATGTCCTTGTACAGGATATTCATGATACAGGCTCCAAGAGCCACAGATGTCCCGGTGTCCCTCACAAGATCATGTCCCTTTCGATTTGACTCAAGCTGATGTCAACTATACATTCCGATTCCTTTTTCAGACTACAAAGATTGCCAAAATTGCTGTACCACTTTTTGTCCCCATCTCTCCTTCCACAATTACCAATTGCCCCTCCCTTTCCCCACCTGAATGTACATACTGTATCTATGAATTCCATGCCCCTTGTAGACCAAAGCTGGTGTAGTCTTCCACTGCTCTTCATCCCACGCAGACTATCTCACTGTGAGCAGTGGGCCTCTCAAGGACACATGAGGAAAACATAGCCAGACAGGGCTGACATTGATCTAAATCTACATCAGCGCAACCAGCTCTCTTGGCATCCTTCAAGGCACGTCTCCCCTCTACTCTCCTCTGCTCTCTTCTCCTACCTCCCTTTGTCCATGGTCTCGGCTTAATAGGAGGTCTGCGTCGTTAATCTTGGGCGTTTGTCTTGTTTGTTCCCCTAACCCTTTTGCCCCGTTGAATGGTTGGACGTGTAAACAAATGTGGCAGCGGTGTGGGGGCCCATAGACATCTAATCGGAGGGGGAAATCTCTTGTTCTCTAAAGGCCATGGTAATTCATTAGCATTGGCATCAAATCAAGCTTAATGAGTCAACGAGACAGGCTCAGCGCCATTATTCCTCTCCTAGGGTTTGTTTGTTTGGGTCTCCATGGCTCTATGGCGAAGCCCCTGTAGGTGAAATTCAGATCAGTCCATTTAGTCTGGCAGGCAGCCCACTGTCTGGATAAAGAAAGCATCTTAACTGTTTCAGACAGCACGAATGTATTGAGAAAAAAAAAATGTTTTGGGGAGAGCATTGTTTGGTTGATGCTAATGGCCAATCACAGCTTTTGATTTTAGTCCCCCTATATGTGTCCAAACTAGCCAGCAACCGAGGGCAAAAGTACAAACAAAAACGTAATCGACCAATCGCAGAGCAAGAAAGTATGCCTAAGATTAACAAGGGTGAAAGCAGAGTTCAGCCTTCACTTATAAAGATCATATAACATTATCCTCTTCTAAAAATGTAATAGGTACAGCATGCACTCTATTACCTAGTCCTCCATTACAGCTCCCCCATTACCTAGTCCATATTCCTATTCTCCTCTACGTCTTCCTCTGTTCTTCTTATCTCTCATTTCCTCTTCTCATTTCACCCCATCCTTTCCTCTCCCCTCCCAACTCCTCTTCCTCCTCTCCAATGTGGGAAGCTAAATCAGGACAGATTGCCCATCCTCAAGCCCTGACAGCAGTGCCGTACTAATCACAGCGTCACTTCCCCAGCTCTGCCTACACTCAGCTTAGCGACAGCCACAAGGCTCTGATCTCCACACGAGCCTGACGACTGACACGCTGAACACAGCGTCCCCTGTGGCCAATCAGGGGAAATACAGAGGGCTGCAGCACTGGCTGTAGCATAGTACCACATGTGGCCAAATAGATGCATATGGAAGCTAGAAGATAGTCAATGACTAAGACAGTAGCGCTTGACTCGTCTGTCTGTATCTGGAAGGGGTCACCAGATGAGTGCAAAGAACTGGGAAACCAAATGTGATCTTAAACACTGTTAGAATACAAAGGAATAACCTGCAGACTGCCTTTTCACAGCCTCCCTATTGCATTAGGCTAGGTTTGGAGCTGAGATGGAGATCATGTGAGGGAAATTCTGTATTTTTCCAGGTCCAAGGGGAACTGCTTTAATCCTCTGCTAGCACAGTCAGTATACAGTGCTATGAAAAAGTATTTGCCCCCTTTCAAATTTTCTCTACTTTTGCATGTTTGTGATACTGAATGTTATCAGATCTTCAACCAAAACCTAATATTAGATAAAGGGAACATAAGTGAACAAATAACACAACAATTACATATTTATTTCATAAACAAAGTTATGCAACACCCAATTCCCCTGTGTGAAAAAGTAATTGCCCCCTTAAATTCAATAACTGGTTGTGCCACCTTTAGCTGCAATGACTCCAACCAAATGCTTCCTGTAGTTGTTGATCAGTCTCTCACGTCGCTGTGGAGGAATTTTGGCCCACTCTTCCATGCAGAACTGCTTTAACTCAGTGACGTGTGGGTTTTCAAGCATGAACTGCTTGTTTCAAGTCCTGCCACAACATCTCAATTGGGATTAGGTCTGGACTTTGACTAGGCCATTCCAAAACTTCCAATTTGTTGCTTTTTAGCAATTTTCATGTAGACTTGATTGTGTGTTTTGGATCATTGTCTTGCTGCATGACCCAGCTGCGCTTCAGTTTCAGCTCACAGACAGATGGTCTGACATTCTCCTGTAGAATTCTCCGATACAGAGCAGAATTCATGGTTCCTTCTATTAAGGCAAGTCGTCCAGGTCCTGAGGCAGCAAAGCATCCCCAAACCATCACACCACCACCACCATGCTTGACCTTTGGTATGATGTTCTTACTGTGGAATGCAGAGTTTGGTTTTCACCAGGCATTACTGGAACCATGTCGTCCAAAAAGTTATACTTTTGAATCATCTGTCCATAGAACGTTCTTCCAAGAGTCTTGATGATCATCCAGGTGCTTTTTGGCAAACTTGAGTCAACTTTTTGGACGAGATGGGTCCCAAAAACAACAAGATTCAGCACAGGACCTCACTTCTGACACCAAATGTTGCAAATTGAATACATATTGATCCTGGAATCTCACAGTAAACACTAGTACTCTATCCATAATGTGAAAGGTTCTGGACGCATTAGCACAGTTTTATACACTAGCCAGCTTTATCATCATTGCCACTGCTTTATGAAAACTTCCATCCAGAGATTTTATGCGTGACAAAAAATTATAATATATATACCAGAAAATGCAAGTCAGATAATCCCACAGAAGGGTTATGTGCTCTCTGACATATTGCTGGAGGAAAGTGTCAACATTATGCCACGGAAACTCTCTGTACATTAATATATACCACTAGCACAAAAAATATACATTACTGGACATGATACAACGTTAAATCATAGACATTAATAGAATGTATTATTTATCTTAAACATGAAATGAGAGCTAATGAAAAGGAAGTCCATGTAATTAACCTCAGAATAATCTAAATCATATCAGAGATACAGTATATTGTGAGAAAATAGTATACTACCTGATAGTTATTGTTTGCAGAGATTATATCATGTACAAAATCAAATCTTCATCTATGTTTTATATGATCAGGAATTTTTGTATTTTTATACTTGAAAAGAGGATTCATAACCACATTTTAGAGACATGTATTCTGTAAATTAGTTTATGAATGTGTGTTTAGTTTTTTCTTGTCATTGTTTTGGTAACTACCTACCTAGACCATTGAACACATTGTTACTATAATTTCTTGTCATAGATTAGTTTGGTTCATGGCAGGATACAAAGAACACATGTAGTGAAAAATCTGGAACTTTTGGGAGTCTTGTTTGTGAAACAACAGACTCTCCCAATAGAAATAAATGAGGAAGGGTTGTCAACTACTTAAAGTAGCATTCCACTCAACTGGCACGGATGGAGGGAGAGCACATTTCCTCATCCCTCTTTACAAGTACTCACTGATGACTACCCACAACTCTCTTCTTCTATTGTAATTAAAAGTACAAAAAATATACTATGTCCAATATGGTTTCATGATGAATGTATGGTTGTTGGAGGTCGTCTGTGGGTGTTATAAATCATGTACATAGACCGAAAATATATTACTTATATGGATTCTTATGTGAATTTCTTTTTTTGTTGTTGAGAGGAACGTAATCCAAACAGCATGCACATACTGTACATTCCCGGAATTTGCACGCTGGGACGACGAAGGTTTCTGTTACTTCTGTGAATAACTCTACTGTATAACTCTCAGTGTATGTTAGATCAAACATGGTACAGGACAATAGATTTTGTATCATGTGCAACAAGGTCGGTCAAGACCCATTTTACTGTCAACGTTAATGTAAAAAGAAAATAGATTAAAATATTGAAGAGCAACTATTGTTATTCTGAGAGTGATGCTTGCTGTGTGAGATTTGTGTTGTTTATGAGTACTGAGGAAGAATGGTACAGTAACATAGTATGAATGTTAAAGACCAACTAACAGTGCAAATGCTATGCCAATTCTACGTATTGAAAGAACTGTTGCTGCTTTTTGTGAGAAAATCAACTATGGTACTTAACAGACCGCTGCTTTTGTACCTTCCTGTTGTGTTTTTGTGAGAATAAAAGTGATCCTCTTGTACACGAAAGGATTCGATTTAAATTAATTTCGTGTCTGAAAAGAACTCTAAACCAATTTCATGTCTCATGACTTCTGATGTTATAAATAAAGTATCAGACAATCACAGTATAAAATATTTATTCGTTCACACCCAAAATAGTGAAACAAAGAAAGGGTTATCCATACACCTTTATATTAAAAATAATTTTAATACAGTACAAATCTTGTTCTAAGCTCCGTCCTGAGCTGTATTCCTACTAGTCCTAGGGCAGACAGACACACAGACAGGTCATCATGCTTTTACACCAGATACGGCAGTTATTGGGATTGACAGTTTGCAGCCGTCTGAGTACCCCAAATAGAATAAGCTATTAATATGACATACAAATGTTGGGTCTTGTCTAGCTTTCACTGATTGTTATGTACACAGTCCCAGTGTTCAACCTGCCATATACGTGTCCAAAAGCTCTAAAGAAGATTGTAGAGAATTATGGTGATTCTCATTTAAATCATGCCGTTGAACTGTAAAGTCCATCCATGGCCAAGCCCTTAATCCTTTAGCAGTATGTATAAATATGAAGTGTTTACAGGGAAATAGAGTGTATTTACTGTAGGTGTTTGTTGGGGATCAGAGAAATATTAGGAAACAGCACCTCACAGTGTAATATACCTAAAGCTCTACTTAGAGAGCAGGCAGTCAACCGTGAGGTTTGCTGTGGGCTGACCAACAGCTAGAACCAATCACCTGCCATGCTGAGTTAAGTCTAGGGGAGATATTTCAAGTTTGTGTGCACTCTATATCCATTAAATGAGAGTGATTCTTTGAATGGAGCGTGTGTGTGTGTGTGCGTGCGTGTGTAGTGTTTCACAGGGAAATATCGGAAGAGACTAGGAGCTTTTGCCCGGGCTTCCACTTGGCGCTGACTCGGGACCCGTCTGTCCGTCTGTACGGCTGGTTCCTCAGGTCTAGTATGGGAGATGATGAATAGCAACAACACCGTGAGACCACAACTTGGAACAGGTCTGGTCTAAACATGCTTTGGTACTGACACCTCCACACAACCACAGACAGACAGACAGACAGACAGACAACTGCACCAAGAGACAGAAAGAAACAGATATATCCACAGACAGAGAAACACAGTGCTGCACAGGAGACATAGACACCTCCAGAGAGAGCGAAAGACAGACCTAAACACTTCTGAGGGGATTATGTGGGGCTCTCATCACTGAAGCCGGAGTCGCAGAAGAGGCGAGAGGAGCGCTTGCCAGAGCGAGCCGTGAAGGGCACAGCCTTTAGAGCTGAAAACCCCAGAGAGAGAGAGAGAGATAAGGAAAGAAAGAGAGGAGAGGGTGAAGGAGAGATATAACCAAGGGTGAAGGAGATATATAACCAAAGGTGAGGAGAGATATAACCAAGGGTGAGGAGAGATATAACCAAGGGTGAGGAGAGATATAACCAAGGGTGAGATATAACCAAGGGTGAAGGAGAGATATAACCAAGGGTGAGGCGAGATATAACCAAGGGTGAGGAGGGATATAACCAAGGGTGAGGAGAGATATATGCCCAGGGGAATGAGTGGGAATGACATGAAAAAAGGAGTGAAAAAGGGAGTGAATGGAGAAGATGAAAGGGTATGAGTAGACGTGACAGAAACAACAGGATGATGCAGCCGGTAGTGGACATTGCATGATGATAGTTAGTTATAATGTATTTGTGAAAATGGAGCATGGCGAAAAATGGCCTACATTGTTTTAGTTGAAAAACATGCATTATAATACTGTACATTTCTACAAGAGTATATCACAGCTACCGCTTTAGTTTAATTTCAGAATTACATATTCATTATATTAGACATACACAGCAGACATAAATTGTACTGGAGACCTTGATCTATTACCCCCAACCCCTGACCCTACAAGGCCCACCTGTGATGATGTCCTCGATGGCTCCATCCTTGCCCTCCCGGACCAGGGGGGTCACCTGCCGCCTCTTCAGCTCCGCTATCAGGTCCATCTGGGGCAGCTTGGGCATCATAGGTACCTGCTGGGGTCAAAAGGCAGCCAAAAGGAGTTGGGGTCAAAATCAAAATTATACATGTTTTGAGTGTAAACGGAGTAGGTCAACTCTCTTATTGCTCCTGCATGGTTGATAATGTGTCAACGACTACCTTCTGTGGTATTTCAGGCTTAGCTGATGTCGGCGGTGGCCCTGTCCTCCCTTCGCTGGACAACACATCCTGCTTTTTCCTCTGCTCATTCTCCTGCTCTGCTTGCTGCCGGGACGAATAAAATGACATGTATGTATGGTACACTGTCACATTAGTACAACAGTTACTATTTGATGTGTAGCAAAGAGCCCAGCACCGTCTACTATGTCGATACATTAACGTACTTACGCTTTTAAAGTCGGCTATATGACAGGAATGAATGATTGAATAGATTTAATCAATCAATAAATGTAATTAGTCAATGTGGTGACTAACCTTATAGGCCTTGATGAACCTCACGAAGATGGGGAAGAACATGGAGGGAGGTGTGGTTTTAGGGTACTCTCCAAAGTACTCCACTACTGATTCATACACATCCTAACATGAGAAAAAATTATCAGACCTTCATTATACTGTACCTCATTGCTTTCAGTAGCAGTAGTACTCATATAGTACTTATATAAATATTATCACGCTCTCCTAAAATCATTTATTCTAGTGTCATAAAAACGTTACTAGGTTAGCCCCATTTAGTAGGCTGTACATTTAGCCATTTTTCATTGTACAATATATATTTAGTAGGGAGAATTGACCTTGGCAGTCTTGCCATCTTCTACTACAGAGTCCAGCAGGTCATTGTTGCTGGTGAGGAACTCCTGCAGCACAGGGTTGTCTTCCTGTATGGCAAACTCCTTCCGGGTCACCTCCATGGCCCTCTCCAGGGCACGCACGTCCTGCAGAATGCTATCCAGGGACACCACAGCAGCTTTGTCCATGAAGTGCAGCTCGCTGTGGAAGGCTTGGAGCTCAGGGTATTTCTCCTGGATGATGCTCACTATGAAGTGCAGCAGAGTCTGTCTCCGGTCTGTGGACTTAGTGTCTAAGAGCTAGATTGAACCAGAGCCATATTTTTAGAGGAAACCAATGGAGAAAATGATACAATGTGAAAAGGTTAGCCTGATCCCACACCTGTATTTGCTTTATGACAGTGGTAGTCAGAGGAAAATACACTGTGATCAAGAACAAAGGGTGTCCAATCCGGATGATACAGTTGTTACTCGTCTCCAATGGAATCAATTTAGAAGTTAATTGATGATTTGGGTAACTGGGCCTGTAATTAATTATCTTCAGCAATAATTCGAGTTGAGAGACATGCTCCACCTTAGTGTTCTAGTCATTCAGTCACTGTGGCCGATTCAGAGAAGGCCTGTCAGAATCGGTTATCTCTGGATCTCTCACTGATGTGGAGTTCCATTTGAATAATTACTGTAGATAATCAATTAGATGCTGTGCTAAAACGACATTCTGCTAACCCAAGTGAATTTTCTGGACTAGGGTTGGAGTACAAAAGCAATGTGCCTCGTCGTCGGAAAAATAACACAAAATGAGCCTCTAAGATTTGGTTGATAAATACTGTATGTCTGCTTGAAGTCTTTCTCACCAAGTCGAGACTCTGCAGGCGGAACCCATAGGCCGCTCCTCTATTGCTGCTGTTCATGTAGTTTCCAAAGGCTAGGATGATCTTAGGGACAGAAGAGGCATTCCAAAGTTACACACCAATGCTGTGTAATCATACACATCTAACCAATTTAACACAAACCATCCATGCAGTATATCAAAAGAGCTGTCTCCTACAGTACCTCAAGGATCTTCTTCAGCTTGCTAGAGGACTTGATTGACATTGAGGCAGCGATGATTGCGTTGAGTTGCTGTTGGAGAGATGGGAACATACAGTATTATGGTGAATTATGGTATTATGGTGAAGCTTTTCGCACCCAACTACTATACATGAAAAAAACGTTGAAATAACATTGAAACCATTTTGAAATAACATTGAAATTATAAAATATTTTCTACTGACCGGCTGGATGAGCTGGATGCTTTCGGGGAAGTTGCCCATGAAGGTTAGTGTTCTGATGCGCTGGGTCAGCCGTGGGATCTTGCCAAAGCACACCATGAAGCGGTCCTCCTCGGGGAGCTCGTCCAGGGGCCTCCCATCTCGCTCGTAGTTCTGGATGAGCTTGACTTCGTACTCTGAGGGGATGAAACGCTCCAGCAGCTCCAGGAAGTCCAGGCTCAGAACTTCCTGGTTATACCTGTAGGGGGCACAGTCAGTGCATTCAACTAGATGTAGTCTTACAATATCTAGTCTTACGCACAAATGACATGTAGTATTTTTCTTATAACAAGTTGATAACAGACACATACGTCTCTATAGCTGTGCAGATGTCTGAGGTCGCCATGCCTCCCTTGCGCAGGGTGATGGCCAGGTTCTTGGCTCTGTTGGGCTCCAGTAGGGACACTTTGCTGGGGGCCTTCTGGGCCACCTTCGCTCTCAGAGTCCCCACGTCAGCCGGGGCTGTCTGGGCCTTGGTCTTAAACTGCTCCTCAAAGGCATCCATGTTCAACTCCTAGGACATGGAGGGGAGAGGTGGATAAATAATGCATGAGCTTTTGGTAATAGCCAAACTCAGCGAGAATGATTTACAGTTAAACAGCAGGAAGACTGGCCGTTGATACCGCAGGCTATTTTGTCATATGGCGGGAGACAGATCAGACGGAGGGAGCGAGAGCGAGAAATACAAAGGATTTCAGGAATACAGAAGATAGAGAAACTTGAGAGCGGCTGAGACAGAGAGGAAGAGGGATTGAAAGACTGGAATGAGCAGAAACAGAAACAGCAGCCACAGACAGATGAGGACATATTGAGATGAAAAAGAATACAGATTGTGAGCAGATAGCTAGCAGGGTACTGTGGTCTCACCCCCAACACGTTCTCATCATCCAGCTCATTGAAGATGGTTCCAGCCACCTGGTTGGGTTTGAGGGCCTGCCAGTTGAATGAAGGCATACGGTACTTAGTCTGAATGGACTTCTTGTTTCTGTTACCTGTCCAGAAAAGGGACACATTACTTTTGGCAGAACTTTTCATTATGTAAGTACCTTTCTGAGGGCCAGTCCCTGTTAGTGGGGATCAATGAAGTGAACGTTTTGTCATTAGAACCACGACTGACAGAACTATCTTGACCTATCGCATGTTAGCTTACCAGTGTGTCCGTCAGGCATACCCCCAAATGGTGGGGGCATTCCAACGCTTGGAGGTGGTGGGGCTATACCACCCCCTGGAAGAGGGGGGGGCAGAGGAGGTGGTGCCGTCGAGCATGGAGGGGGAGGAGGAGGAGGAGGTGGAGGAGGAGGGGGAGGAGGAGCTTGTGCCGTGACCTCTGTTGCACCAGGTAATGGAGGAGCAGGGGGTGGGGGCGGAACTACAGATGTGGGAGGGGCCACAGGACCATCAACAGTCGTGATTTGTTCTGTGGAAGCAGGGAAATATGAAAAAAGGTAACATTTTTGGTGATGAATTTCATTCCATAAACCAAAATAAATTAATATTTCTGACATGGTTTTTGAGACCATGTGTGTGGCTTGCAGCTCACCTGTTTCAGCATGGATGGAAACAGGAAGGATGATAGGGACCACATGGAGGTCCAGGTGTCCCGAGGACGAGCGCTCCATTTGAATCAGCCCCTGGTCCACAAGCCCCTGAACTTTCTCCTCCAGCTCCGCCAAGGCATGGGCCGAACGATCTCTATCCCTCTCTCTTTCCGTCTCTCGTTCTATCTCTCTCTCGATCTCCCTCTGTTGTAGAATGGTCACCTGGGCACAGGACTCACGCAGACTCTCCTGTTACACAGACACACATGTCCATGTGTTAGCCCTCTGAGCTATAGCGTAGGCATAAGCTTGGGAGCTAACGCAAGTCTTCTTTGTGTATGTCATGGACTGTAATTAGATGATAGGCCTACCTTTAGGAGCTCCACCTCTTTGGTGGTCTGGATGAGATGTTTCTCCAACTCTGACACTGTCTCCAACGCCTCCCTCTCACTCTCTTGCAATCTGCTGCTTATCTATAATACACACACACGCACACACACACACACACACATTTATATACAGTCGTACAGACACGTAAAAAAAAACACACAGTACATACAATCTACTTATTATAAACCTTCAAACACAATGTGCACAAGAAAGCGTGAACAAGTTCACCCAGGTGCAACACATCAAAATAAAGTTGACATAGCGGATGTGTGTTCTTGTACACATTCTTGTTTGTACACAATGGACGTATGGTCACCTGTGCATTGTGGTCCTGCAGCTCCTCCATGTGTTCCAACAGGGCGTTCTTGGTCTCTGCATCCTCCAGCAGAGCCCCCACATCAAACACGTTATCCAGGTAGGCCTGAATCTGCACCAGCAGCCTGTCACTCTCTGTGAACTTTAACCTCTGCACATGACAGAGGAACACATACACACATATACAAAGACAAATATAGAGATACATTACTATTTTTCTATGTAATTATGTGCACACACGCATCATTTGTTTACCTTCAAATCTAGTCTCCTATGACAACAAAAACATAAACAATAGAATGATGTGTCTTTGGGTTTTTGGTTATGATAAGGAAAGACAGTTGTACTAATGCAATCTCATAAGGTATTTTATAAGTTATATTATTCACAAATAAGGGGGTATATTTTTATATTTTCTGAAAATATCTCACCATGTTTCACGGTAAAGTCTACACCTGTTGTATTCAGCCGGCGCATGTGACAAATGCAATTTGATTTGATGTATCAGTGGTAAGGGGCAACTTCTCTCTGTGATTCAGTATCACTCACCTCCAGATAGTCATCCAGGCCATGGTGGCTAAACTCATACTGCAGATGGACCCTGAAGTTCATGTTCTCTACTGAGTGGACCACGATGTTGATGAACTGCATGCACGCCACCTGGTGGACATAAACAGTAGGAGACGGCGTCAGGTTTACATCTACTGTAACTTGCTAATCAAGTCTGAGCATTTTCTCTTCTGTGGAGATGGACCTAATAAACATGAATTGTGCAATTTGGAGTCAGATTTACCATGAAGTCAATGTTGCTGTCTTCATTGCAGAAATACTCCATCAGCTTCTCGAAGCGGCTCCTCTCTCCACATACCTTATCAACGACATGGATTGAAGGGGAAAAGGTTTTCGACTAGGCACATAATTCGGCACCGCAACACCACAAATATGCACAGGGGGGCAGTGTATCCTTAAATACAGCTTCTTGTACCCCACGCAAACGATATTTCACTTTGTCTTTCTCCAGTTCTCTCTACCGCACCGCAATGTTTTCGCAAATGACTTCTAAAATGGAAGTTAGCTGACTTCAATCATGAAAGCTATAATGTCAGCATCACTCGGCCATACAAAGGTGGGTCAGAATAGTCTCATAAGTATTGTGTTTGAAAATGAAATATATCAGTTAGACTGTTCTACAGTGTGATATCCAATAACTGTACCCTTTTGAACATGCGTGATACGTCTTTAAGGTTTAATGCCGCCTCCCCCCAGCCCACTCATGTCCACTAAATAATACAGGCTTGCTCCTCAACCTGCCAGCCTGTACCCAAACAATGCCCACGCTCTGCCACTGTGGGCAACAGGAGCCAGCCTGGTACAGTACTCCGCCTTTCCGCCTCCACTTCTACACTCCTCCACCATGTGCTATCTATCAACTCTCGCTCGTTCCCTCCCTCCCTCCCTCCATCTGTCTCTCACCCACACAGTTTCTCCGTGCTATCCCAAAACGAGTGCCACTTTTGATGCCAGCACTGCAACTGATACTAGGTTACTACTCTAAGGTGTTGCTTAAACAGTGTGTGTGATTAGGATATGAGATAGGATATGAGAAGGCGAGAGCTCTGGATACTGCAATTATGGGTGACTTTTATCGAGCTAATTTGAAAGTGTTGAAAGGTCAATCCCTCTTCGAAATAAACTTTGCAAGCATTGTTTAAGCGATGCCTATCGCTGAGTGGCACATTATAGGGCTTTAAAAAGACGGACTGTAAGCAGTGATTACCAGTCATTCAGGGCAGGTGGAGCAGAGCCCCACCTGTTTTGAGCCCCACCTGTTTACAGTAGCTGTTGCCTGCTTTGAATGTTATTTTGGCATTAAATCATGTCACATATCAGTTTGCAAACAATGTAAAAACACATTTATTGAGTGAATAAAGCCGCATACAAACATGGTCGCTTTCTTGAGTAAGGCAGCTCCAAAATGCAGGTGTTTCAGCCTAGCTCAGTGCTTTCTGTGGTGGTGGGGCAGCCAGCGGAACATACAGAGCATAGGCGTTGGTAATCTTCTCTAGTTGTGCTGTGATTGGCTCAGTGTTCTGTCACTCATGGGGACACTACGTCACCGCAGAATCTACAGGGCGAGTTAGGCAGTTCAAGCCCCCTTGGATGCTGCCATAGATTGACATTAGAAGTGCCCATCCAAGAAGGCTCAAGGTCATTGGCCACAGATAAAATGGCGTCAAATCACGTTATATCTACCATAGCTTTGATTGGACTGATCATGTCAACATCATACTTTCAAATCATACTAGTCATCATCATGAATCACGTGCAAATCCTTTTCAATCCTTGTCACAATAAGAGAAATTATAGATAAAACGTATCTGTGCTCATCAGCCATTGGACATAAACACTACACAACAAGTCAGATCGCAAATTTAACAATGAGTGGTTTGGAAAGAATCAGTGACTAACTGCAAGCGTTGCAAAGCAATCACTATTTTCCTTCCTCTGCCTGCTATTCGGTGGAGAGGGTGTGTGGTCCAAGTCTGGGTTTAAGGATTTAAAACATCTGTCTGAAAGGGTCTCGTTTCAAAGCTTAAAATGATAAACATAGTCAATGGGCCAGAAAAGGTTGAATACATTTGCCATGCTGTCAATTCAGCATGACTTCTGCCGTGTTCAAAACAACTGGAAACTCGGAACTGGGAAATCTCAGACTTCAGTGAGTTCAAGACAACTGGGAACTCCGACTGGGAAAATAAGTTTTGAACGGTCATCCAACTCGGAATTCCAAGTCGGGAACTCGGGCCTCTTTCTAGAGCTCCGACCTGAAGATCTTTGACGTCATGATTCAACCTTGTTTTTTTCCTGAGTTCCCAGTTGTCTTTTAAACTCACGGACCAGGCAAGGAGGGCATTAATCAGAGAGGCAACAAAGAGACCAAAGATAACCCTGAAGGAGCTGCAAAGCTCCACAGCGGAGATTGGAGTATCTGTCCATAGGACCACTTTAAGCCGTACACTCCACAGAGCTGGGCTTTATGGAAGAGTGGCCAGAAAAAAAGCCATTGCTTAAAGAAAAAAATAAGCAAACACGTTTGGTGTTCGCCAAAAGCCATGTGGGAGACTCCCCAAACATATGGAAGAAGGTACTCTGGTCAGATGAGAGTAAAATTGAGCTTTTTGGCCATCAAGGAAAACGCTATGTCTGGCGCAAACCCAACTCCTCATCACCCGAGAACACCATCCCCACAGTGAAGCATGGTGGTGGGAGCATCATGCTGTGGGGATGTTTTTCATTGGCATGGACTGGGAAACTGGTCAGAATTTAAGGAATGATGGATGGCGCTAAATACAGGGGAATTCTTGAGGGAAACCTGTTTGGGTCTTCCAGAGATTTGAGACTGGGACAGAGGTTCACCTTCCAGCAGGACAATGACCCTAAGCATACTGCTAAAGCAACACTTGAGTGGTTTAAGGGGAAACATTGAAATGTCTTGGAATGGCCTAGTCAAAGCCCAGACCTCAATCCAATTGAGAATCTGTGGTATGACTTAAAGATTGCTGTACACCAGCGGAACCCATCCAACTTGAAGGAGCTGGAGCAGTTTTGCCTTGAAGAATGAGCAAAAATCCCTGTGGCTAGATGTGCCAAGCTTATAGAGACATACCCCAAGAGACTTGCAGCTGTAATTTCTGCGAAAGATGGCTCTACAAAGTATTGACTTTGGGCGGGGGTGAATAGTTATAGTTATGTAAGTTTTCTGTATTTTTTTGTCTTATTTCTTGTTTGTTTCACAATAAAAAATATTTAGCATCTTCAAAGTGGTAGGCATATTGTGTAAATCAAATGTGACAAACCCACCAAAAATCGATTATAATTCCAGGTTGTAAAGCAACAAAATAGGAAAAATGCCAAGGGGGGTGAATACTTTCGCAAGCCACTGTATGTATACTGTAGCTAAGAAAGTAATACTAAGTGTATGTTGTGTAGTAAGCTGTTAGTAGCCCATGTGCTTCACCCTAATAATTTGGTCCCTTTCCCCCTCAGAACTTAGCCTACTGTTCTAACTTGGTGGTGCACATGTAGCCTATTGCCTGTTTTAGAGAAATGTCATCGTCAAATATTGTAAGAGCTTTCTTTGTCTGCTTATATGCCCCCTTTAATTTATCCTACGGTTCTGACTTGATGTACATGGAGAAAACTGTAAGAACAGCCCATGTTCTGAATTCTGTCGCTGTACATTTCAAAAGTGCTGAACAAATAGGTATATCGGCTACTCGCTCATTAATGTCTTAATCGAAATTACAGCTTGCCTCTTATCTGCTCATCGTTCCCTTATGCCATAGTTTATACATCTCAATTGTTATAGGCCTATTACTTATAGAGGTCTATCTCATTAGAATCTTATTAATCATTTTAGGCAATGTTGGAATGATTTCATTGTTTTGCTTACCTTGTGTATTATAATTACAGTAGCTCATGCGTTTTTCTTCACGAGGAGGGGATACTATATAATGTTGTTGGGTCTGTAACCATGTTTGCCAGTGAATATATTTGCTTTCAACAAAAAGTTCAGTAATAGACCCATGTAATTCCAGTTGATATTGTGAGGGTTGTTTTGTTTGCGCAAAGCGCTGTCTGTGTGTCAGTATATTGTCTATAAAAGAGAATCCTTGTGATTGTATTTTCCTTCCTTTTTAGACCACTTAGGCTTAATAAAATACTTAAAATGGATAGGCTAACCGAGTGTCTCTCTCTCTCTCTCTCTGTCTGTCTGTCTGTCTGTCTGTCTGTCTGTCTGTCTGTCTGTCTGTCTGTCTGTCTGTCTGTCTGTCTGTCTGTCTGTCTGTCTGTCTGTCTGTCTGTCTGTCTGTCTGTCTGTCTGTCTGTCTGTCTGTCTCTCTCTTTCTCTCTCTCTCTCTCTCTCTCTCTCTCTCTCTCTCTCTCTGTCTGTCTGTCTCTCTTTCTCTCTCTCTCTCTCTCTCTCTCTGTGTGGTGACTTAAAAAATAGTAAAGTTAACGCCTCAACATCTTGCTGAATTTATCTGAACTACTGTAACATCTATCTGAATTTGTGTCGGTGTCCATTTTAGTGTGTCGCAGCTTGTTTGCTTGCACTTGCTTATATTTAGAGCTCAGTATTGATGATATAAGAACAAACATGATGAATTTACTGAACATGAATGTAATAATGTTTGTGTATGGTTCAAAAGTCAAAACTAATTTTGGCGTTTGTTATTATTGAAGGAGAATGCGGTTCTTATCGACTTACACAAATCCACAAGGAGTCAGTTGTAACCACATTTGTTTAAGCAAATCAGCCATGTCAGCTATGGTTTTTAAAAATGCATTAAATTAGGCTGAATGAACTGTTTCGCTGCCAGACAAGGCTCCGCTGATAGCCAGGTGTAGCGGTGGTAAGGATTCACTCCATGGTGCTGAAAATAAAGCTCTGCTGTTGGGACAGCTTTATGTAGGCCCTAACCGTTTGTCACCGTTATAGTGCAATTCATGTATTGTTTAGTGTTGTGTTGTGGCTTTGCTGGCATGCACTAAAATCGCCACTGACTGGAAGTAACCAACGCTGATATACCATGTGTTCTGAGACTTCCTCATGCCACCAGACATACGTCAGAGGAAACAAGTGAATGTCAGACATTTTGATAGAACACCTTTTGCTACTGAAAAAGTAGTCTGCTCTGGTCAATGTCCATGTAATTAACCGCTCTAGGGAGAGGTTTCTCATAACTACTGGACTAGGATAATTATACTAATCAGGACTTCGAAGACAAAACTGACCACAGATCAGTGCTTAGGGGCAACTGTCCCTAAATACCACAGGTTGCAGTGGTTCATCTAATGCTAAGACCTAGCTTTTCCGTCCTTGCCCATTGCTAATAATACCCAGGTCTACATCACAACGTCTGGCTAGCCCTATCCACGGGGGTCTTTATCTGTTAGCAACAGTTGGTCCCTTGACAGACAGTGGGGAGAAGTCCAAAGAAAGGTTAAACTGTCACGTCGCCAACAACTGTTACGAATTTTTGTGCCCCCACCCCCTCCTGCACCTTCACCCCCTCCTGCTTATAGCGGACAACTGCCATGACAGCTGCCAGGGGGGACGTTGGGTGATATCTTTGGATGGGGGTTGATAGGTTGACTTGGCGTGTGCAGTGTTCACAAGGAAATCAAGACGACTGATGGCCACATCCTAACTTTTTTCAGATCTCTGCATATAAGTCATTATTTGTGCGTTGATGTCAATGGGAGATTTGGGAAACTGGGAGTCTCTATGACCCTCAAACTCAACTCTGGACCCCGAAGACAGTTCCAATGCGTTTTTTCATTGTTCCCCTCTAATAAGGAACTGATTTAGACCTGGGAAACGAGGTGCGTGCAATTAATTATCAGGTAGAAAAGAAAACCAGCAGGCTCCGGAGCTTTTGTTGAATACCCCTGCTGTATGACATGCAACATGATGGGAGACTTCAGAAGGGTGTAGGGTTTGACAGGAAGTGTTGGTGAAGAGACTGTCGTCATGGATACCCCTCTTACCTCTTTGAAGTTGTCAAAAGCGGAGAGGATGATGTCATGACCGCCCCTCACTAGACATACAGCAGCCAACAGCTCCAGCACTAAAGCTTTGGTCCTGAGGGGTACAAGTGTATATTATACACACACACACACACACACACACACACACACACACACACACACACACACACACACACACACACGCACACACTAATAACACTGGTCCTCACCTGGGGTTCCTGTTGTTGAGGCTGAGGGTGATCTCGTTCACACAACACGGGTGGGTCATCACCAGGTTAAACCCAGACTAAACACACACGTACACACCGTTGTCAGTCATCGCCATCGTCAGTCACACTTCATATACTGCAGTGTAGACTTGATCCATACTGACACAAAGCCTGTCAACTGTCGCTTTTTTGATGGACAGTGCTTTACAGCGTAGGAGGGAAGCATAAAGTTATTGGTGTGTAAAACACCAAGCAATGATGCTGAAATAAATGTTACTCCTCCTAGCTAACTCTATTGAGTCACGCTGTTTTAACAGTAGAGATAAAGGTGGATAGGCCTACCTGGCTAAGTGTTATAGGTGAATAAAGGTTCAGTAGGGTTTACATGGGGAGGTGCAGTATGTACCTGGTAGTTCATGATGGCACGTAGACACATGATGCAGAGGTGAACGTCGTCTTTCTGACTGACGAGGCGTGAGTTCCTCATCGCTTTCCTGTTGTGGAGAGGGTTGAATCTGCCGGGTGAGAAACGTAGCTGTTATTTAATGTTATTACAAATGCATAACGCAACAATACCATGTAATAAGAGGTTATTACATAACATTATAGCTGTAGTGACACACCTCCAACTCTTATGAGTTTTGAAATACATACACATTATAAACTTGCACAAATTACACACAGGGTGGACATTTTATAGTTATTCAAACTGCGAGGGCTTTGAATAACTATAAAATGTCCACCCTGTGTGTAATTTGTGCAAGTTTATAATGTGTATGTATTTCAAAACTCATAAGAGATAAAATTAGCCCTGTCCCCACAACGTAATGTGTTTTAAGGCTGAATGGGACTCGTTTTTGTCTATGATGATGCAATCAATGAATGAAGCAATGAAGCTTCCATTGCCAGATCCACATGTAAATAGTCATGTTAATATTCACTTCGAAATATTTTTGGTTAAAATTACATCTGAGTGATTGAAAGAGAGAGAGGGGCAAGTAGATATTATAGACACCAGCGAAAGAGAAAAAACAGGCAGAAAGAGAAGACTACAGAGGTGATAAACGAGATTCTTACACACTCCTCTTGGAAGCATCAATGACAGGCAGGCAGTGCCCCAAAATGGATCCTCCCAGATATCTGTTGATAGGTGGAATGTCTGATGGTTTTGCCCTAGGCAGACATTGCTCACATGTTTACAACATAGACTAGAATGCTGAGAGGGAGGAAGGCTGCTTCCAACGTTTACCCTATGAAACAGTTGGTGTGACAGGAATGTGGCTCCTCCAGATGAAAAAGAGTATAGAGGATAGAGGTGTGTGTGTGTGTGTGTGTCTGTGTGTGTGTGTGTGCGCGCGCGCATCTGTCTGTCTGTCTGTCTGTCTGTTTACATGTGTGTGTACGTGTGTGTGTGCATGTGCATGTGCACATCTTTCTGTATGTTTATCTGTTTGTCTGTCTGTTTACATGTGTGTGTACATGTGTATGTGTGTGTGTGTGCGTGTGTGTGTGCGTGTGTGAGTGTGTGAGTGTGCGCATCTGTCTGTCTGTGTCTGTCTGTCTGTTTACGTGTGTGTGTGTGTGTGTGTGTGTGAGTGTGTGTGTGTGTGTGTGTGTGTGTGTGTGTGTGTGTGTGTGTGTGTGTGTATGTATGTATGTATGTATGTATGTGTGTGTGTGTGTATGTGTGTGTATGTATGTGGGTGTGTGTGTGTGTGTGTGTGTGTGTGTGTGTGTGTGTGTGTGTGTGTGTGTGTGTGTGTGTGTGTGTGTGTGTGTGTGTGTGTGTGTGTGTGTGTGTGTGTGTATGTGTGTGACAGCTTGGGACAGACTAGGCCACCTTGACGGGACAGGTTAAGCTACAGTATGTGCTTAGCAGTACCAGCTGCACCAAGATTCTCATAAGGTTACGGCCAACCAGAAACTTTCCCAGACATTTTGAGAACATTTTCAAGCAGACAAAACTGAGATCACACTCGTTCCGGGAATTCGAAACACAGTGCAAAGGATTTATATTACATAAGAAGAAGCATTGTCCCAGGTTTGATTATGGCATACGCTTTGTTCCATGGCAAGGAATGTCATTGAACCATGCTATAATGTAATCTACATCAAAGTGTATCCGGTCGTCAACGCCCATGGACCACATGTTTTCATTAAACATTTCAACAGGGACACCACCATATCATTTGAATGAGATAGAAGCAGGGTGACAGAGAGTGGATCGTATCCCCTGAATCTGATCCAATGAATCTGTCAGACCTGTCTTATATCAAAGTGCTGGCCTGCCTCGACATCCCATAATACTGTAAAGTAGTGATAAAAGTGTGTGTGTGTCTGTGTCAGCCTGACACCCGCTGCACTGATCCAACCGTGCAGTAACGTCAATCACAGACATCCACAGAGATCAATCTACAGACACATCAACTCCCATTGGGGTAGGGGAAGTGGTCATGGTGTGTGTGTGTGTCACAGTGTGTGTGTGGGTACGGGAGGACTGGGAGTCATTGTTCTTTCCTCACAAGTAACGCCCATGAATCTTGGGTGCAAGAACTACAAGTGTAGTCCAACCTCGGTCCCATCCAACAGACAGACTTTTATGCACTCATTGCAGCGCCATACTTCTCACCAGTTCCTGGTGACACTCACCTCACAGTAAAGGAACGAGCCACTTTAGAAGCACCATGGATTGGAGAGTTACCGGCACTCCTCGTGAAGTCCTCCACAGATTTGTCCGGTGTGGCTGTCCCGTTGTCCAAACTGTCCATGTCATAGCTGAGGGTCCAGAGTACAGATGTAGGATCTTAATTTGATCACTTTTATATTGCTGAGAATTTACATACATTCACTGAAAACCGGCATTCACTGAAAACCCGTTATATTAACAGTATTGCACTTTTCATGTACAGTGAGGGAAAAAAGTATTTGATCCCCTGCTGATTTTGTATGTTTGCCCACTGACAAAGAAATGATCAGTCTATAATTTTAATGGTAGGTTTATTTGAACAGTGAGAGACAGAATAACAACAAAAAATTCCAGAAAAACGCATGTCAAAAATGTTATAAATTGATTTGCATTTTAATGAGGGAAATAAGTATTTGACCCCTCTGCAAAACATGACTTAGTACTTGGTGGCAAAACCCTTGTTGGCAATCACAGAGGTCAGACGTTTCTTGTAGTTGGCCACCAGGTTTGCACACATCTCTTTGCAGATCTTCTCCAAGTCATTAAGGTTTCGAGCCTGATGTTTGGCAACTCGAACCTTCAGCTCCCTCCACAGATTTTCTATGGTATTAAGCTCTGGAGACTGGCTAGGCCACTCCAGGACCTTAATGTGCTTCTTCTTGAGCCACTCCTTTGTTGTCTTGGCCGTGTGTTTTGGGTCATTGTCATGCTGGAATACCCATCCACGACCCATTTTCAATGCCCTGGCTGAGGGAAGGAGGTTCTCACCCAAGATTTGATGGTACATGGCCCCGTCCATCGTCCCTTTGATGCGGTGAAGTTGTCCTGTCTCCTTAGCAGAAAAACACCCCCAAAGCATAATGTTTCCACCTCCATGTTTGACGGTGGGGATGGTGTTCTTGGGGTCATAGGCAGCATTCCTCCTCCTCCAAACACGGCGAGTTGAGTTGATGCCAAAGAGCTCCATTTTGGTCTCATCTGACCACAACACTTTCACCCAGTTCTCCTCTGAATCATTCAGATGTTCATTGGCAAACTTCAGACGTCCCTGTATATGTGCTTTCTTGAGCAGGGGGATCTTGCGGGCACTGCAGGATTTCAGTCCTTCACGGCGTAGTGTGTTACAAATTGTTTTCTTGGTGACTATGTTCCCAGCTGCCTTGAGATCATTGACAAGATCCTCCCGTGTAGTTCTGGGCTGATTCCTCACCGTTCTCATGATCATTGCAACTCCACGAGGTGAGATCTTGCATGGAGCCCCAGGCTGAGGGAGATTGACAGTTCTTTTGTGTTTCTTCCATTTGCGAATAATCGCACCAACTGTTGTCACCTTCTCACCAAGCTGCTTGGTGATGGTCTTGTAGCCCATTCCAGCCTTGTGTACGTCTACAATCTTGTCCCTGACATCCTTGGAGAGCTCTTTGGTCTTGGCCATGGTGGAGAGTTTGGAATCTAATTGATTGATTGCTTCTGTGGACAGGTGTCTTTTATACAGGTAACAAGCTGAGGTTAGGAGCACTCCCTTTTAGAGTGTGCTCTAATCTCAGCTCGTTCCCTGTATAAAAGACACCTGGGAGTCAGACATCTTTCTGATTGAGAGGGGGTCAAATACTTATTTATTGCAAATCAATTTATAACATTTTTGACATGCGTTTTTCTGGATTTTTTTGTTGTTATTCTGTCTCTCACTGTTCAAATAAACGTACCATTAAAATTATAGACTGATCATTTCTTTGTCAGTGGGCAAACGTACAAAATCAGCAGGGGATCAAATACTTTTTTCCCTCACTGTAGCCTACTTTTGGCCATCCAATAGCTTAACCACCTATCAAGCAACATTCAAATTCTGTTGCTGCAGGATTATTTTGCTGTGACAATATAGGTCAAATTAAGATCATACATCTGAATAAGGGATTTGGACATGAATGGGAGAGATGAAACGATACTATCAATATGGAATATTAAAGTTATGTTAAATGTTCAATCTAAAGCCCTAGGATATTTTTCACTACTAATGGGTCCCAAGAAAAAGAAGGAAAGACCCAGAACCCCCATAAAGAACCACATCAGGATGGACACCCAAGGTCAAAACCTTGCCTTTTCCTCTCAGATTGTCTTATCCATATATAGATGTGAAGGACTGCTACTCACTTGACGGCACATTGGGCGAAGGACACATAGTCAACCAGGACATCCAGGCCACGGTTCTCCTCACTGAGGAACTCCTGAGCCCAGCTGGAGAGGAGGGGAACAGGATAGGATGGGAAACAGGAGGGGGAAAGGATAGTAAGACCCAATTGGCACACCTTAAAACAATTAACAATTAATGGTTTTTGCTAGCCACCATGCTTCTACATCTGCATTGCTTGCTCTTTGGGGTTTTAGGCTGGGTTTCTGTATAAGCACTTTGTGACATCTGCTGATGTAAAAAGGGCTTTATAAATACATTTTATTGATTGATTGATTAACCACAGCTGCACAATGTTTATCTACACTGTACAACCCCCATACAATACACCAATCAGACTTTACAGCAGGCAAAAGTCACTACAACCACAATCAGACACACATTACAACATCCAGTCATAACAATATTGTCATGACTCTCCTGACAGTGGGTCAAAGGACCCATCAGCTAGGCAAATGTTTGAAGAGGGGAATGGGGGCTGTGGCGGTCTTGACACTTTAACACTGGGTTGTAAATTTAATCAGGAGAGAAATCTCTCCCTGGCTCTCTAGTATTGAGATAATAATGCCTTTGTCTAGAGAGAGAGTTTTGCCGCCAAAACCTTTTTCCCTAAAAAGTGAACATTGGAACATTTATTTCTATCATCCGAATGTTAAGAATGGTCAGTGGGGATCTAAAGAATAATCATGTCATATTGTTTATTATTTTGTGATGTCATTAAGGATGGTGTAACACAATAACTGTAACTTGGAAAGTGTACACATTCTATTTGTCAAGTTTACATCTAAATGTATAAAATATATGATTAAGTATGAGAGTATTTTGGTGACGATAGGAATGTGATTTTAGTCTTCTAATGAGATCATTGTTTTTCATATAAACTTTTGCCCAGCCAGTAACCACGCCCCAAGGGAACACAGACATTGTGTCGGCGTGATGGAACGCCCCCTTTTTACCCGAGAATAGAAAGACTTCGTAACGAAATTCACATTAGACCAGAAAGCTTAAAATGGTTAGACCAGAAAGAAGTGAGACGGTGGTCTACACGTCTGAAAATGGTTGGAACGTTGAACCTCAACACGAGGTGAAGAAGATACACTCACTAGACCAGAACATTGGCAGTCTGCAGCTGGACGTGTAAAGTGATCTAGAACTTTGACTAACCACACTAGGTGGGAAGAAGAACATCCCATCTCAGACAATCACGGGTGCATCTGAGTATCTGTCCTATTTGAACCCTCCACTCCAAGCCAGGACAACTAAGGACATTGTGACCTCTGGTGGACAACAAGAGCCTTACACTCATCGGCACCTTCCCCATAGGAGTGATTGGTTTCAACAGAGAGACGACGAACAAAGACAGACACGTAAATACATTCATGAATTCTTCTCCGAATGGGCAGTGGTTAGGGTGCTAAGTATTCTGAGAACTGTGAGCGTAGTTTCCAAATGTATGTACGATACGTTTGACTCTCTTTGTCCCTCTCTCCCTCCTTCTATACCTACCCCTCCCTTTCCAAGCAGTCATGCTGTTGTTAGTACGCTAGGGACCTTTTCACAGTACACAACTGGAAATTTGGTCTATCCAGGTGATAGTAACCACAAGTAAAACAGTAAAACAACAATCTCACTCGACGAAACGGTGAAAGATCATTCCCACACTTAACAACAAGCAATTCTGGTGCATAGTTTACAACAACAACAATTACTTACATCTGACTGGAGCTGCCCAATAGCATCTAACCCTGACTCTAGACCCTGCAAGCCTAAATCCAGCATCTTATGGTTTGCTAATGAATATCCAATAATTCTATCGTATTTCAGTGCTCTCACGCAATGCCCTTTTACAGGATTAGCATTTTGTTGGTAGAGTTTATAATGGTTTTATCATTATAAATAAGCTAATTGATCCCACCTCCTCTCCCCTGTAACTAGTCCCCAGGTCGTTGCTGTAAATGAGAATGTGTTTTCAGTCAACTTACCTGGTAAAATAAGGGTTAAAAAATATAAAAACGACCAATAGATTGGAGTAAGTGGAAAAGTTGGGTAAGGGAGTGGGTCTTACCCGATATGATTGGTCCTCAGGGAAATTTCCAGCTCTCTCAAGACCTGTGTGGACTCCTGGACACGCCTCTTGAACTGTCATAACACAAACAACAACATAGCTTTTGCAAATTCATTTTATATCGGTGATTACTTCAAGGAATTATGTTTTTGAAAGTATCTGAGCAGGGTCATAGCCCAGACTGGCCTCGTTCAGGACTGTAATGGTACAGTACCTTACGACTAACCCCTCCCTGGTCAAGATAACTTCTGAGCTTCAGCAAGTAAGCAGAGGGTGGATTCTTCACTTGGAACCGTTCCTGTAGGAAGCAGAGGAGACAGACAGACAGACAAAGAGAGACAGAGAGAGAGAGAGAGAGAGAGAGAGAGAGAGAGAGAGAGAGAGAGAGAGAGAGAGAGAGAGAGAGAGAGAGAGAGAGAGATGGTAGATTGTATCTAATTATGTTGATTGCATGGGTGCACTGTGGGAGAAAGGGACCAGAGGGCAAAACTCAACAGAGACTTCACAGCCTTGATGATTACACTGCTTAATTTATGCTAACATAACCAATGATATATATCCGTTGATGAGGCTGAACCAATGTTGGGACATGTATATGCATGTCAGGATGCCAATCTACAGTGCCTTGCAAAAGTATTCATCCCCCTTGGCATTTTTCCTATTTTGTTGCATTACAACCTGTAATTTAAATTGATTTTTATTTGGATTTCAGGTAATGGACATACACAAAATAGTCCAAATTGGTGAAGTGAAATGAAAAAAATAACTTGTTTAGATAACCCTGAAGGAGCTGCAAAAATCCACAGCGGAGATTGGAGTATCTGTCCATAGGACCACTTCAAGCCGTACACTCCACAGAGCTGGGCTTTATGGAAGAGTGGCCAGAAAAAAGACATTGCTTAATGAGAAAAATAAGCAAACACATTTGGTGTTCGCCAAAAGGCATGTGGGAGACTCCCCAAACATATAGAAGAAGGTACTCTGGTCAGAAGAGACAAAAATTGAGCTTTCTGGCCATCAAGGAAAACGCTATGTCTGGCGAAAACACAACACCTCTCATCACCCCGAGAACACCATCCCCACAGTGAAGCATGGTGGTGGCAGCATCATGCTGTGGGGATGTTTTTCATCGGCAGGGACTGGGAAACTGGTCAGAATTGAAGGAATGGTGGATGGCGCTAAATACAGGGACATTCTTGAGGGAAACCTGTTTCAGTCTTCCAGAGATTTGAGACTGGGACGGAGGTTCACCTTCCAGCAGGACAATGACCCTAAGCATACTGCTAAAGCAACACTCGAGTGGTTTAAGGGGAAACATTGAAATGTCTTGGAATGGCCTAGTCAAAGCCCAGACCTCAATCCAATTGAGAATCTGTGGTATGACTTAAAGATTGCTGTACACCAGTGGAACCCATCCAACTTGAAGGAGCTGGAGCAGTTTTGCCTTGAAGAATGAGCAAAAATCCCAGTGGCTAGATGTGCCAAGCTTATAGAGACATACCCCAAGAGACTTGCAGCTGTAATTGCTGCAAAAGGTGGCTCTACAGAGTATTGACTTTGGGGGGGGGGGGGGGGTGAAGAGTTATGCACGCTCAAGTTTTCTGTTATTTTTTTGTCTTATTTCTTGTTTGTTTCACAATAAAACATATTTTGCAACTTCAAAGTGGTAGGCATGTTGTGTAAATAAAATGATACAAAGCCCCAAAAAATCCATTTGATTTCCAGGTTGCAACGCAACAAAATAGGAAAAATGCCAAGGGGTGTGAATACTTTCGCAAGCCACTGTATCAATTGATGCCAGGTCAGAGTTGAGGCAGAGGGCCTTTGATAACAATGGCTCTAACTCTGCTAGAATAAGGGAAGGGACAACATTGAACCATTGCAGGTCTGTGCTGCAGTGACAGTGACAGGTGTCCTGTGTGTCACTCCCCTCCGAGCCTCAGGAAGTTATCTGCCTCGTCACCGTTGCCACAGCAACCTACAATATTGATGAGGTTGCCAGCAGGACACAGTGTGTGTGTGTGTTTGTGTGTGTGTGGTGGTTGTTTCTTGCGTGCGCACGTACATGTGTGTGTGAACAACCACTCTCATTGCGTTAGTGTGTCAATGGGGTGCTTTCCTAGAACCAAGGACACACTGACAAAATTAAACACGACAACTCAATGCTGCTATACGACGGTCTGCAAATCAGGGATTCAATCATTACAACGTAGTATTCTCTAAAGATGTTTCATGTAACCTCACTCTGAAATAGTGGTGTAAAATACTTAAGTAAAAATAGTTTAAAGTACTACTTAAGTCGTTTTTGGGGGTATCTGTACTTTACTTTACTATTTAAATGTTTGACTACTTTTACTTTTACTTCTCTACATTCCTAAAGAAAATAATGTACTTTTTACTCCAAAAGTTTTCCCTAACACCCAAAGGTACTCGTTACATTTTAAATGCTTAGGAGGACAGGAAAATAAGTCAAATTCACGCATTTATCAAGAGAACATCCCTGGTCATCCCTACTGCTTCTGATCTGATGGACTCGCTAAACACAAATCCTTTGTTTGTAAATTATGTCTGAGTGTTGGAGTGTGCCCTGGATATCCATACATTTAAAAACCAGTGGCGTCTGGTTTGCTTAATATAAGGAATTTTAAAATAATTTATACTTTTACTTTTGATACTTAAGTACATTTTAGCAATAACATTTACTTATGATACTTAAGTATATTTAAAATCAAATACTTTTAGACTTCAACTCAAGTAGTATTTTACTGGGTGACTTTGACTTTTAGTTGAGTAATTTTCAATTAAGATATCGTTACTTTTAGTCAAGTGTGACAATTGGGTCGTTTTTCCCTCCACTGCTCTGAAGTTCCCCTAGGAACTATGATTACATCCTGTTACTGTAATGTTATCTACAGTAGGTGTTATTGACACAGTACGGTAGTGTTGTATGGTGCAGTGGAGTTGGAGTCCCACCTGATCACAGACCAGTTCCCACTTCTTCTCATTGTCATACTGACACAGGATCTTCACCTTGTCTGGAGGCAGATTCATGGAGTTCTACGGAGAGAGAGAGAGAGAGAGAGAGAGAGAGAGAGAGAGAGAGAGAGAGAGAGAGAGAGAGAGAGAGAGAGAGAGAGAGAGAGAGAGAGAGAGAGAGAGAGAGAGAGAGAGAGAGAGAGGATTCATATGTCAGAAAAAAGTTTGATTCCATATGGTGTTGATCAAAACATGAACTTTGATAAGCAATGATGGCAAATTATGTTTTGTCGCAACAGTTTCTACTGGAGCAATTATGATGAGTTGACTTGATGTGCTTCAAAACATCATGTGATGAGCGTATCTTATCACCTTTTCTTACTGCAACTGAAAACTAGACACAAATGACTGGGTGGCATTTAGCTTGCTGATATGCTGCAGATATACAGGTAACTGACTGCCGAAAAAAAGGAAACACCAACATAAAGTGTCTTAATAGGGCTTTGGGTCACCATGAGCCAGAACTAAACTAAGACCGTTGCTGAAACAAAGAAGGTTCTGCCAAGTTGTTCTGCCGAGTTGTTCGAGGAAGGAAAGAGAGGAAGGGTCCAAAAATCAATTTCAATTACAGGTAGTAATGTAACAAAATAGGAAAAACGCCAAGGCGGATGAATACTTTTGCAAGGCACTGTACCTAGATGGTAATGCGCCGTCACAATCTTCACTCTCTCTCTCTCCCACTACTCTCTCCTCTTCTATCCTATCATCTCTCCCTTCTACCAAATCCTTCCCCCTCCTGTCTCCTGATTCTGGCTCTTCGACCCTACTCTCCTCTCTTTCCGCATCCTATGACTCGCACTGTCCCCTTTCCTCCCGGCCGGCTCACCCTCCCCTCCTGCTCCGTGGCTGAGTGAATCATTGTGAGTTTACAGAACAGGGCTGCGGGGAGCTGAGCAAAAATTGCGGAAAACTAAAGTTCCAGAGGACCCTATTATCCTTTCCCTCCCTCTCTACTTTCTCTTCCTCTGTATCTGCTGCTAAAGCCACTTTCTATCACTTTAAATTTCAAGCTTCTGCCTCTAACCCTAGGAAACTCTTTTCCACCTCCTCCTTCCTTAATCCTCCTCTCCCTCTCTGCAGTCGACTTTCTCAACCACTTTGAAAAGAAGGTTGACTACATCCACTCCTCATTCACTCAGCCTATTGAGTCCACTGGTCCCACTCACACAGAACTACCCTACGCCTTGACCTCTTTCTCCCGTCTCTCTCCAGATAAAATCATGTAACTAGTGAGGTCTAGTGAGGTCTGGCCGCCCGACAACCTGCCCGCTCGACCCCGTCCCCTCCTCCCTTCTCCAGACCATCTCTGGAGACCTTATATCTGTATCCCTTTCTTTTCATTCCAAAACACTTGAGTGTGCTGTCGCTGATCAACTCTCTCATTATCTCTCTCAGAACTATCTTCTTGACCCTAACCAGTCAAGCTACAAGACGGTCATTTAACCGAGACTGCTCTTTGTGTCACGGAGGCTCTCCGCACTGCTAAAGCTGACGCTCTCTCCTGTTTTCATCTTCCTAGATTTATCTGCTGCCTTCAACACTGTGAACCATCAGATCCACCTCTCCACCCTCTCAGGGCAGGGCGTCTCAGGCTCTGCACTCTCTTGGATTGCATCCTACCTGGCATGCCGCTCCTACCAGGTGACGTGGAGAGGATCTGTCCCCCAGGGGTCTGTTCTAGGCCCTCTCCTCTTCTCTCTATACACCAAGTCACTTGGCTCCGTCATATCCTCAGACGGTCTCCCATCATTGCTATGCGGATGACACAACTATTTTTGTCCTTCCCCTCTTCTGACACTGAAGTGGCGACACACATCTGTGCGTGCCTGGCAGATATCTTAGCTTGGATGTTGGCCCACCACCTCAACCTCAACCTCAACAAAACGGAGCTGCTCTTCCTCCCGGGGAAGGCCTGCCCGCTCAAAGACCTCTCCATGGTTGACAACTCCAGTGTTGCCCTCCCAGAGTGCAAAGAACCTTGGCGTAACCCTGGGCAACACCCTGTCGTTCTTTGCAATCATCAAAGCAGTGACTCGCTCCAGCAGGTTCATACTCTGCAACATCCATAGAGTACGACCTTTCCTCACACAGGAAGTGGCGCAGATTCTAATCCAGGCACTTGTCATCTCCCGTCTGAACTACTGCAACTCGCTGTTGACTGGGCTCCCCGCTAGTACCATCAAACCCCTGCAACTTAACCAGAACGCTGCAGCTTGCCTGGTTTTCAACCTTCCCAAGTTCTCCCATGTCACCCCGCTCCTCCGCACACTCCACTGGCTTACAGTCGAAGCTCCCATCCACTACAAAACCATGGTGCTTGCCTACGAAGCAGCAAGAGGAACTGCCCCTCCCTACCTTCATGCTATGCTTAAACCCTACACCCCAACCCGAGCACTCCATTCTGCCACCTCTGGTCTCTTGGCCCTCCCACCCCTATGGTAGGGCAGCTCCCGCTCAGCCAAGTCCAAGCTCTTCTCTGTCCTGGCACCCCAATGGTTGAACCAGCTTCCCCCTGAAGCTAGGACAGCAGAGCCCCTGCCCATCTTCCGAAAGCACCTGAAACCGTACCTCTTCAAAGAATATTGTAAACAATCCCCATCCAGAACCAACACTTGCACTTGACAATCGCCACCCCCCTTTTTCTAGCTCTGACTTTGCTAATAATTACTTTATTGAGGAAAAGTGTACTAACTATACCTTTTGATATGTGGTTGTCTGTAAGTCGCTCTGGATAAGAGCATCTGCTAAATGAAGTAAATGTGACTGAGACGGCCATGGCATATGGTTTACATCGTTTTCATGCTAATCAAAACATTCAGTGACCACTCGTGCCCTGTGGATGGGGGTATTGTCATCCTATGGAGGCATAGCCAAGGTCGACAAAATAATGGCCTGCCCAGCAGTTTTATACATGACCCTTAGCATGATGGGATGTTAACTGCTTAATTAACTCAGGAACTAGACCTGTGTGGAAGCACCTGCTTTAAATATACTTTGTATCCTTCATTTACGCAAGTGTTTCCATTATTTTGGCAGTTACCTGTATGTATTTGTGAACACTGCAAATCATAGATGGTATGAGTCACCTGAAAATCCTGACCATATGAATAGGCCATGTGAATAGACAGGCACACAATGTCCCTTGAATGCACAGTGCAGCCAGTTGCTATGACAAGCTCGTCAATAATGCATCAGCACCTCAATGATTTCATTAAGCATCACTCGGCGGGGACAATCCTGCTCCTATACAGTCGCCCCTGTCACGACCCCTGTGACTCAGAGGTCAATTTCACTACCGACAGGCGACCCTAACTGCTGCCAGATAGTGTTCCTGTTACACCCGGGGGCCTGGTGCTGTTGCCACAACATGGGAGAGTGTGCATTTCTAAACAGACTTGGTTATAGGTCTAACTGGATTTTTTAAGAGGGTGGTATGGAGAGACAGGGGAAGGGGGAACAGTTAGAGAGAGTATGCATCACTGTCTGATGGAAATCTAATCTCCAAAACAGAAACTTTTCAGGAAATTGAATAAATTCTCATATTTTCCTATTAACGATCACACATTTAGGAAACTTTAGAAGCTATTTTGAACACATTTTCTTGGTCCTAGTCATGAAATGTTCCGAATATATTGAGGGAAGTTACTGCTTTCAATAAATACAAAATAAAACAAAAGGGCAAAGATTTAGTTACGAGGTTTTCGTCAGACAGTGACGATAGGTGACATAATTCTGACGTCATCTTGTCAGAACTTTCACTCACACACATTTTTTAAAAGGTATTGGAGAGTCAGGTAGCTACAGAGCTACAGAGATGGTCTGCATGTAAACATTATTACATTGTTCACCATACTACAGTCGTGGTCAAAAGTTTTGAGAATGACACAAATACTAATTTTCACAAAGTCTGCTGCCTCAGTTTTGATGATGTCAATTTGCATATACTCCGGAATGTCATGAAGAGTGATCAGATTAATTGCAATTAATTGCAAAGTCCCTCTTTGCTATGAAAATTAACTTAATCCCAAAAAAACTTTTCCACTGCATTTCAGCCCTGCCACAAAAGGACCAGCTGCCATCATGTCAGTGATTCTCTCGTTAACACAGGTGAGAGTGTTGACGAGGACAAGGCTGGAGATCACTCTGTCATGCTGATTGAGTTAGAATAACAGACTGGAAGCTTTAACAGGAGGGTGGTGCTTGAAATCATTGTTCTTCCTCTGTTAACCATGGTTACCTGCAAGGAAACACGTGCCATCATCATTGCTTTGCACAAAAAGGGCTTCACAGGCAAGGATATTGCTGCTAGTAAGATTGCACCTAAATCAACCATTTATCGGATCATCAAGAACTTCAAGGAGAGAGGTTCAATTGTTGTGAAGAAGGCGTCAGGGCGCCCAAGAAAGTCCAGCAAGCGCCAGGACCGTCTCCTAAAGTTGATTCAGCTGCAGGATTGGGGCACCACCAGTGCAGAGCTTGCTCAGGAATGGCAGCAGGCAGGTGTGAGTGCAACTGCATGCACAGTGAGGTGAAGACTTTTGGAGGAGGGCCTGGTGTCAAGAAGGGCAGCAAAGAAGCAACTTCTCTCATGGAAAAACATCAGGGACAGACTGATATTCTGCAAAAGGTACAGGGATTTGACTGCTGAGGACTGGGGTAAAGTCATTTTCTCTGATGAATCCCCTTTCCGATTGTTTGGGGCATCCGGAAAACACCTTGTCCGGAGAAGACAAGGTGAGCGCTACCATCAGTCCTGTATCATGCCAACATTAAAGCATCCTGAGACCATTCATGTGTGGGGTTGCTTCTCAGCCAAGGGAGTGGGCTCACTCACAATTTTGCCTAAGAACACAGCCATGAATAAAGAATGGTACCAACACATCCTCAGAGAGCAACTTCTCCCAGCCATACAAGAACAGGTGCATGATGGAGCACCTTGCCATAAGGCAAAAGTGATAACTAAGTGGCTCAGGGAACAAAACGTCGACATTTTGGGTCCATGGCCAGGAAACTCCCCAGACCTTAATCCCATTAAGAACTTGTGGTCGATCCTCAAGAGGCGGGTGGACAAACAAAAACCCACAAATTCTGACAAACTCCAATCATTGATTATGCAAGAATGGGCTGCCATCAGTCAGGATGTGGCCCAGAAGTTAATTGACAGCATGCCAGGGCGGATTGCAGAGGTCTTGAAAAAGAAGGGTCAACAATGCAGATATTGACTCTTTGCATTAACTTAATGTAATTTTTTATAAAAGCCTTTGACACTTATGGAATGCTTGTAATTAGTTGGTAGAGTATGGTGCTTGCAACGCCAGGGTTGTGGGTTCGTTTCCCACGGGGACCAGTACGAAAATGTATGCACTCACTAACTGTAAGTCGCTCTGGATAAGAGTGTCTGCTAAATGACTAAAATGTAAAATGTAAATGTAATTATACTTCAGTATACCATAGTAACATCTGACAAAAATATCTCATAACACTGAAGCAGCGAACTTTCTCAAAACTTTTGACCACGACTGTACATGTATAAAGCCTATGGTTTATTGTATGTATTCACTCATGTAAAAGGATGAACAGTGTATTTAAACGTAAAAACTGTTTACATTATAGGTGTTTATAAACAGATTGTAAGCCGACTTTTAGAATGAAGTCAGACGTGAAACAGTCCCCATTCACACTGATATCGAACCTCAAAAGCCATGACTTAATGTGTTGTTGTTTTACTGCCTACAGTACAGAACAGAAACAGTGTCAACACAAAGCTTTACTTTAAGTAGTTAGACAAGGTGAAAGACAACATAGTACCCATTCATAAAGGAATCATTGTTCATTGCGGTTACATAGGTGCTTAACTATTTCATTTGTTTTGTTAAACAGTATTTACTGTAAACTGGTTCTCCATCTCCAACACATTACCTCTACTCTTGCATAAACTTCCTATTTCACGCTACCTAGACTAAGCCTTTACTTTGCAGTCACAATAGCAGGTGACCAGGAATACTCCTACCACTACTTCTAGCCTGGTCCCAGATCAGTTTGTGCTGTTAGTCACAATGACCATTGAGTGACCAAACAGATCTGGGATCAGGCTGGAATACTTTATCCTTCTCTGAGCAGAGCCAACCGGTTCTTGTTGGTGAGGTTGGCATCTACTTGAAGAATGGAAAAACCTGCATTCACTGAAATATTCATTATGTTTTCATGTATTTCTTCAGCAGCAGAGGTCAGAACAAACGGACACGTTTTGGCGGCAGCCTTCGTCAGCGTGAGGTTGGCATCTGCCATGACAAGTCAAGTTATGTGCATGATAATGAATTGCAGACGGTGGAACTGTCCGCTGACAGGCCACAGTCTCTTGCGGACTCTTTCTAACTCCCAACATTACCTCTGGTGACAGTGAGAGTTATGAATGAGAGGCAGATGGGATCCTTCACCCCGAGACACACGCACACATGCACGCACGCACACCTCCCCATAGACTCCATGTTCATTAACATACCCACACTGTCATGTATTATTGTTGGGCCTATGGCTTCAACTGCCCGCCCCAACCAAAACACCTCGCTCCTCACACACGCATCTTGCTGTACTAATTATAGCCCAACACAGCCCTGCCACCCAGTGAAGCTGGGCTAGGCGACAAGAGACTCACATATCTATCTCTTTACCTCACCAACCCACTCCTCCTCCTCGTTCCCCTCTTCTTCCTCCCCTTCCTCCTCCTCCTCCTCCTCCTCCTCCTCCTCCTCCTCCTGTGGTCTGTACGTTTCTGTAACTCTGTTTAAACGTCAGCCCACACCACTAGAGACATTTTGTACTTCACAAGGTCACTCTGTTAACTTTTAAGTAGCCTCCAAAGCAATACATGTTTCTCTCAGGATTGATACTTGTTTCCTTTACATACAAAAACTTCCTGGACAAGCCCAGACAAGCCCAGACAACAGTCAGGAAAGCCTGTGGTCTCAGTGGCACAACTCACACAAGTAGTCAGACATGAGCTAATGCTGAAGGCTATTGACCTTTTTGGTTTTGATTAATCCCCCATTGTTTCTAGCTAGCTACTTGGTGTCTTGAAGCGACCCCAAGTTTTGTAACCGCTATCTACACATCAGCTCAGTCAGTTAAAAGTAATTTGTGTCACACACGGGGGATGGGGGGAATGGGTGCACAACTAATAGCAAACAGCATCCTAAATCAATGGTACAGCCAGCGCTCTGATAAATCAGGCTTGATAAATTATGTTGGATCAATAAACTGGGATTAGAGTTGCCTGATGGCTAGTCCTGTACAGGGGCATGCAGAGGAGAAACCTACTAGAGTTGTACTGTAGTTTATCTGTACAGTAGGGGCATTATGGGATCTAAGTCACATGTAATTTCTTTCTCATTTATATCATGAAGCTAGATTTACATATGTGAGACGTGCATCTGTGTATGTGGTCAAAATCTGGAAAATACCCTAAGTAATTATCTGTAAAAAAAATATATATATACTGTATATGCATACCTGTACATACTACAGTACTGTAGACACATTTACCATTACATTGATAGGACCACCTGTCACTTTAAGAGTTCTATGTTCAAAGACAGTAGTGATGGGACAAACTGCACTAATCTCTAATTAGATTCTATTGATTAGACCTCCACCCTACTCTCCTTCCTCACATATACAGGACACATGCTCCTACACAGGGACACAAACATACACAGCCATGCCCCATAAAGTACCACTGCCATTGAAACACCATCTTGTTTCACTGGTGTGATTGCTTATAGTATCAAATTGCTCTCATTGTCATAACCAAGTAAACGGGACACTCAGACATTAGGCTACACTTCCAATTGTATCATTCACTTTAAATAGACTAATCAGCTCTAGATCCGTAACTCTCTAAGGACACTGTCTATCTCGGCTATCAGGAGGCCTCAAGAAGTGTGGTCCAGGCTGCCATGTCAAGTAGCCTGGGAGCATATCGCTTCCTTCTGGTTAATTATTGTAAGCTGCTATGTTTAACAGAGGCCCACTCAGGAGGATCAGTCAGGGCAGTTAGCTCTTATCTGTCTCTGATCTACATATGGCAGTTTGGCAGTTGGGGAAAAGGGAATAGTCGGCGTGTTAGAGGTGACATTCCCCCAAAGGGATATACACTCTTAGAAAAAAGGGTTCCAAAAGGGTTCTTCAGATGTCCCCACATGTGGAAAGGGTTCCTCAGATGTCCCCTATGTGGAAAGGGTTCTACATGTAACATGGAACCCAAAATTGTTCTACCTGAAACCAAAAAGGGTTCTTCAGAAGGTTCTCCTATGTGGACAGCCGAAGAACCCTTTTAGGGCCTTTTTTTCTAAGGCGAGATATGAAGGAGAGCCTGAAGAGTGGCGTGGCGAACGAGAATTCTACTTTTCAATTCACATTACATTCTTAACTTACCTTTCATTGTGGCTGGCAACGCGACATTCTTGATCCACAGCTCAAATGAAATATCAGAGTAGCAACTAGCCAGTAGAGTAAGCACAGACTTTTCAACAATGACAGAAACGTTTCTTCTAAAACATATTGCACTATTGAATAATGCAACCAAACCATAATACATTCTTGAATAATGTAACAATTCACAAGCATGTATGTGCAGACAATTAAAAGGTTTATTTTCTCGTCTGTGGGCTACACTCATTACATTTTAGCTTCAAGGCAAAAGCACAGAGTTCGTTGCTAGAACAGCATGTCTTCATCAAGTAACGTTAGCCTATCAAAAATGAACGAATAACCCTCTCATACGAATACAAAAGAACAGTAGGCCTACCGTACAACATTACAACAAACCAGGATTCATTTTGATCAATATCATGCAAATCATTACATGTGGTAAAAGCAAATTGCGAGTGAAAACCTAAGTATAAGTGAATTCACCGCAACGAGCTGTTTTATATGGAAGCCCATACCCAGTGATGTAGTGGTGCCTGGAGAAGTGGGTATACTCAAATTTTGCTAAAATGTACTCTGAATGACCTAAAATGATAAATCCAATATTGGTCTTTCACAGTCAGGCCAACCCAAGCTGTACTGTGCAGTAGGCTAATAGTAGGTCTATTATTGAGACAGATAAATTAGACTGTCAACTGAGTCAGAAATTCACAGGTTTGGATGTTCTATGTCCACAACAATGCTTAAACCACATCAGGAGACCACCTTTGAGGTCTGGGAAAATCTAAGAAAATATAAATATTTTTAATTCAAGTGTGCAGGCACCTAGCACTGTTGTTTGGTTACCAGTATTTCTGTAGCACACATGAGATGGAGTTTGCAAAACAAATTTATTTATGCAAATAATTATGATATCATTCTGCCAGGTAGGCATAGGCTACTTTGTAGCTAGTTAACATAAAATGTAGGTATTTGGGAGCCGTTCCAGCTACCAGAAGACGGTTAGGCCTATCAGCATCTAGCTATATTTTTCCTGTTCCTTAGTTGTTTGAAACCTGGATGTTTTGCTTCATATTATGAGGCATGCCAAGCCAAAATCCGACCATAGAAATGTTGAGGGAAATATTTAAAAACACTTCCTCATATGCGCTCTCCTGACTGTTCTATTGGTTTTCAAATCATCCTTCTTTCATTGTCTAGCAGCTAAAGGCATTATCCTACCCACTGGGGACAGACATGAATTCAAAGTTTGTTGCAAGTTGGTTCAATGTAATTTCATTGAAATGGCATGTAAACAACGTTGTTTCAACCAGTGTGTGCCCAGTGGGAAGTCATATTAGCAACCCATGATAGTTGTTGCATCTTTAGATCTCCCCATTTTGCAATTTTCTAATGGATATTTATATCTCTGTCCATTAAACAGGTCGCATGTGTGGTGCGCATTTTAGAACATGTTTTCCCCCAAATTGCATTTTGGAACCTTCGCGCGTATACCTACCACCATGTGCACAATGCTGTGCTTAAAATAAGAAATAATAGTTTGTTAACATTTTAAGCTAAACATTCTGATCTGTTCCATCAGCCGTATTAATTGATATGGCGTATATCTCCACTACACTACTTTGATACGCCTCAGTGGGGATTAAGAAGTGAGTATACACAATGCTAACTGAAAAAAAGTGGGTATACGGCCTATATACCCACTATATACCCTCCACTACACCACTGCCCATACCCGCCACCCAAAAAATTATATTAAATAACTTGCCTCGTGATTTGTCAACGTGCACAATTAGTCTGTGCTTCAGTCTGATCAACTGTAGCCTACTGATATCAACCACAGCTGCAGGTAGCCTGGAGAAGCCTATGCGATCTGATCCCATCTGGGCCTGGCCAGGGGAAATGTAACGTCATGTTTTTATAGCCTAAGCTATGTATTAATAGCCTAAAATAGGCAATTTATTTGTGTTCAGAGAAAATATTAACGTGATCAAATTTGGTTTATTTTCACACTTCGGGTGACTAGGCTACCTAGGTCTTTTTAATCCAAAATGATTGACTGGAATGAATCAATCAACACAATAGTGATGACATACTGTATGAGTATCTTTTCAATTACAGATGCAAAAAGGCCTACATGATGCAACCCTGCATACAGCGAGCTTAGTTTTTGTCCAATCGCAGTTGTGGTCTCTTTGTCTGTGTAAAGGGTTTTCATGTTTTCATCCTCCCTAGGGACAGGAGTTTTTCCAGGAGTTGTTCTTTTTTTACCATATGACCTGATTAGAAAAATAATCTGGTCCCATCAAATGAAAAAACATATTCTATTTGTATGATCTAAAAAATGTTGGTGGTGGGGATGGCCTTCCATAGTTTTACATGGCTCAGTACAGCGACAATTTCAGAGTTTAACAGGTTGTTACCTGCAATTTCAGGTAAAAACTCAATTTTTAAAAGTATCAAATATTAGGAAAATGTCTATACATTTCACCTATTCAAAAACATTGCTCTGCTATTACCATTTATACTGTAGGAGTGTTGGCTCAATGAGACAATTCTGTTCATACAACCCTGCTTCAAGGGGAGCAACTGTCAGGCGAGTGTCGTGCGCTACCTCCGGTGATAGCGGTCGAGACGTAGCAAGTACGCAAGTTTACATTTGAGTAATATGTGTAGCCAAAGGTATTTTTACGAAATGTCTAGTATGTGTGAAGAGGCTCTAAGAGTGTACTAGAGAAAGGGGGGTCAAAGGTGAGAATGAGAACCTGCATTGCATGCTATTTGTTAAACTAGGCCTAATAAAACTAATAGCAAATTACTTTGACATACAGTATGTACAGTGTCTAGAGTAACCATGGAAATGAATATGCTGTCAAATTCTAGCCTTGAATTCAGGTGGAGGAGCTGCGACTTTGTAATATTTACTGTCTCTACTCAGTCTTGATGTGCTGTACCTGGCAACCAAACTGCCTTTAGGGGGCTTTAGTGACAAAGGTCCTTTGTATGAGGTTCTGTAATGGAAACTTGGATTGACTCCCACCTATGTACAGTCTGGGGAGTCATCTTGGCTCTCTGATAACCTATCACCTGTCTCCTCAGTGGAGCAGAAAAGAACATGACCGTCAGTTTCTCAGAGGTGCCCTAAAATGTCATACACGCATGTGTACACAAACATGCTCAAAGTAAATTCACACACTTGTGAGAAAATCCAAACCCACAGGTAGGCTGCATCCTAATAATGTTTTCATGCACTCAAATACAGACTGGCATGCATTCGCAGGCGCACACTCGTACACACGCTCATCTACAGAACACGAATCCACAGATGCACATTTACACATCCACCCACCACCCCACTGGCCACTGGGAAATTTGCAAAGTGATATGCAAAGTGCAGAGGAGAGCTGCTCAATGTAAATTTGAATAGGGAGAGTGAACAGAGTTGAGCCAAGGCTTCCCTTTAAGCACCTTGTTATTGGAACCACTTACAGTATATCCTGCAGATGTCTGTAGTTTAGATGCTAAACTGCTTCAGCTTCAGCACTTAACACTATCAGCACTGCATCATTATGTAACATATAGGTTGTTCATAGAATATTAATCCAGACCGAGCATGGTGGGTGTGACGCGTGCACACACACACACACACACACGCATGCAGGTGCACACAGGAACACACACACACACACACAAACACCCACATACACACATACCTGCAAGTGCCACCCTTATAGGTGATTGACATCTGACACTGGTATAGTTTAATAGTTTCTAATCTATTAATACTGGGACAGGCTGTCCCCTGGTGCAGACTGGGCCGTGATAGTTCTACAGCCGCACTTAACGTCTTCATCTGTAGATCTAGATGTACAGGGTTCCCTGCATACCAACCAGCCTGCTCGGAATGCAGCCAGAGTAGGACGTTTGGCACATCAGAGATTTGCTATGCACACTCAGCATTAGATGAAGAGGGGGTGGGTCCGTGGGTGTCGGGTAAGGGTGTGTGTGGAGGGGAGGGGGGTGTGATGTAGGGGGACGATCTGTCTTTAGTGTTCTCTCCACGATAGAGTGATATAGCAAAAAAGGGCACATTCTCGTACAGAGGAACATGTGTGCTTATGTGTACTAATATGATGTTGAATCCTATAGCACATGTAACACGCGCATACATGCTTATACGCATGTTATAACACGCACGCACACACACACACACACACATACACACACACACACACACACACACACACAGGGAAGTCCACCCTGGTTTGACAGCACATCAGCTGGCTCCGGATGTATGCAAAGCCCTTGAGCCTTGACACCTGCCAAGTTGATTCATTACAACAACAACTCTAGACCTCACTCCAGACCAGTGTTTTATTCCTAGCTGGCCCCCCATACTGCCCTAGCTGCCCCCTACTGCCCTAGCTGCCCCCCCCCCATGCTGCCCTAGCTGCCCCCTCCTTACTGCCCTAGCTGCCCCCTACTGCCCTAGCTGCCCCCCATACTGCCCTAGCTGCCCCCATACTACCCTAGCTTCCCCCTACTGCCCTAGCTGCCCCCTACTGCCCTAGCTGCCCCCCTTACTGCCCTAGCTGCCCCCCTTACTGCCCTAGCTGCCCCCCTACTGCCCTAGCTGCCCCCCCATACTGCCCTAGATGCCCCCCATACTACCCTAGCTTCCCCCTTACTGCCCTAGCTGCCCCCTACTGCCCTAGCTGCCCCCCATACTGCCCTAGCTGCCCCCCCCCCCACTGTCCTAGCTGGTCCCTGTACTGCCCTAGCTGCCCCCCCATACTGCCCTAGCTGCCCCCCATACTGCCCTAGCTGCCCCCCCCCCCACTGCCCTAGCTGGTCCCCGTACTGCCCTAGCTGCCCCACCATACTGCCCTAGCTGCCCCCCATACTGCCCTAGCTGCCCCCCATACTGCCCTAGCTGCCCCCCCCCCCACTGCCCTAGCTGGTCCCCATACTGCCCTAGCTGCCCCCCGTACTGCCCTAGCTGCCCCCCATACTACCCTAGCTTCCCCCTTACTGCCCTAGCTGCCCCCTACTGCCCTAGCTGCCCCCCATACTGCCCTAGCTGCCCCCCCCCCACTGCCCTAGCTGGTCCCCGTACTGCCCTAGCCCCCCCACCCCCCACCTCTAGATATCCCTCCCTGCCTCTGAATCATGAAAACCAATGAGTTAGACATGAACTGTACGGTTAGAGTACACTGCCTGTAAATCATATAGCAATTCAATCATGTATGGAGTGATGACATTCAATAATATACCCACCACATATTAAACCTTAGTAGGAATCTGCTCATATCCCAGGTATGAGTTATGGAGCAAAACAATGCATTTATTCAACTGCCTATTTAACAGTTTATGTAAATTATGGACTTCTATGAATTACCAGGCAAGGTGTTCTATAACGTACACTCTTTCATTTGATTGGAGTCATATTAAGTTATAGAGCAAACTTGGGCTGGGAGTTGCCTGTGCACAAGAAAAAGGCTTTTGGGTGAATTCTCAGTGTAGCCTACAAACAGTCTTCACTGGAACTGAGGGTAGAAGATAGGCAGTACATGCATGTAAATGAAAGCAAATTAGGTAATTTCCATGTAAAAGGACCCATTAGCACCAACGTGAAGTTCGTAGGAACATGTCGAATTGGGTCTCAAATGAAAGCTGAGTCTATGTTGTGTAGATTTTCAACCATTTTCCAGCCTAAAAATTAGGAGTAAGCAAAGGCTTTGATTTCTGGTCAAACAGATGGAAAAGGGGTCTTAGAAAACCTCTACCAGAAAAAGTCTTAAAAGGCATTAGAAATACATCAAAACACAGTATTGCTGAAGTAAAGACCCCTACCAACTAATATCAATACTTACAGTATTTTTATTTTTAGAGAAAATGTTCAGCCTTCTGTAAATTTAAGAAACGTATCTTTATGATATTTTCCAATTTCTCTCCCTCATGACGAGGGAGGATAATGAAAGTTTGCAGAAGTAATAGCTACGTGAGAATGCTATTAATTGACTACAGCTCAGCATTCAACACCATAGTGCCCTCTAAGCTCATCACTAAGCTAAGGATCCTGGGACTAAACACCTCCCTCTGCAACTGGATCCTGGACTTCCTGACGGGCCGCCCCCAGGTGGTAAGGGTAGGTAACAACACATCTGCCACACTGATCCTCAACACGGGGGCCCCTCAGGGGTGCGTGCTCAGTCCCCTCCTGTACTCTCTGTTCACCCATGACTGCATGGCCAGGCACGACTCCAACACCATCATTAAGTTTGCCGACGACACAACAGTGGTAGGCCTGATCACCGACAACGATGAGACAGCCTATAGGGAGGAGGTCAGAGACCTGGCCGTGTGGTGCCAGGACAACAACCTCTCCCTCAATGTGACCAAGACAAAGGAGATGATTGTGGACTACAGGAAAAAAAAGAGGACTGAGCACGCCCCCATTCTCATCGACGGGGCTGTAGTGGAACAGGTTGAGAGCTTCAAGTTCCTTGGTGTCCACATCACCAACGAACTATCATGGTCCAAACACACCAAGACAGTCGTGAAGAGGGCACGACAAAGCCTATTCCCCCTCAGGAGACTGAAAAGATTTGGCATGGGTCCTCAGATCCTCAAAAAATTCTACAGCTGCACCATCGAGAGCATCCTGACTGGTTGCATCACCGCCTGGTATGGCAACTGCTTGGCCTCCGACCGCAAGGCACTACAGAGGGTAGTGCGTACGGCCCAGTACATCACTGGGGCCAAGCTTCCTGCCATCCAGGACCTCTATACCAGGCGGTGTCAGAGGAAGGCCCTCAAAATTGTCAAAGACTCCAGCCACCCTAGTCATAGACTGTTCTCCCTTCTACCGCATGGCAAGCGGTACCGGAGTGCCAAGTCTAGGTCCAAAAGACTTCTCAACAGCTTCTACCCCCAAGCCATAAGACTCCTGAACAGCTAATCATGGCTACCCGGACTATTTGCACTGCCCCCCCCACCCCATCCTTTTTACGCTGCTGCTACTCTGTTAATTATTTATGCATAGTCACTTTAAATCTACCCACATGTACATATTACTTCAACTATCTCAACTAGCCGGTGCCCCCGCACATTGACTCTGCACCGGTACCCCCCTGTATATATAGCCCCCCTACTGTTATTTTATTTTACTTTTTTTCTCAACACTTTTTTTTTGTTGTTTTATTTTTACTTTTTTTGTTAAAAATAAATGCACTGTTAGTTAAGGGCTGTAAGTAAGCATTTCACTGTAATGTCTGCACCTGTTGTATTCGGCGCATGTGACCAATACAATTTGATTTGATTTGATTTGATTTGATTTGATTTGATTTGATCAATTAGTTATAGTATTTTTTACTGATATCCATTTTGTTTATGAATGAATAAGTAATTAAAACTTAAAATTCCGTTACCAAAATCGGAAGCAGAATTTCTGCAATTGAATTGGCTACAATGGGAAATCATAGTAGTCACAATCCACAGTTGTGTTCACAAGTTTGGACAGCACAGTACAGTACAGCACAGCACAGCACAGCAGAGTACAGTAAAGGAAAGTAGACTATAGTTCAGTACAGTACACAGTAGAGCACACTAGAGTTGAGTACACTATAATATACTGTATTATACTGTCTTGAACTTTACTCTGTTCTGTTCTGTGCTGTGCTGTGCTGTGCTGTACTGTACTCTACTGAGCTCTACTGTGCTGTACTTTGATGTCCAAACTTCTGAAACATTTGATTGGTTCAGATTTGGTCTGGTCCAAACCAACCAAATTTGGTCTTGTTTGGGGGCAGAGCGCATTAAAATAATAGCCAGTGTGTAGAATAATACCCAAATATGCAAAGGAGGATATTGCATATTTATACCTTTGTGTATCTATTTAGGATACATCACCATGAAGAGAATGACATTCATATCCATAATTATGCATTTCTATGTAGTACATGATGAAATTCCATTACCGCAATTTCGTTACCAGGTGTAAATCCACTTCACTTACTGTAGTTCAATAACCAAAATAGTTTTTTCAAAGTCAATGTGTCATGTCATAGCTGACACCCCATTCTTTCTGCAGACATCATTGAATCTTAATTCGGAGCAGATATTTAAGTGTTTGGAAAACGTGGACACAAAAAACTGAGGGAGATTTTACAGAAATTCTGTTACCGAACTTTGCATCTGCACAGTTCTTCCAGTAAATGTGTTTTTGTAAAATGTTCAGTGTCAATTGTTAAAAGTAGTCATTGTGCATAGAGTTGTATGGTTTGTTGAACTTAGAAATGAATTGCCCATGAACAATCAAATATTTGGGTTGTTCCACCAATTCGGTGCCTTTGAGAGGTGTAACTTGGTAAAACAATATTTGTAACATTCTGTCATAAAGAGCACATGTTCAACTTCATAAAAAACATGTTTTCCCATTTAAAGTGCCAAATAAAGTAACAGGGTTGATCGTAACAGGGTTGATCGTAACAGCGTTGACCGTAACAGGGTTCATGATTTCATTTTAAATCAGCCATGAATCCCCTTGTGACAGGGAGATTAGAAGCTTATTGTGTGCAACAGGGAGTGGCAACTGAATGCAAGTTTCACAAAAAAAACAGAAATTGTTAAAACATTTCGCGCCTGTCTATCTATGGTTAACAGGGTTGACGTGTTTTGCTCAACCCACTCAACACCAGCAAATGGCCAAAAAGAGTAGAACCAGCTTACCTGCTTCTACACTATGATTTGACCATTAGATGTTCAATGTTTATTTTGAAAATATTTAAAAAGGAATAGTTTCACCATTATAAAAAGAGAGTTCAGTTCACGTAACAGTTTTGACCTTAAAATGAGGGACAGATGTAAATGAATCACTAATCACATGAAATAAATAATAATCTTCAGATTATAAAAAAACATGTTAGGGTTAAGTGGGTTAAAATCTTCCTGAAAGTCACAGTGGGTGCACGGAGGGACATGTCAAAATGCTGAATGTTGGCACTTTAGCAAGTCTTTATTCATATTAAAAATCACATTGATTGAATTCTCCATGTGGTCTATATTACAGGCTTTTAAAATGCAATATTGGTGCACAAATTTCAACTTAAAATACAGTATCAAAGGGACGCAAAAGGCACTCATTTTGTGGAACAACACAGCTTTATCCAAGCAAATCAAACGTGGTTGACAGAGACCAATGGGTAAGAAGCACATACCGGTAGTTAAGCGTATAGCCTTGTTCCACATAGTTCTGAGTTCTTCTCACAAGGTATCTACCTCTCTCCAAAGCCGAATCCCAAATCGAACCTAGCCATTATACCCCCTATGCACTTGTGGGGTTCTGAGAGAATTGGATAGAAGTATGCTAAGCAATATTGTGAATACTTTCTCTCAACAAGCCAAAAAAGGCAAAAAAATAAAATGAAGAAAAAAGTGTTATTTTCCTGAAGATAATAAGCAGTGTAAGCATGTCTCCTACATGGTGAGTCACTTGGCTAACAAGCTAAAGGCCACATATCATCCTCATGTGGTGGTATGACTCAGGTAATAGAGATAAGTTCCTGACAAAGATCTGACTGTGACCAGAATGACACACACATTCCTCTCAGCAACACCATTTTCAGATATAATTTCTGTCCAGTAAGTTAATCGCATTCTACACTGCTTTGAATTACAGGACCAGACATTGATTTCGACCGAGTAACACTAACCATGAGACTGACATGTATCAATATCATAGTATGAATGTCAGTGTCATCTGGCAGCTGCAATTGCACATTGATTGACATGTGCACGAACCAACTACTGTGCTACTAGTAATTGATCACTGATGTAATGTCTATGAATAAGTCTAGTTAACCAAGTTAGCCTATATCAGAATGTTAAACTGACATTGTGGGTAGGTTTTCTAAGGACACAAAGTCAGGCAGCTGTCTTCTCTTTTGCCATCTATTTGGTTCTATATCTATGACGCAAATCTACAGGGCAAACAAATAGGTCTGGAATGAGGATGCGGCAGTCATCGTCAATCTAATACTCATCGCACTCTAATGCACCTGTAAAGGAGATAGATGTGTGAGAGATTAAAAAGAAGAATGCATGAAATGTAATAGGCCTGTCATGGCACTGACCACACTGGGCAACATATCAAACATAGCTGAGATATCAGGGAGAAATATGTAGACTCAATTGGTTTTTGGCTGTCAACACCAGTTGTTCAGTCACAGCCTGGCCCTATAAGATGATTTTACAGACCGAGGATGTCCCGACTTCCGCCGAGGCTGCCTCCCCTCCTTGTTCGGGCAGGCTTCAGCGTTCGTCGTCACTGGCTTACTAGCCACTGCCGCTCCATTATTCATCATTCCATTTGTCTTGTCTTGTCAATCACACACACCTGGTTCTTATCCCCTCATTAGTCAGTGTATAAGTGTTCCCTCTGCCCCCTTTGTCCTTGTGGGTGATTGTTTATTTGTGAGAGTTGTGTAGCTCGGTGGAGCTACTCGTACATTGTTATTGCCGGGGTAGATATTTCCCCTGTGCCTGTTATTGTTGGAGCTACCGTTACCTTGTATTGCCAGGGTAGATTTTCCCCTGTACCTGTTTTGTTTGTCGCTATCCAGCGCTATTTGTGTACGACGGAATAAACTCTGCATTTGGTGATTCCCCTCCTGCGCCTGACTCCTTCTATCACACTCATCACAGATGACCAATAGGCCCAGTGAAGGGAGTGAGAGGAAATGCAAGTTATGGAGTCGAGGAATGTCCAACTTGTCATCAATCAAGGAATTATCATCGAGTAATAGTGTTAGGTGGTTAGGAGGTGAATGGCTGGATTTACTGTTAATTTTACTGTGGTGATTTTGATGGAGCCATCTTTTAAAAAGTGGATTGTCTAATGATGTAATACTACAGTAGTAGATATAACAAACCAAAACTAAAGTTATGAAAGTGAAATTGTACAACTAATTGGGATTAGGAGATTCATGAATAACTTTTCACTGCAAACTTGAATAAAAAAATAAACCGTATGTCACAGGCTTAAAGTTAATGTGGTGTAATATTTGTATATGGCTAACTTTTATTATACCGTTTCCACTGCAAATATGGATTAGAACTTCCTCTTTATCCATTCCCAACTGACCATACAACGAACTCAATACTACTGTAAACCAGAGAATAAAGGAATTCTTATTTATCTTTCCACAGTCACTTTATGTACCCTGCTCGTTGATAAGCCTGTCCTGGGGATGTGCACATTTTCAAAATGTTCAGCATTCTTTGTTTCTTTGTATTGTGTTGTATTGTGTAGTTTCTGTATAGGAGTGTGTAAAAGAGAATGTGTGTGTGTGTGTGTGTGTGTGTGTGTGTGTGTGTGTGTGTGTGTGTGTGTGTGTGTGTGACTCACCAGCACCACATTGAAGCGCTCCTCTAACTCCTCCTCGGCAGGCATGGGAAGCTTGGGCCCCGCCGCCTGTTTCTGGGGGGTCCCTGAGCCTGGGGGGGCCGACACTGTCTTCCCCTCCTTCCCCATTGGAAACTCCATACTCCCAGCCGCATTGCCCATGATTGCACAGAGCCAGGTACTCCACAGCTACTTCCACATAGACACGAACCCTAGTAATCCCACAGGAGTCCAGTCCGACTCCACAGTAAAGACAGCACTGGAACTCAAATGTTGTGGTGAACAAAACTTATCCTTCCACTACTTTTCCTGTTGAGATGAGACTCCATGTGGCATTGACTGGCAACCGTTGAGAACAGGGGAAGCAGGCCAGCCCAAAGAATCATCTTCTCCAATGTTCCTACTCCTTCATCCTCTCAGACAGGGGAAGTGGTGATGCAAAATGACTCAGACCCGTCAGTAATGTCCCTGTGCGCCATGAACAACCTTCAAGAGATAGAGGGAGAGTGAAAGAGAAAGACGGTGGAGAAAGGAGAGTTTGAGCGTGACCTTCCTAGTCCTACCACAACTGCAGAGAAGCCTCAAACAGAAAAAGAAAGAATGAAAAGTGAGAAGAAAAAACCTTTTTTTTAAACGGTAGAGCTCCTGCGTCGTTCTGTGAAGGAGAGGTGCAAAAACTCCTATGCAGTGTACCCTAGTTCCTGAGTGGCAGCAATAGCTGGCAAAGAGACCTGGGGGGTCTTATAGGTAGGAGGTGGGGGCAAATCTCTTCTGGCTGGTGTCCACACACGATGCTGGGGATGACCGGTCTCTTGGTAGTCATAACGGAGGAGGAGAGAAGAGGACAAGGAGGCAGAGGTCCACAGCCAACTACTCTATCATCCCAAGCAGGGACAGACAGAGAGGCGAGGCAACAGCAGCATAGGCAGCTCTTCCAGAGAGAGAGAGAGAGGGAGGGAAAGAGAGGGAGTGGAGAGTGATGGTGTTTCCTTGGTCCTAGTGCCTCCATGTACAGTTACAGTCGACTTCTCAAACCCAGAGACTCTGTGGTGTGTTTTATTACAGAGACCGAGGAAGAAGAACATAATGAGATGGAGAGAAAACATCCTTCCCTTCAATGACAAACAGTTGTCTTCAATGCAAATGTCTTACAGTGGGTGCTACAAGTCCAGCATTGACTCTTTAACATTTCCAAAAGGTCAGAGTCCTGTATAAACTTCTATTCAATTTATTTTGTGATTTTAGCCTACATGTGAGCTGAATAAAATAACAAGGGAATGTTCTGTTGCAGTAATAAGTTGAAGCCTGCCTTGCCAGAGGTTCAATGGAGGTACTGCATTACTTCTACAGCTTCTACAGGTCCCATGTGGCTCAGTTGGTAGAGCATGGCGCTTGCAATGCCACGGTTGTGGGTTTGATTCCCACGGGGGACCAGTATGAAAAAGTATGCACTCACTACTGTAAGTCGCTCTGGATAAGAGCATCTGCTAAATTACTAAAATGTAAATGTAAGCTTGTTGAACATGATCTAATTTGGATCAAAGCCTTATTTAGACTAGTGTATTACATCATTGGAAATCTCATAATGCCCAAAGTCTATAAAAACAGCCCCATGATGTGAGGTTAGCTAATGTGTAACTCAAAACAGGATCAAGGTTTAATCAGAGTCATAAGTTCTATAGCAGTGACATAACTGTTGATACCTGTACTAGGTGCTGCTCATGGTAGGGATAGGGCAGCTAATGATCCAGGCATTGGGACCTGGCTTACCACTATAGTGACTGGTGTGTTACTGAAAGGCGTATTACTTGGAAGCAATGTGATGACATTGATTCAACGTGGAAAACTAATTGGATTTGAAAAAAGTCATCAACGTTAGAGAATTTTGTCATTTTTTCACCCAACCTTAAACCTAAATCCAATGACATGATGGCATTTTGGGCAACTGAATAAGACTTGGGGGAACACAGCCTGTAGCGGTGCGTGGGTAAAATCACTGGGGAAGCCAAGCCAGGAAAAAAAAGCCATATTACAACCTATGTGTTGTGATAATTGCGTTGTTGTAATCACCTATGCTTAGTCTAATACAGTGACAACTAAAAGATACCAAAAACTATTTAGTCCAATCAATGTAAGCTAAATATGATGAGGCTGTCCATGGTAGTGATTTCCGTGTGTGTGTGTGTGTGTGTGTGTGTGTGTGTGTGTGTGTGTGTGTGTGTGTGTGTGTGTGTGTGTGTGTGTGTGCGTGCAAGTACAAAAAATATGTTCACTCACCCAATGCCATCCGCCTCTTTCATGTTGCTTAAACGGTCCATGACTGTCATACAGTACACACTTTTAGTTTTTGTTATCATAGGCTACCTGGCTAAAATACTTGCTCTCTAGCCTAACTAGGGACAATTTTACAAGCTAGCCACCGGAGGATAACAGCACAACGAGATGCAACAATTCTAGTTTTCTGTCAATTATGTTTGGTTTCTAATTCAGAGATTCAAGAATTCAGATTCAGAGATTCAGAGTGTTTAATAGTCAAACGTACAGGGTTGCAGGTGTGATTGCAGGGTACAGTGAACATCTTGCAGGACTAATTGCAGGACTAATTGCAATAAAGTAATGAAAATTGTAATAAATATAGAAATACAGAAATAGAAATAGCACTACATCGTAACAACTGTAGCAGTGATTAATAAATAAATGTCCATTGGGGTGGAGGCAGAGTAAAGACTGGAGAGAATGTCCATACTGGGAGTAGCAGGAGGGAGGGGGAGCAGGTAGCTGAATAGTGGTGGCTATTTGTTATGATGTGATTGGTGTGAAGCCAAATCCAAACTGGCTTTCCTTGACACTTTTTATTTGGTGCGCCAGGTCCATTCACAGCTGAGCTCACTCAGTTTAGCTCAACGCTGATTGGCTATCATACGTTTTTTTTGTAAATATCAAGGGAGGCCAAATGCTGGCTGGCTTCCCTTACATTCAATGCTATGGGCAGCAACAATGTCATACTCTTTTTGACCAAACAGCATAAATGGGCTACACATACATAGACAGAGGGTCACTGTTTCGTTCGCTTGGACGTTTTTTCCATTGAGATACATTACAATCAGCCTCTTGCGAATTGAAGGAAATGTATAAAACACAGAGAGAGGAAAGATACATTATTTTGTATGTTTTTTGTTTTTTCTTGGTCATTTTTTGGGGGTTTTCTTGGTCATTTTTCTTGATCATTCCCTTGGCAACCATGAATACACGCCACTGAACACAGCTATCTGAACGTTGCATTAACATTCCTTAACAATCTGTAATGAATGACCTGTATGTCCGTAAGATTAGTGCAATGTAGCCATGGATTCTGAACATCCGTTGCCAGCTAATTGGGAAAAGAGAGCCTCCCAAAGTATTGTCACTGTTTCAGAGTAAGGAACTACACATGTGATGACCTCACTAATACTTGTTTTTGATCCCACTCAAAACTATGCAATAGGGGACTGCAATCAGTTTAGATTGTGTCCTAATGAGACGCAGATTAAATGGATTGAGCTTTTTCAAAACAAGACTCTGAATGTATCAATAATGAATAAAAATTCAAACAGCAATCTAAATGTCTCTGTTGGAATGGGCTGCTTTTCAATCACACAAATGATTGATTTGTTCTTGCTTGTCGAGAGTCTTTAGAAGTTTAAAAGTGCATATCCACTCAAACATGGTGGCCCATGTATTGTTACAATATGTAAAACAGATGACTTACCCAACAATGTCTGGCTATTAATACAATAAGCATTGGAGGTGTTATTAGTCCTTAATAGGTTGTACACACAGGCCATGTCCATAAAATACACTTTTCAGAGTGCACACCATAAGGGTGCCACGATGCCACCTACTGGTATTAGGTAGTGATGGGCATTCCGAGTCTTTTCTGTGAGCTGTCTCTTTTGGCTCCGTTCACATAGAAGAACAGGTACATTTGGCTCCCAAACGTCTCTTCGTTAAAAATGCTTAACAATCGACCTAGAATCATGAAATAAATTGCAAATCTCCAATGTAAAGCCCAAAAGGTAGGCTACCATTATGTCAGATCGTGAAATGTGCGTTCAAATACATTTTTACCTGGCCAAATGATTAGATGGCCTGCAAAAAAACGGTATTATTTTAATGCACTAAAAGAATCAGCATGGACCAGATTGATGCGCTCTCCCCACTATTTATTGTTTCTGCAGTGAGGATTCACCCTCTTTAGAGAATTATTTTGTAACTTATCTACAGAAAAACGTTGTTTTGAGCTAAAAAAAAAAAATCAGTAGTAGCAGTATGCAAAGGTTTATACTGCACAGCTTTTATCCAGAAGGTTTGCCTTTCAAATGTAGATTTCATTGATTAAGTCAATTAATTAATGTACTCTTTGGCCTATAGGGTGTCTGTTACATTTCAAGCTTCAATAAACTAGATTATTACATAACAGTTAAGTGTAAACAAGACTTCAGTTCAGAGGCGTCATGACCATAGGGGGCACAGGGGCACATGCCCTCTCAGATCTGCCCTGTTTGTAGCCCCTTTTCTGCAGTCGAATAACCAAAGCGCCCTCTAGTGGCCACATGGGTGGAATGTTATTAATATTTTTCAGAATTTCATAATTAATAAACAAATAAAAAATTTTAACACCGAAAATCTGGTGTTTCTATGTCAAACCATTTTGTTATATTTCAGTCTTCTGTGATGTATATAAAGTGTAATATTGAGGTGTATACTTTTGTTTCAAAGTAGATTTGTTTAAGACTACCAAGAAACACTCTGTGTGACCCTGATTTAGCCCACGGCAGTAAGAGGTAAAACATTTATAAATAAACAATTATTTTAATGTTTTGTTTGTTTGTTTTTTCTGTGTAATACTACTAGCCACTTAGCAATTTTATGAAGTTCGTTTTTAGCTAGCCCAGATAGGTTCCTAATCTCCCAACCTCATAACTAGCTACCAAGAAGCCATTTCAGGCTATAAATCAAGTGTCTAGCTTGTCTAACTATCTTAGCTGGCATGCCTGCTGGCAAAGTTGGTAGACTAGAAAAGCAAGCAATAACTAAATATACTGAATAAGACACATTCCTTTCAATCTTTTACCCAGATTTTAGCAGAGATGCAGAGAAGCATATTTCGTTTCTTTAAAACAATAACCACCAGTCAGGAGGATACAGACAGCTCAAGAGGTATGCCTAGATATGCAGAAAATTTGACATAGTTTGACATTTAATTAAACATAATGATTATGGCTCTAGATTGCAGGAAAAATGCACAATTCTCCAACTTATGGCCACCACCCCCCAGCCATCCTCATGTACTTTGTGCCCCCTCAGATTTTTGGGGTGCATGACGCCCATGCTTCAGTTGATTTAATAAATAACACATTCAATAGAAAAATTTCAATTACACAGAAAACATCACCAGTGAAAACACATTTAGCAATTCACAGCATTAATTCGCATCACATTCATAGCAAACCATCATTGCGAAATACATCAAATCCATCAACATGGCTTTGATGAGTCAATCCACGTCCAACGCAGAGAAAGGCTCTCTTCAGAAATGTTCAATCACTCTGTGAAAAGATCAAACTCTTTTTATCAACTCGCTTTACTTGCTGACAAAGACAAGTGAGAGGTAGGCTAATAAATATGCCCCTAATAATGACTGTTGGAAAAAGCTTTTAGGTGAGTTCTAGGTAGATTCTTGCTGTACTAACCAGATCATCAAGATCATCCATCGCAGGTGGCCCTCCTTTCTTGTTCCCTATATCCTGAATCATCTAAAATGGAAAACCATGAATTAAAGCCACACTCTGTAAGATGTGCAAACCTTCAAACATAGACATAAGCCCATTTGGCAGAGTTACACTTACATCCACATATTGTTCGTACTCCGCCATTCCCTCATCCTCTTCGTTCGCCCAGTCTCTCCAGTTTTCGAAGTCTACACCCATCCAATTTGGCTACAAGGGACAGAATAATGACGGTAGAGAGAGAGAACATGTTGATAGACATTCTATCAGGTAGACTCTGTAATATGACGGCATTATAGCATAGCATGGTGACTTTCTGCTTTCAGAAGTAAACAATAACATAATTTAAATCAGCCAAGACTATTGGCTCTTTCCAGTGTGAGCATGCCCCAAGGGAGGGCACAAATCCTTTATGATGATGTCATATTGCTGAGTCTACCTTTAACACATGAAGCATTAGTCCACCCTTACATTGCTCTTAACTATTCTCAGCGGAAGACCAAATGTTCCAGTACCTTGAGATTGGCATCTTTCTGAAGACGAGGCCATGCAACATTTTCTTTAACCTTCCTGATCAAGATGTGGATACTGCGATCATAGACTTTCACTTGGGAGTCCTGTTAGAGAAATACACAATGATGTACCTCAGTATCCATAATGCTCTGTAACTTGTATCCGGTTTTTAATACATTACTGTGCTGAATATTGAAGCATACTGTTTTCTATGTTAGTTGTGAGAAGCTAATTAACTTTGATATGAGAAAGAAAATGTTGATACTTACGAATTTCATTACTTTGTCGTAAAAGTAAATGTGATTGTACATGTTGTTGTCATCAACGTCTTTGCAACTGTCATAGACACAAATCCACAGAGACATACAATGTCATTAAACGTAGGCTATAACGCAACATTTTGCAATAATAACATATACTATTTGTAAGAGCAATCATTATAGAGTGATAACACAGGCCTGTTTATGAAATCATACACATGCACATTCACACATTCACACACACACACACACACTATTTAGACACTATTTAGACTAACACAACTTGCTAGATCACACACTTTAGGGTTACAAATTGATCAAACTCACCTTAAAACTATATAAGTATCCTGAATATCAACCTCAACATCCTTGGGGTTTTGCACCATGAAGTTAATGACGACATATTTCTTCTTGTCATACCATAGAGTCTGTGCTCCTTGACTATTGTTGAAAACATCATGAAAATCTTGTTATATTGCATTTGTTAACAGACTAATCACTAAATACCATTTTATTATATGCCCAATTTACACGGGATCTACCAACTGACTAAAAGCACATGGGGTAAGAGAACTGGAAACTTCATTTTACAGTGCTAGTGTGTAAACCTAGTCTGTCAAATTAGAAAACTGCTTCTTAGCAATACATACCACTCCTCTGGTCTGGGAAGGTTTTTTGGTAACATGGCCATCTTGTTGGTTCTTTGTTGATTCTATGGAGAGAATATGCTCCTGGACGTTTATGGTTCTTTTGAGGTTGACTGAGAGAGCAAGTAGCCTACTCAGAATAGTTAGCAGTCTATCTGTTAGGACCTGCACTATTTTTAGATCAGCTGGTATCAGCTGCTAGGGGTACATATCCCCCCTCCTCTTCCCTATCCCTATAGGTTGTAGTAGAACTCTCTGGAAAGAAGGGGCATTTTCGGTTTTCACTCCAGGACCACCCCACCTTCTGTGAACTCAAGAGGATGGGGGAGGGAGTTGAAAAGCTTGCCAGAAGACAGACAGAAACTGATAGCTGCCTCATTTCTTAATGGCAGATTAATTAGGGTTGAAGATTTTAAATAGGGTTGAAGATCTTATTGTCAATATGCTTATTATTGGTCAGAATTGGAATACAAATAGACAAATAGAAGAAAGTCACACACCAGTCACACACCAGAGGCCTACAACATTTGGGACATTGTTACATATTCATGGGTACTTGTATTTTGAATTTCAGTGCATTTCCATAAGTTGTCTCAATAAATCCAGGCTCTGTCGTAGCCGGCCGCGACCGGGAGACCCATGGGGCGGCGCACAATTGGCCCAGCGTCGTCCAGGGTAGGGGAGGGAATGGCCGGCAGGGATGTAGCTCAGTTGGTAGAGCATGGCGTTTGCAACGCCAGGGTTGTGGGTTCAATTCCCAAAGGGGGGCCAGTATGAAAAATTAAAATAAATAAATGTATGCACTCACTAACTGTAAGTCGCTCTGGATAAGAGCGTCTGCTAAATGACTAAAATGTAAATGTAAATGCAAGAACCCATTCTCATGGGAAAAGTCTGTTTGGCAGCTTTTATTTTGAATGCAGAAGTTGAAAATCAGAAATACTACAGTTGCTAGCTTAGCTGGTCATGGCTAGAAGGGATCCAGCTTTTGTCAAATTAACGTCAGATTTGACTTTTCGTAGCAGATTAGAAGAATTTAAACAGCAGGTTATGAGAATTAACGTATCAGGTTAGGAGAATTAGGTTAAGGTCAGGAAAAGGGTTAGGGTTATCTAAAATGCAAAAAAAATTAACATTTTCTGTTAATTTGACAAAAGTTGGAACCCTTCTAGCCATGACCTAGCTAGCTAGCTAGCTACTGGGGTGCGTTCAGTTCGCTTGAACGTTTGCTACGTTGCGGAACGGCTTGTACTGAACGACACGTTTCCCCAAAACGTTCTTGTACATTCTTTTGAACAGACTTTGAGGTACATTTGCTCCGTTCCTTGGGTGTGCCGGGGAGTGGCTTGAAGCAATGACTGACGTATTTAAAGGGCAGAGGTGCATTTTGAAGCCACAACCCAACCCCTCTCTGTTTTTCAACTGGTCGTTCAGTACAGCACCGTTTCCGTTCAATTGAATGTTATATTACATTTTTATGTGTTGCACGCAGCACTATTTCTTGCTGCAAAAAGAACGAGAAGGGGGTAGCTGCATTCCAATATGGCGACTGGAGTATGGGCGAGTGGGTGTGTCAAAAGGAAAGTAGTGGGCGCGTGGAAAGGAGTGGGTGTGCGAAAGGAAATTAGTGGGCTTGTGAGAAGGGTGCAATTGCTATCCGCAATTCGGGGCGTTCCTGCATCTGCAGGAACCCCTCTTTATACCTATATTGGTCAATTTATAAATTAGGACAAGCGGGAGGCGGGGACGCTCCAGTACAGTAGGGGGCGTTAATGGACAATAACGTTGGATGCCAGCCGCCAATAATCCCCACAGATGAAGGGGGGGGTCACAACGGTAGCTAGTTAGCCATACACCGGTAGACAGTGTCCTTTGCCCCCCAACTGTCGGCAACGGGGGCAACACTGTGTGCTATCTAACTAGCAAGCTAGCACACAGTATCACTAACTAGCAAGCTAGCTAGTTAGCTAGCTAGCATGAGTGAGGCAGGGGCGAACGTTAGACTGTGTTCTTCGCTCCCACCTTTCATGCACTGTTTTCCTGCAGTTTTGTTACTGACGGTGAGGGCAGGCGGGAGCGAAGGACACCGTCTACCGGTGTCGCTCTTGCTAGCTAGCAAGGAGGTCTCCGTTAGGCAGGGGCGAAAAAACTCTGATAATACTTTTATTTCCCTTTTGACCCACATTCAAAAGTGTCACACAAGCATGAAGATGTCGTGATCGAGGGGACGGGGGGCTGCGGTTGTATACTATTGGGGCTTGTGTAAAGGATGGGTTTTTGAAAGCACTCTGCTGGTTAAACGGTTTTGATTGAGCTGTATATTATTTATTCAGTTTCTTACCACGCAACTACCTTGAGCTAACTTCCCACGAGAGTTTGGACTTTTGTTTTTGTAATTGTACATTTTCTGTTGTAAAACTGATGGTTGCTTATTTTTGATTAAAAGTATTGATGATGGGTGTACTGTTGCTTCATGAGTTTTATGCATGTGTTTACTGTGACTGTCACCCTGATATTGGCTACTAGGTAGCTACTTCCCGCCATTGTCGGACAGTGGTACTTGTCAAGTGGGAGCTGTTGCTGTTCATGACCTTCCCATTGAGTAGTAGACTGTCTGTATGTATCAAGGTGATATCTAAATGGTTATCGATACTAGTTATTTATATTGGCGGCTGGCATCCAACGTTATTGTCCATTAACGCCCCCTACTGTACTGGAGCGTCCCCGCCTCCCGCTTGTCCTAATTTATAAATTAAACTGACCCGCTCTGCACCGGGCTATTGTACATTTACATTTTAGTAATTTAGCAGACGCTCTTATCCAGAGCAACTTACAGTTAGTGAATGCATACATTTTTTTCATACTGGCCCCCCTTGGGAAACGAACCCACATCCCTGCCGGCCAAACCCTCACCTACCTTGGACGACGCTGGACCAATTGTGCGCCGCCCATGGGTCTCCCGGTTGCGACAGAGCCTGGACTCAAACCAGGATCTCTAGTGGCACAGCTAGCACTGCGATGCAGTGCCTTAGACCACTGCGCCACTCTGGAGTCACTCGGGGGCTATGACCAGGCTAACCAATAATGGAGCGCTGATGTTACACCCATCGCTGTTGATCAACCCACTGAAGTTACACCCATCGCTGGTGGTGCACCCACTTCTTTTGTAACGCCCACTTTCAGACACTCCAAGTACGCATAATTGGAGTCGAGGTACAACACCAGTGCACTGGTCGCAGGCTTATTGACTCGTGGTGTAGCCCAATCAGCCACACAAAACGGTCTTGAGTGGCAACAAATCTGCCCAATTAACTGATTCGCTTTCCATACATACACTCCTTTCGACACCATCACTCACCAATGATAGAGATACTTTTGAGGAGATGAGAAACTCCCTTATAATCGAATTAAGGCCCATTGTGTACGTTGACCATGGGCCGCGCGGTGCATTCTGGTATATTTTGGGACAAGGAGAGCTGTCCTTCAAGGAGTCAATTGGGCGCTAGCTCAAAAACCCAATATTAGCATGCATTACACATGTTTTTACAAATATTTTCCGAGATGTAAGATAACTAACTTGTTATCTGTAACATCGTATAGCTTTGGAATCGTGACATTATGTACTTTCGAGGAAAATAGTCAGGTTTCTCGACTCATACCCTGACTTTGAGACGGGATTGCGTGACGATTCTTTTAGCAACGTGAACGCTTTTGGTCGGCAGTCTGCTGGGTGGGGCGTTATATGGTCCTCCATTCATTGCCTATTGAGATTCCCATCTCCTCCTTTCTCTAATATCTCTGTTCATACTCCAGTCGCCATATTGGGCTGCAACTACCCATACTTGAGCCATTCATTGGCTATTGAGATTCCCATCTCCTCCTTTCTCTAATATCTCTGCTCATACTCCAGTCGCCATATTGGGCTGCAACGACCCATACTTGAGTGAATTCAGCTAGTTCTGGCTAGTGAGCTGCTGCATAGTGTACCTTGGATGTATTACATTATATTTATTTAAATGGCGTTTCAGTGTCAAAGGGACTGTTACATGCAAGAGGTATGAGGGAGAGAAAGTAACATATTTGTTTACCTTGTGCTTTTTTAAAAGAGAAAGCAGTCAGGAGCTTGCTAGCTGAAAGGTTCCGAGCCGACATTACATAGCCTAACGTTACAGCTAGCATGAGCTAGCTAACGTTCTTACAGTAACTTGTACTATTTTTGTGTGTAGCCTACTTTAGTTAGATAGTAGTTGACAGGCAGAGTGAAATATTGTTTACACGATGTCTAGTCTTCCAATGCCATGATGAAATGTCAATCAAAAAGCACGTTAGTCACGTGCCTTGTAAGAATTCGCGGACGAGTAGGTTAAACCAACACTTCCCTCCGTATTATTGGCCGACGTGCAATCATTGGAAAACAAATTGGACGATCTACGATTAAGACTATCCTACCAACGGGACATTAAAAACGGTAATATCTTAAGTTTCACCGAGACGTGGCTAAACGAAGACACGGATAAGATGGAGCTGGCTGGCTTCTCTGTGTGTCAGCAGGACAGAGCAGCTATGTCTGATAAGAAGAGGGGCTGGGGTGTGTGTCTATCAATAACTGCTTGTGCAAGATGTCTAATATTAAAGAAGTCTCGCGGTATTGCTCACCAGAGGTAGAATACCTAATTAAAAGCTGTAGACCACACTATCTACCAAGAGGGTTCTCATCTATATTATTCGTAGCTCTATTTACCACCACAAACCCATGCTGGCACTAAGACCACACTCAACAATCCGTTTTACCTCATGTCTACCAGCATGTCACGTGTAACCAGAGGAAAAAAACTCTAGACCACCTTTACCCCACACACAGAGACACATACAAAGCTCTCCCTCGCCCTCCATTTGGCAAATCTGACCAGGAAGTAAAGCAGGAAGTACCAGTGACTCGCTCAATATGAAAGTGGTCAGATGAAGCGGATGCTACGCTACAGGACTGTTTTGCTAGCACAGACTGGAATATGTTCCGTGATGCATTGAGGAGTATACCACCTCAGTCACCGGCTTCATCAATAAGTGCATCGACGACGACGTCCCCACAGTGACCGTATGTACATTTCCCAACCAGAAGCCATGGATTACAGGCAACATCCGCACAAGCTAAAGGGTAGAGCTGCCGCTTTCAAGGAGCGGGACACTAATCCGGACACTTCTAAGAAATCCCGCTATGCCCTCAGACAAACCATCAAACAGGCAAAGCGTCAATACAGGACTAAGATTGAATCCTACTACACCGGCTCTAATGCAATGCTCGTCGGATGTGGCATGGCTTGAAAAATATTACGGACTACAAAGGGAAGCCCAGCCGCAAGCTGCCCAGTGACGCAAGCCTACCAGACGAGCTAAATGCCTTGTATGCTTGCTTCGACGCAAGTAACACTGAAGCATGCATGAGAGCACCAGCTGTTCCGGACGACTGTGTGATCACGCTCTCCGTAGCCGATGTGAGCAAGACCTTTAAACAGGTCAACATTCACAAAGCAGCGGAGCCAGACAGATTACCAGGACGTGTACTCAAAGCGTGCGTAGACCAACTGGCAAATGTCTTCACTGACACTTTCAACCTCTCCCTGACCGAGTCTGTAATACCTACATGTTTCTAACAGACCACCATAGTCCATGCGCCCAAGAAAACAAAGGTAACCGTGTGGTTACCAGGAAAACAACCTCTCCCTCAATGTGAGCAAGACAAAGGAGCTGATCGTGGACTATAGGAAAAGGAGGGCCGAACAGGCCCCCATTAACATCGACAGGGCTGAAGTGGAGCGGGTTGAGAGTTTCAAGTTCCTTGGTGTCCACATCACCAACAAACTATCATGGTCCAAACACACCAACATGGTCGTGAAGAGGGCCCGACAACACCTTTTTTCCCTCAGGAGACTGAAAAGATTTGGCATGGGTCCCCAGATCCTCAAAAAGTTCTACAGCTGCACCATCGGTTGCATCACTGCCTTGTATGGTAACTGCTCGGCATCTGACTGTAAGGCGCTACTGAGGGTAGTGCGTACAGCCCAGTACATCACTGGGGCCAAGCTTCCTGATGTCCAGGACCAATATACTAGGAGGTGTCAGAGGAAGGCCCAAAAATGGTCAAAGACTCCAGTCACCCAAGTCATAGACTGTTCTCTCTGCTACCGCACGGTACCGGAGTGCCAAGTCTAGGTCCAAGAGGCTTCTAAACAGCTTCTACCCCCAAGCCATAAGACTGCTGAGCAATTAATGAAATGGCCACCCAGACTATTTACATTGAACCGTTCATCCACCCCCCCCCTATTTTTGTACGTTATTTTATTTAGTAAATATTTTCTTTACTCTATTTCTAGAACTGCATTGTTAGTTAAGGGCTTGTAAGTAAGCACTTCACGGTAAGGTCTGCACCTGTTGTATTCGGCGCATGTGACAAATACAATTTCATTTGATTTGAAATCAAGCTAGCTAACAGCTAGCCATAGACCAGACTTAACTGACATGGGTCTGCTTGCGTTTATGATCCCAACACACATGCTCATTCAATGGCATGTTGTCATTAGTGATTGCACATTGGCAATGAAATAAAGATTATGCCAGATTTGTCATTGACAACTTTCTGTAAGCAGTAGCCTAATAGTGGTTAGCTAGATGTGTGCATTTGCTCAGTTTTTCTGCTTCATGAAATTGAATGTAGTCCTGTTTTGTAGCCCGAACAGCCGCAAGTAGTTGCTGTTTCATTCTTAGTTGTCTTTTGATGTATGATGTAACAGCTAGCTACTACCAAAGATACTGATAACTAAACCAAGATATCTGTGCTACCAAATATACCGGTAACAAGCTTGTTCTGTCTGTGCTACTACCAGCTGTTGTTCGGGCTAAATGTGTTTCCAAATGGCGGAGTCATTGACTGAGTACATTTTCCTTGGCATAAATTAGGTGTTTTCAACTGACTGTCATCAAAATGTTGATGATGGCTAATTGTCTTTCTCTCCGCAGTTTGTCACCTCAGTGGTGGCCTGCTCACCAGGTGAAATGAAACAAGAAATCAATGGGAAGAAAGAAACCGTTAAAGGCTTCAATGTCAAGCTCCAAGACACCATATTGTTTCCTGAGGGAGGTGGTCAGGTAAATACAGGAAGGCCAGAATGTTCACTGAACTACCCCTCTCTTTCTGGTGACATTAGGATGTGGTCAGTGTTGTGGTGTGCTGTAAGTGGTAGAACGCAGGCTAACACCTAGTATCTTCCATCTCCAGCCAGATGACCACGGACTGATTGGAGATGTGCCGGTGCTGCGGGTGACGAGGCAGGGAGCTGAGGCTGTGCACTTTGTGAGTTCAGCCCTTGAGGTGGGCCAGGAGGTGCAGCTGAAGGTGGACTGGGAGCGCAGGTTTGACCATATGCAGCAACACTCAGGTAAGAGCACGGACAAGCTTTACCGTATGTGCAGTGCAGAACTGTACAATTCAGCTTCTCAGAAACAATTACATGTATTTATGGAGTATGATTAAGCGGTACATTCAGTGTAGCCTACTTGAAGGTACAGTTGCATAAATCCTGACTTGTTTTTACTTGGTCCTTAGGGCAACATCTAATCACAGCTATTGCAGATTCCATGTTTGGGTACAAGACCACATCCTGGTAAGCATGCAGAAAGCACATTGATTTCAGTGCCTGCGCTTGTACAAAAAAAATAATGCATTGGTTACAATTTTTGCATCGATCTTTCTCATTCATTGGCATGTTCCAGGGAGTTGGGGCGTCAGCGCAGCACCATAGAGCTGGACACTCCCTCCATGAAACCTGCCCAGATGGAGGCCCTCGAGGCAGCAGTCAATGAGAAGATTCGTGCTCATGTCCCAGTCGCTGTTCAGGTCCTCTCCTTAGACGACCCTGCATTGGAAAAGGTGGGCATCATTCATCTCGAGTAAACACAAAAAAATGCACCAGAGAAAAGATTGTCAGTATAATACAATACAGGTGGCTATGTCACTATGCACTATTTCTCCATATTTCACTTCACTTCATAACATTGGGACTATAAGGTTCTGTCTAACATTTTGGTAAAAATGAGTTATTTGCATAGAATTGCTTTATAGGTGGTCCTTTACATGTGAGATACTTTTGTATATATAGAACACCCCTTCAAATGAGTGGATTCTGCTATTTCAGCCACACCTGTTGCTGACAGGTAAAAATCGAGCACACAGCCGTGCAATCTCCATAGACAAACATTGCCAGTAGCATGGCCTTAATGAAGAGCTCAGTGGCTTTCAACGTGGCACAGTCATAGGATGCCACCTTTCTAACAAGTCAGTTCGTCGAATTTCTGCCCTGCTAGAGCTGCCCTGGTCAACTGTAAGTGCTGGGTTTGGCGGATCCCAGGAGAACGCTACCTGCCCCAATGCATAGTGCCAACTGTAAAGTTTGGTGGAGGAGGAATAATGTTTTTCATAGTTCGGGCTAGGCCCCTTAGTATCAGTGAAGGGAAATCTTAACGCTACAGCATACAATGACATTCTAGACAATTCTGTGCTTCCAACATTGTGGCAACAGTTTGGGCAAGGCCCTTTCCTGTTTCAGAATGACAATGCCCCCGTGCACAAGGTGAGGTCCATACTGAAATGGTTTGTTGAGATCGGTGTGGAAGAACTTGACTAGCCTGCACAGAGCCCTGACCTCAACCCCATTGAACACCTTTAGGATGAATTGGAACGCCGACTGCGATCCATGCCTAATTGCCCAACATCAAGTCCCCGCAGCAATGTTCCAACATCTAGTGGAAAGTCTTCCCAGAAGAGTGAAGGCTGTTATAGCAGCAAAAGGGGGACCAACTCCATATTAATGAGATGTTCAACAAGCAGGTATCCACATACTTTTGGTCATGTAGTATATGTCAGATTTGTGGAAACATTTATGATGAAGAAAATGAACCATCTGAAAATTCTGTCTGCACAAACACCTTTTAACTTTGTGCTATAAGGTTCTATCTGCAATCCAATCACACAATGCTGGGTTGTCAATCAAAAGTAATGAAAGGTGATATACTTATTGAGTCATTAAAGACAACGACATCACAAAACAGTTCTAAGATCTGGGACTTGAAAAATACTCAAAATACAGTACATTTTGCAGAACCTTATAGTCCCAAGTCCTTGATTATTCATATCATAGGTTCTGGTCCTCTTTTTCTATTACTAAGATTGGCCATAACGTAAGCTCTTTATGGTAAAAACAAATAAATACAGGTGCCTTAAGAGCATGTTTAAGGCCCTTGGGAGAGGCATTGCTGTTTTTGTCTTGTTCTATATCAATACGAAAACCTCCATGGAAGGGGTATTTCACTAAAATTACAAACTTACCACATTTTATTTATAACTAGCAAGTATAGTTTACTTACTTTGGGTGTCAGAGACCAGAAAAATATATCAGTTTACTCATCCAGAGCTAAGCTTTAGCAATGTTGCTAGTTATCCATAGGACATTTACATTTTAGTCATTTAGCAGACGCTCTTATCTAGAGCGACTTACATGAGCAATTAGGGTTAAGTGCCTTGCTCAAGGGCACATCGACAGATTTTTCACCTAGTCGGCTCGGGGATTAGAACCAGCAACCTTTCGGTTACTGGCACAACGCTCTTAACCACTAAGCTACCTGCTGTGTATTTGTCATTTTAGGGAACCATCGCTTCAACAAATGTGTGATGAACATGAATTAATATATTTGCTGATGTGATTAGAAAGAAGGAAAGTTATTCTCATTATTTAATCATTAAATGTCTGTACTTTTCTATTGAAATTGAAATAATTTTAACATTCTGTGCCACATAGAACCTTATGGCTGAACCCAGATTGACATTTCAGAGCCATAAGGTTCTATCTGCGATTGCACCACCCTAAAAAAAAAAAACGTAGTATTTTTATACTCTGCACTTTAGGTACCTTTAAGGTGAGGACCTTAATGGGTTATGAAAGAAGAATTCACTGCAAAACAGTTCTGATATCTGGGATGTGAAAACTTTGATGCTCAATATCTCAGAACTATGCTTTGCGCAGATAGAACCTTATCGTTTCGAGTCTTGCCAAAGCTGTATTGACTTGCCTTGTGATGTATTAACCCATGAGCTGTGTGTAATGACTACTGTATATTTTAACTCGTCGTGTTGTATATCTACTAGGTGAGGAGTCGTGGTCTCCCGGACGACGCAGCGGGGCCTATCCGGATCATCGACATCGAGGGCGTTGATGCCAACATGTGCTGTGGGACCCACGTGTCCAACCTCAGTCACTTACAGGTGGAACCTCAGACCTTACACAACTCTCAAACACGGTCAACTTTACAGTATGATGTTATGTTTATGTCCTAACCACACCGCCTCCCCTACTTTGCTGATGGGTTTGTCGTGGAAATTCTACTTTAACAATGAGGAGAGACAAGGGCAATCACCAATCAGGATATTAACTTTATTAATAAGGGAGCAGGTCACACTATACACAAATGAATAGAGTGAGTGCTCTGCAATAATGAGGCTGGTTGACCCAACACTCTTGAGTGTTGGGCAGAGAGCTCTGACATACAGAGGTCTTATATAGTAGACCTATAAATTCTTAGTCATGGCTGGTTCCACCACAACTGTCTCAATGTGTCGAACCAACCGATATCTACCAGAAGAGGTGGACAAATATTCTGTCCTCTGTGTTCTCTTGCGAGTACTAAGAACTGTTTGTTCTTAGAATAGAGGATAAGGAGAGACTTCGTTCGGAACAGAGATACCTTGTATCCGAACATGCAAGTTTCAGAGTACAGAGGGTGGGGGTAAGAACACGAGATGTGCACAGCCGTGGTGGATTAGGTATAGAGTTATGTTAAAACAGCAATTTACACAACCAGAGTAACAGGATTGTACACACATATCATTTATATTAACCTTAAAGTAATGCTAATACACATTTTGTCTCTCACAGGTTTAATATGTGGTACTATGTAGCTCACCTCTTATTTTTTATGTGGCTTAATATGGCTTTATGGATGTAATGCTTCTCTCACTTTTGACAGATTGAATCTGATGTGTTTTAGGTCATAAAACTCCTGGGGACTGAGAAAGGAAAAAAGAACAAAACCAATCTGTTATTCCTAGTGGGCAACCGGGTCCTGAAGTATGCTGAGAAAAGCTACAGCACAGAACGCTCACTGGTGTCCCTCCTCAAGTGAGTTCCGTAAAGCAATGCTGAATGTAGCAAGAACCTAATATGCTGTAAATTATATATGTATATAAATTATATATAGTGATTTAAAATGCTATACATGTTAAGAAATAAATGTCTCAAACACTTGATTTGACTGTTTGACAGAACGGGACCAGATGATCATGTTGATGCAGTGGACAAGATCCAGAAGACTGTTAAGGGGCTACAGAAAGTGAGCTACGGAAAACCTTCTGTTGCTCTGAATTTCCCTTATTCTGTCTTCAATTTAATCATTAACCAAACTCTGTTTTTATTTGACAGAGTAACCTGGGCTTACTGAGAGACATGGCTGTTCTAATTGGCCAGAACTTCAAGAGCAACCCAGAGAGAGGCAACTTCTTCACCTTACACAAGTGAGGGTCTCGCCACACAGAGGGCGGCAGGTAGCCTAGCAGTTAGAGCATTGGGCCAGTAACTGAAAGGTCGCTGGTTCGAATACCCGAGCCAACAAAGTGAAACATCTGCCGATGTGCCCTTGAGCAAGGCACTTAACAATAATTTGCTTCAGGGGTGCCGTACTTCTATGGCTGACCCTGTAAAACATTTCACTGCACCTATCTGGTGTATGTAACAATAAAAACATATTATTTTTCTTTACTCCTATTTTTGATGGACAGATGATATGACTGGGCTGGTAATCTGTCATTGAAAACTTTCATCAGTTTATTAAAATAGTCAAGATAATTTTTTCTCTGTTTAGGAAAGAGGGTGACAATGAGTTCATGAGCATAATAGCCAATGAAATAGGCACTGAGGTAAGATTATTACTCTTTTTTTATGTTCAGTGTCTAATATTCTTTAGTGAAATGCATCTACGGTATACTGTAAGTAGCATTGTACCATGACTGATTACATTGGAAATTGAGAGTTGTTCTGGTGTGTTCTGAATACCTAATAAACCCTATCCCTCCTGTTTCTTTTGTCTCGTAGGAGACGTTGGTGTTCCTGACTGTTGGAGAGGAGAAGGGACCAGGGCTGTTCCTGCTGGCAGGACCCAGTGGGAAAGTGTCTGAACTGGGACCACGGTAAGAACTGAAGGGACTCTGCATTTGGAAATCCATTTGATTGGCGCCTGTTCAGGAGCTTGGATGTTTTGAGGTTCGACTTATGTAAAGTGGGTTCTTGCAGTGAATTAGTAACCAAGCCAGGTGGCACACTTGTGCAACAACAACAAAAAATATCATGGGAAATTTGCAGAAAAAACTAGGCAATGTCCCTAACTAGTCAGTATTTCAAAACCGATTTCAAACTCAAACGCTTTGTCTGAAATGTATAACAACTTGGTGCTGTGTCTGTATTGCAGAGTGCTGGAGATGCTCCAGGGCAAAGGGGCTGGGAAGAACGGGCGCTTCCAGGGCAAAGTCAACAGCATGGCACGCCGAGGGGAAGTGGAGACCCTAATACAGGAACACTGCAAGAACGAGCAGTAATGGATGACTGGAGTGTATGAACACCTTCCTAATATTGAGTTGCTTTGTCATTATGGGGTATTTTGTGTAGATTGATGAAGGGGAAAAAACCAATTTAATCCATTTAGAACAGCCTAAATTAAACATGTCTGCTACCCTTCATCTACACTGATTTGAAGTGGATTTAACAGGTGACATCAATAAGGGATCATAGCTTTCATCTAGATTCACCTGGTCAGTCTGTCATGGAAAGAGCAGGTGTTCCTAATGTTTTGTACACTCCGTGTACATTTGTTACTTTTTTGGCTATATCGTAAAAATTCATGAAAACAAAAATAAGCTTTTTGGGCTTAATTTAAGGTTAGGCATTCGGGTTAGCAGTGTGGTTAAGGTTAAAATCAGGTTTTATGACTGGCTGTGCCAGCTAGTGACCACTGCAGAGCTGCCTCCAGGACAATATTAATTTCAATAAAAGTCAACCTGTGCTTTGCTAAGTAATGATACCTCTGACCTCAGTGATGACCACAGTGTACAGTTTAAATCAAGGAACTGTATATATTCTTATGAATATAGGAGTACTAGATATATTCATGAATATAAGGAGGGAAAATGTGAAAGTTAACATTTTGGACTAAGGAAGCACACCCATGTAATTAATGATTAACATTGCATTCATTTTTAAGTTAACTTTTATTCATTTTGAATGTGATTGAAGATATCCTTTGAAATTGTATTTGTCCTGTGCTTATCAGTGTCTTTGATTCTTTAGTGTATTTTCACCTTCAGTAAATCAAAGGAAAGTATATATTGAATTAATTATGTTTGGACAGTCATTTTCATTTGGTCTGCGGATGCATTACCAAAAGAAAACCTTGGCAGTCAAATATTGATGGTTCAGCCAAGGCTGTCAGTTCTACGTATTTGCAGGGTGTGACGGCTGTGTGACGTGGACCTGTGTAATCAGTGAGCGTGAGGCCAAATTCCAGGGCTCCATATACAGATGTAGGATCTTAATTTGATCACCCTGTGCAGGAAATGCAAACGTATAGTGTATTTGAGCTTTACAAAGGCTTCTAAACCTTGCAATTTCCACTTTGAAATAGCCGACTTGATTTGCCCTAACAAAAAATGTATCAACCCCTACAAACGTCCTTTAATTATAATCCACATAATTCACATTTCCTGTTGCTGAAGGATCTGTAGGGTTGATGACCGATGGTTTGGCTCATGTCACTGATATTGTGAGCTGCTGATTTTGGGGTTTGAAAACCATATGATTGTCATTTTACCACTGCTGCATTTTGTGGACTTGCTGATAGTTTATCAGTCATTTGCGTCGTTAATGATAGGAAACAATTAAACTGAATGTGGAATGTGTCTGAACTGATACCTAACAGTATGGTTAGTAGTGTTAAATAAATAGCACATGGTCAGTGATGTATTTTTATTATAAATATCTGACAGAATTTCCAAAAATATTTTAAACAGGAAAAACACAGTTACAAAACAAATATTAACATAGTAATATATAACATATTCTTAGAACACACTTTAAAGCAGGCCACTAAAGTCCCTGAGAGAGCTTTTGGGCTCATATTCTCCTGGACTTGAGTTTGCTTTATCTTGTTTCAAAATGAGGTTTAGTCAAAGCAACTGCAAGGAAACATTCACTTTCTGGACTCCTGAGTTCGCAATGAACTACATTTAAATTAGAATTGTTGATACAGTTAAACCACAGGGTCTTAAGTGCCTCTGAGTAATATGCTGGATAGTTCTTTCATTTCAGTGTCCACACTATGCATACATAGGAAAATAAAACATTTACAGTGAGTGACTGGATGAACGTGTGTATGGTAGACAAAGACCACAATGGATTGTTGACCTCTTCGGCTATTTGGGAAGAAAGTCAATGTATGGAATGATTAAGGTTTGAAGCACCAGTGAACACTGTTCAATTCTGGAGTGAGCTCCGTATACATGAGTCTATGTGTGTCAGCCGTCAACGACCTCACAGATGCTTCTTGCTCTGTACGCTGCTCAAAGCTCCAGACACGCAGTAGGGGATGATGCTCACGGTTGCCAGGGGGACAGTGGCGCTCTTACAGAAAGACAGCAGGTAGAAGAGGGCGGCGGTGTGTGTAGGGGGCTTGAAGGAGTCAAAGAGGTGCAGCAGGAGCAGCGAGGTAACGATACATCCCGCCCTGTAGGGGGTGCTGCTGTTCTTCTTGCTCTCAGTGTAGAGGGGTGAATGCACGCCCAGGCCCAGGCCAAACAGGGTGCCCATGTTGCGCAGGAGGCTGGCGAAGGGAGTGGAGTCCATGTGGACCCACTCAGGCCTCACACACCACTTCTGGGCTTTCTCCAGGGTCCACAGCAGGTCTACGCCCAGAGCTTTCAGCAGCACGTAGAAGCCCACAGCGAAGGAGAGCAGGAAGACGGTGGTGTAGAAGTACTTCTTCAGACTGGCTCCGTAGATCCACTGCACTCTGGAGAAGACCTCAGCCACCATGATACCTGGAAATCAAATAACGTCATATTAGCATTGTGTAGTTGAACAATCTGCACATAGTTATGAGGGTTGTTATAAGGGCTTTATACTGACCTGTGATGACTCCACAGATGACTTGGTGGGGGAAGTGGGCAGCAATGAAGACTCTGGAGAGACAGACACACACCTGGACTGCCCAGAAGAATGTCCACAGAGTGCCCCGCAGATACCTGCCCAGACAAGGGGGAGAGGGAGAGGAACCGTCAGCAAATACGTCTTTAGGCGTTTTGAAATCTGTCTGGCTGCTAAAATAGTGTCCAAGAAACCTTGAATAGCCTCCTGTAGCTCAGTTGGTAGAGCATGGCGCTTGCAATGCCAAGGTTGTGGGTTCGATTCCCACAGGGGGCCAGTATGAAAAATGTATGCACTCACTAACTGTAAGTCGCTCTGGATAAGAGCGTCTGCTAAATGACTAAAATGTAAAATGTAATACCACTAAACGTGTGTGACACTTCAGGTGAGTAGGCTTCTACTACTGCACATGTAATCATTTTGATAGACTGTTGCTTTCTTCATCAATTTCCCTTATCAATTGGGATATGGTTTTACAACAAAACAACTAAAATGCAATCTTTGGCACATCCCCTTCCCTTCGACAACTAAAGTTAGTTTTCATGGTAAATCATCAACTACAGTGCTGCACAGAGAAAATGGATAAGCACTGAATGAAAAATTATAAAAAAAGAATAAGATAATTGAGGACAAGAGAAGGAGGGGTTGAATGATCTGGAACTTACAGGCCCTTGGTGGAAGATCTCGTCTTCTTCTTGGTCAGTGTGATGGTTAGGATGGAGGTGACCAGAGTATAGTAGACGCCTGCGGCTCCCATAGCGTGGCCAGAGGGACTGCCTACCAGAGAAACGCATACTTCAGTCTATGGTCATAGCGCTTTATTCAAGTAAAATGAAACCCAACACAATACACTACATTATTGTAAACCATGAATATTATCGACATCACAAAAATTATAAAGCGTTGGCTATATTCACTGAATCATAGCATATATATTTCATATCATTAGGCACTATTGAAAAAGTAAATGGAAGTAAAGTGATGCTTCTTACCTGGGCCAGTCTCACAGGTCATGGGGTATTGTTCAATGTGAGGTGCAGTGGTATTGCTGTAGTAAGGTGTTTCATGGACCCACCAATACGGCCTCTCGCCAAACAGAATCCTGGAAGGAAAGCACAAGCCACTTAGACTAATGCAGGGAATTTAATTATCGCATTTAATTTGATTAAATTGACAGGGACAGTGCACACACACACACACACACACACACACACACACACCTACATTTCAATGTGTCCAGATGTAGCCGAAGAGACACATTTGATCAAGTTCTAAATTGGTATCCCAGTAAGCATTTATTTGAAAGGTACCTATATAATGACTTCATAACACACTCATAAACCATACATAACACATTCATAAGCAGTACATAAGCTCAGCTGGACTCACCACTTGAAGACCAGGTTGAGCCAGTCTCCGATCACTGCCACCCAGATGAGTTTGATACCCACCGACTCCCGCAAGTGGAACCAGAGGGGGAAGAAGATAAAGAAGGTGTTCCTGAGATCAGCAGCCCAGGACACCCACAGGAACAAACCCTGGGCATCCTTATAGTTGGTCTGGAGGTAATTAGTGGCGCTCACCCCATAGCCCTGAAAGGCATCCATGACCGCCTCCATTTTCGAACTGTCCCTAGTGAACTGTCAGTCTAGGAAGCCAATGTGAGATGTGGTGCAGAAGGAGAGAACTGTAGCTATGTAAGAGTCTGCCGGTTGTTTTTATACCAGAGGGACCCACCACCCAAAGGCATGCACAGCCTGATCTTTGAACCTTGCACATGTGTAATAAAGCACAACAGGACAGAGGAGTTTGGGAGGGTTGTACAGTACTGAAGGGAGAGACCATACAAACAAGTACAAAGGAGGGGTAAAAACAACAGATGACATTGTCTCTGTGTTGCTCACCCTGAAATAGCATGGAGACAAAAATACTTTATGATTGACCAGTGGAATTCACATTAAAACCTAACAAATAGCCTACACAATACAGTTTGTGGCAAATCAAGCCAAGCAAGGGGATGTGTGGACAACGGCATTGCTTTTGCTTTTCTCTATTGAAATGCAAAATCCAGCGTTTTACTGCACTACAGTCTGCTTTACCTGTAATACAGTAAGTTGTCCTTGTAAGACCATAAAATGAATAAGATAGGAACTAAAAGAGTCACATGTGTACCAATTTAATAAGCCCACTTTTTGGCCAGTTTCAAAAAACACATAAAAAAAATTAGAAATATAAAAATGTCATATTAAGGCTGGAAGAGATTGAGACCAGCACACTGTTGAAAAAATGAATAAATCCAAAACTGAGGCTTGAATGCAAAACAAATATGTTTATTTTATCTTATGAAAGGCAAAATAAATGTTGACAACATGCAAAATCATCCCATTCTTCAACGACCTGCAGATAATAATCTGTCAGTTATATAATGAATTTCTGATGATTTTGTGAACATTTTGTGAAAAAAAGGCTAGCCCACCTGTCGGTTACATAAGGGAATCAATCATTAAATAGTGTGGGACTTGCTCCAGAGATGCTGAAAAGATAACTGACCAATAAAACTAGGTCCTGGATATGGTACTCATTGTACTGTAAATAGGCCCGACTAGACAACCCCCTAGCCAGGACTCACCTCAGGCTTTAGCTTATTGGAAAGAAATAGCCAATGAACTGTTATCATTACAGCAGGTCATAAAGTCAGTGCATTTTTGATTGATTTCATGCCATTCGTTTCACATGATACTGATGGATGTGGTTGAAGTGGTAAGAATGTGAAAAGGTCAATCAATAGGTCAATCAATTTTCATTGGCCTGCTTAACGTGTTCTTGCTACTATCTTTGCCAAGAGACGTACAGTCCTGGAGTGGAAAAACGTTCACCCACCATCACAGAAACATCCTGTTTCAGGGGCTAGCTTATCACTCCAGAGCAGAGCACTTCTGTTTACCGGTTTTGGCAACAGGAGCTCCATGGCAGGGTGTAGGCTAAAGGTCAGGGAGCTTGCCTGTAACGTCCACTTGAAGGCAAACAAATGCCCCAACCTTGAATAAAAGTCTGGTGGGAACAGACAGACTAGCTGACAGTCCTGGAGCTCCAGAGGAGCTCTACCAGCTTTGGTGCACCTTCCCTGGGGGCTGATCTGGATCCACACCGCAGTCATGGATCTTTTCCACAGCTGGGGGGTGGAGGTGGCCATCCATCTGCAGACCCAGTATGGGCATTATGAGGGCTGGTTTAGCCTCTACAGTGGCAGACCTGCATACCACCTTCTTCTGTTTCTTCCCAGTCTGGTTCCATCTGTGCAGGGACGTGGGGGTCAAGCTCATCTGGGTGGCTGTCATCGGGGACTGGCTCAACCTGGTCCGGAAGTGGTAAGGAACGGGTTAAATCGGGTTTCTGTCATTTTGTAAGTCATGGATTTTTACTACAAATGTGGAATAAGTACACATAAAGAAGAACTTACCCTGTCTTGAACATAAATCCTATAAAATACACATTTGTCATAAAAAAAAAGTGTCATTATATAATCATTACAAAGTTGTAACATTTCAAGGAGTTGAATGGCAGGGTTCTATTTGGAGAGAGACCCTATTGGTGGGTCCATGATACCCACTTCCATGGGACAGATCCAGCCCCTGCCTTAAAACAATTCCCAATCACCTGTGAAACTGGACCAGGTCGGCAATGCCATAGATAGACCAATGTGTGCCAGAGTATAGCAATGCGTATCACTCAACACACCTCAAGAAATAGCAGTATTGGCAAGTGGACGCATTATTTTCTTAGTAAGTAATAAATTAATGATCATAGGGCCATAACAACCTTTGCACATTAGTATTGATTCCCATTCAGCAGGGTAAATACATATAAAATAATCTTATCTGGAAAGGAATTCAGTTGGAAGTGTACAGTGAATTCCGTTAATTTTATCTTCAGGGTGTGTGTCCACTGTCCAAAAAGGACAACAAAACAGGGGCGAGAAAGAGTTTGAATGTGATTATGGGGCCAGTAGCCGAAAGGTCGTTGGTTCGAATCCCTGAGCAGACTAGGTGAAAAATCTGTTGATGTGCCCTTGATCAAGGCACTTAACCCTAATTGCTCCTGTAAGTCGCTCTGGATAAAAGTGTCTGCTAAAAGACTAAAATGTACTAATGTAATTCTACAGAAAATAGATACTGAACATAAAGACTTTGCCGGAGATTCATCATATCCCTGTTAGCCAGAACTGTATGCGCTTTAGCCAACTCTTATATCTTAAATGGTCCATGAAGCCAAAGTGTGTTGTTCTACATAGGAAGCTCTTCGGGTCATGCCATGTGCTCGGCTGGGGTACGTGATGATAACAGCTGTCCTTGGCATTTTTCCTATTTTGTTGCCTTACAACCTGGAATTAAAATGGATTTTTGGGGGGTTTGTATCATTTGATTTACACAACATGCCTACCACTTTGAAGATGCAAAATATTTTTTTATTGTGAGACAAACAAGAAATAAGACAAAAAAACTGAAAACTTGAGCGTGCATAACTATTCACCCCCTATTCAAGGTGTAGAGCCACCTTTTGCAGCAATTACAGCTGCAAGTCTCTTGGGGTATGTCTATCAGCTTGGTACATCATTCTTCAAGGCAAAACTGCTCCAGCTCCTTCAAGTTGGATTGGTTCTGCTGGTGTACAGCAATCTTTAAGTCATACCACAGATTCTCAATTGGATTGAGGTCTGGGCTTTGACTAGGCCATTCCAAGACATTTAAATGTTTCCCCTTAAACCACTCGAGTGTTGCTTTAGCAGTATGCTTAGGGTCATTGTCCTGCTGGAAGGTGAACCTCCATCCCAGTCTCAAATCTCTGGGAAGACTGAAACAAGTTTCCCTCAAGAATTTCCCTTTATTTAGCGCCATCCAGCATTCCTTCAATTCTGACCACTTTCCCAGTCCCTGCCGATGAAAAACATCCCCACAGCATGATGCTGCCACCACCATGCTTCACTGTGGGGATAGTGTTCTCAGGGTGATGAGAGGTGTTGGGTTTGCGCCAGACATAGCGTTTTCCTTAATGGCCAAAAAGCTCAATTTTAGTCTCATCTGACCAGAGTACCTTCTTCCATATGTTTGGGGAATATCCCACATGCCGCTTGGCAAACACCAAGCTTTTTTCTGGTGTTGCAGACTCTGGGCCTTTCAGAACAGGTGTATATATACTGAGATCATGTGACAGATCATGTGACACTTAGGTTGCACACAGTTGGACTTTATTTAACTAATTATGTGACTTTTGAATGTAATTGGTTGCACCAGATCTTATTTAGAGGCTTCATAGCAAAGGGGGTGAATACATATGCACGCACCACTTTTCCGTTATTTATTTAATTTAATTTTTTGATACAAGTAATTTTTTTCATTTCACTTTGACTATTTTGTGTATGTACATTACATGAAATCGAAATAAAAATCCATTTAAATTACAGGTTGTAATGCAACAAAATAGGAAAAACGCCAAGGGGGATGAATACTTTTGCAAGGCACTGTAGGTTCAAAGAGAAGCGGAAACAATGGTGGTGTTACTGCATATACCTATTCAATGATTTCAGTTGTACATGAAGTGCCTAAGGGTTAAGGCAGGGGTGGGCAAACTACTGCCCGCGTGGCCACATCTAGCCCGACAGCCGATTTAATGCGTCCCCGAAGGGAGCCACCATACAGATGTAGATGTTTTTCTTTATTATTTTGGTTTTTAAAAACATTCCGGGCCATACTTGAACGTTTAAAACTAGATAGAAAGTATGTAAAAATGATCATGGACCTTTATATTTGCAAATAACTCCCCTTTGTTCTGGCCCTCAAATAGATTTTGACTAACAAATCGGTAAAAAGAAATGTGCGGTCTTTTTCATCCCCAGGCTCTTGCAGGTGGGGCTGTGGATGCTGCTGTGTACGGTGGAGCTGCTGGTGTGCATGTCCAGAGTCTACATGGCTGCCCACTTCCCCCACCAGGTCATCAGTGGGGTCATCACAGGTCAGAGAACCAGGACTCTAGATTTCTAGATTTCAAGATGCAGGTCCTGCTGACCTGAACGCTGCTGTGCTGGCTTGGTTATTTTCCTTTCATGTTGTCATCCTTTCCAGGAACTGTGGTGAAATGCGCAACCAGGCCAGGCTTAGCAAGTAGTGTAGTATAAAAGTTATTGTATCTTGTATCAATGTTCTTGTAGCTTGATGACAAACTATGGCAGGTATCATGGTGGCTGAGGTCTTCTCCAGAGTGCAGTGGATCTACGGAGCCAGTCTGAAGAAGTACTTCTACACCACCATCTTCCTGCTCTCCTTCGCTGTGGGCTTCTACGTGCTGCTGAAAGCTCTGGGCGTAGACCTGCTGTGGACCCTGGAGAAAGCCCAGAAGTGGTGTGTGAGGCCTGAGTGGGTCCACATGGACTCCACTCCCTTCGCCAGCCTCCTGCGCAACATGAGCACCCTGTTTGGCCTGGGCCTGGGCGTGCACTCACCCCTCTACACTGAAGGCAAGAAGAACAGCGGCACCCCCTTCAGGGCGGGATGTATCACTGTCTCCTTATTGCTGCTACAGATCCTGGATGGCAAGACGTTCTCCTCCAGGAACCAGGCAATGTTCTACGTGTTGTCCTTCAGTAAGAGTGCTGCTGCCCTCTTCATCCCCACAGCTCTGGTTCCCGGAGGACACTCCTGGATCTTCCCAGGTAAAAGTGGGGCGGCTAAGCTGAAATTTTCATAATCGTTCACTTTGTGATAAAAGCACCACATTTGGCACAGGTAGGTTTACAAATTGGCCACTGAAAGTAAAATAATTGTACAATTCTGAAGGACTGTTTTGATATAAATGCACCAAATTTGGTACGGAGGTAGAAAAATGTACACTGAAATAATTTCAGTTGCTTTGGCAACAATCTTACAAAATGGCCACCAAAGGTAACGCTATTGTACAAACCAAAGACTATGGTGGAAGTTGAGTGTAGTTGTCATCTGGAGGTGTAAATCTGTTGGACTATCAGAAACTGTTTTGATTTGACAAATTAATTGGCTTGCTAAGCTCATTAGCAGAGAGTGGGAGTGGGTATGGGAAGCAAGAACACCTCAAGAGCTTGGGACTATAAGGTGCTATCTGCAACAACAACAAAAATCTGAGATAATTGGCTTTAAAGTTCCGAACCCTCATTGGTTTGAATGGTGTCAGCAATTTTTATATTGTATTCTTTTGAACTTAACAACATGAATTGGGGTATTTGGAGTACTATATAGGTAGAAAACATTGAACCGAACAATTTGGACAGAAATGCTGATAGAACCTTATAGCCCCAAACTCTCAACCTGTTTATTAAAATAGATTGCTGTGTTTGTTCCTAATTAAATGAAAGTGTTACATTCAGTGTATTCAGACCCCTTGACTTTTTCCACATTTTGTCATGCTACAGCCTTCTTAAATGGATTAAATGAATAAAAATCCCTCATCAATCTACACACAATACCCCATAATGACAAAGCGAAAACAGGTTTTAAATTTTTTCTTCTTCGATTTATTAAAAATAAAAACATAAATACCTTATTTAAATATCTTCAGACCCTTTGCTTTGAGACTTGAAATTCAGCTCACGTGCATCCTGTTTCCATTCATCATCCTTGAGATGTTTCTACAACTTCATTGGAGTCCACCTGTGGTAAATTCAATTGATTGGACATGATTTGGAAAGGCTCACACCTGTCTATATAAGATCCCAGGGTTTGGCCGGCAGGGATGTGGGTTCGTTTCCCACGTGGGGCCAGTATAAAAAAAAATACAAAAATAATACATTCACTAACTTTAAGTCGCTCTGGATAAGAGCATCTGCTAAATGACCTAAATGTAAATGAATCCCACAGTTGACAATGCATGTCAGAGCAAAAACTCAGAGACAGGATTGTATCGAGGCACAGATCTGGGGAAGGCTACCAAAAAATGTCTACAGCATTGAAGTTCCCCAAGAACACAGTGGCCTCTATCATTCTTAACTGGAAGAAGTTTGGAAACCACCAACTCTTCCTAGAGCTGGCCGCCCGGCCAAACTGGGCAATCGGGGGAGAAGTGCCTTTGTCACGGAGGTGACAAAGAACCCGATGGTCACTCTGACAGAGCTCTAGAGTTCCTCTGTGGAGATGGGAGAACCTTCCAGAAGGACAACCATCTCTGCAGCACTCCACCAATCAGGCCTTTATGATAGAGTAGCCAGATAGATGCGACTCCTCAGTAAAAGGCAAATGACAGCCCGCTTGGAGTTTGCCAAAAGGCACCTAAAGGACTCTCAGACCATGAGAAACAAGATTCTCTGGTCTGATGAAACCTGAATGCCAAGTGTCACGTCTGGAGGAAACCTGGCACCATCCCTACGGTGAAGCATGGTGGTGGCAGCTTTATGCTGTGGGGATGTTTTTCAGCCAGAGCCCGGACTTGAACCCGATCGAACATCTCTGGAGAGACCTGAAAATAGCTGTGCAGCGACGCTCCCCATCCAACCTGACAGAGCTTGAGAGGATCTGCAGAGAAGAATGGGAGAAACTCCCCAAATACAGGTGTGCCAAGCTTGTAGCGTCATAAAAAAATAATAATGTTTTAACCTTTATTTAACTAGGCAAGTCAGTTAAGAACAAATTCTTATTTACAATGATGGCCTGCCCCGGCCAAACCCTAAACCGGACGACGCTGGGCCAATTGTGCGCCGCCTTATTGACTCCCAATCACGGCCGGTTATGATACAGCCTGGAATCGAACCAGGGTCTGTAGTGACGCCTCTAGCACTGAGATTCAACAAAGTACTGAGTAAATGGTCTGAATTCTTACGTTTTTTTTGTATTATTATTATTTTTAAATAAAAACCTGTTTTTGCTTTGTCATTATGGGGTATTGTGTGTAGATTGAAGAGGGGGAAAAACAATTTAATCAATTTTAAAATAAGGCTGTAATGTAACAAAATGTGGAAAAGGTCAAGGGGTCTGAATACTTTCCGAATGCACTGTATATGCAAACCTGGGTATAGCAACAAATAATTTATGGGGAGACAAGTGAAAACTTGTGATTTTGTAGAAAAGTTTGGAGGACATTGAGGAGCTGAATCTTCTGTTACAGTAAGCAATGCTAGAAGACTAGGCTATCTTCAGCTTTGTGAAAATGCCTTCCTCTGGCTCAGAGCATTTATACTGGAGTTTCTGTATTTCATTGTGGTTATATCTCTTGTGTTCAACTTGATGCTAGTGAATGATACTGTGCTGGTTTGGCTCCTTCGATGACAACAAGAGGACAAAGGGTGATTATCAGGCCCTGGACTCTGGACCCTGAGCGGTGTGGATCAAGACTGGTTGTCCTATACTGTACAAGTAGTGTTTACATTTTATTTACTAGATTATGTTGTGAACAAGGTTGCCATGATTAATGAGTAAAAGCCCTTTTGTTTGGTGTACACAAAGAGATTTTCATACTTTTAGTTTGTTTTTCAGAGAAAATTATTCTCTGTGTGTTCTGTTTTCCCAAAATGCCAATACTGATTCATTCTCATCAGGGACATTAAAGATGTAATACTAGAACTCCGACCCTCACCTCAATACATAACAACACTCTTTACGTCATTTTTGGGCATGTAGGTTCAAAGAGAAGTACCTTTTCTGTACACCACAACGACCACGTGCATCTGTGCATTAGTGATACATACCAAGAATACTGTTTCAAACATGCATACCAGCAATAAATACTTTACCGTACATTGTCACATGTCAACACTACTGTACAAAAATTGCCTTAACTTGACCACGACATCAAATCTGTGACAATCCATCCTATCATAGCCAAGTATTGTGACGGACATGCATATTTCCCATGGTGACATAATACTGTACATCCATCCAACCTCGTGGTGTTTCCCTCTTTCAGCTCTTATCTCCAAGTGCATTGTGGGTTTTCTTCCTATGCTCACCTCATAAAACGATAAAGTATATCTATACAGTACATCTCGATTTGCAAAACTCCCAGTAATTGACCATCATTTTCAGAAATGTTGGTAATCTATTGAAAAACTTTGGTAATGTATACTTGAATAACATAACACATAAGATATTCATTTTATTGTCCAAGAGTTTGTAGTGGATAGACCATATGGTTCAAGAGAAAATGGCCTAATTAATGAAAAAAGCATCTAATCAACAATGACATATTTTGCAATTAACTCTGCAACTCTTCCAACTATTGACTTTCTTCCACAACTGGCACCAGTTCGGCCCCAGAACATTTCCCTCATTAAAATGCTAATCAATTTATAACATTTTTGACATGTGTTTTTCTGGATTTTGTTGTTATTCTGTCTCTCACTGTTCAAATAAACCTACCATTAAAATTATAGACTGATCATTTCTTTGTCAGTGTACAAAATCAGCAGGGCATCAAATAATTTTTTCCCTCACTGTACAACAAAGATCTATTGAAAAAGATTTAAAGGATGTTCCATGCTGAAACCCTCATATTAAACAGCCACGGTATTCATTAAGTTGATGGGTTATATTTAGGATATTTTACAGCAGTACTCAAATACTATTTGAGAAGGACCGGTCACACAAATTTCCTAGGCGTCAAAGGTCCAGATGGATATTGTTATTTATCGGCGTAGTAACAAACCCCCACATACCAACCCATGCAACCACAAACTATTCTAAATGTTCACGCCCCTCTTGTTAATAGAGAGAAGATTTCCTGCAATTCTATAAATATTGTAATGTGTGGAGAGAATATTTGTTCACATGATACTTGAGTGACATTAAAATCAATGGGGGCCCCCTGGAGGTTGAGGCCCCTGGGCATGTAATCTGGCCATGATAACTACAAGATTTAGATTTACCTACCTAGCTAGCTAACATTTGCTAGTTGATCAACTGGACATTTCTGACAGGCTCTTAAAGAGCAACTGCCCCTAAAAATCTACTTCTTATTTAGAAAACAGCCTAGGTGGCATCGATATCGGTCAGAAACATTTATTCTACTGTCAAAATTGACTAGAAAGTGTAAATAGGATAATTTATGTCATAAATTCAGTTTTGTGAGACTTGTGGTTGTGACTGCTTCACAACGTAACTGAAGGTTGGGTTTGTTTCAATCTTGCCCACATGCCCACAGCTGGCAGCACACAAGTAATTATCAATACTGAGCGCAGCTGCACACGACCCAATCGTAATGCCCGTGGTAAATTTAGGTTTACTTTGGATAACCCTATGGGGCTAGTTAGGGACCATTGGTAAATTACACAATGTACATGGGACATTATGTTAAAATTCCAATAGCTCAAATGTAAATGACTTAAAAACCTCAAACCAAGTATAAATTGTAGAAATGCATATACAAATATTGAAAGTATTTAATAAAAAAACTAAAAGGTGTGCAACATGAAAATATTGTCTCATTTACATTGTGTAATTTATTGACGGTCGCTAACTAGCACCGGATATAGGATATCCAAAGTCAAACCAACTTGCCATGGTCGCACACAGCCGGCTGAAGCTAATTGGTGAAATAATAAATAACTCTTCCCACCTGCAAACACACACAAGAGACACCCACATCAAACCAACTCACGTTTGAATTCAGTCATGGTCGCAACA